TATTTATATAACTATAGAAAATATTCTATAAATATAATTAAGTATTATTTTATATTTATAACTAATTATTTAATTATTTTAAATAAGTATAAAAAAAACGGCCTCCTTTATATCGACATCCCATTCCCGCCGCACTTATTGCTTTCTCTAATTGAGCTATCAAACCCTCAGTCTCTGTTCCGACTAAATATTAATACATACCATTTCCCAAAAGATATAAGAAATCATGGCCGTCGCCTCTCCAATCAGTTGTCTTCATCCTCATCATCACCATCACCATCACACCTCTCTTCTTTTCTCTTCCCCCAACCTTGGTGGCCTTTCAATTTCCACTTCACCGATCCCTTTCAATCATTTATCACCATGCTCAGCATATTGCCTTGGGCCTTGATGGCTCTCGCTCCACTGGCAGAGGCCCGTTTTGGTATCAGGCCAAGATCAGCCGACGATGATTCGCTCCGATGCTGCCCTTGTATTCCAACGAACCTCAGCCCACAAGATACGACAGTCACTATTACGGCCACGAATTCCAAAGAAACCGTGACAATTGATCACACAATAGTTGTCCCTGCAACCACCGTCTTTGTCACCCATACTCTCGCTCCTAGCTCGCCCGCCACTGTCACCCAAGAGGTCACAGTTCATCCAGAGTTACCAGCCAAGATAGAGACGGCGCTGGTTACCCTTTCCAGCCCAGAACCCTCAGCACAGAATGAGCCTATCAAGACAGTTACGATGACGGTGCAGGCGGGAGGTGACCAAACCGAGTTGCCCAAGACCGTGACGGTGACAATCAACCCAGACGAAACAACATTTGTCAGTGCGACGGCCACTTCTGCTGTGACTATCACCGTCACTCAACAGACGTCAGATCACTCGTCAGCCGAGCCATCACACTCGAGCAATAGTCAGGAAGTCGGCGCAAACACTGTCACTGTCGCTAATCCTCAAGCATCTCAGACGGAGGAATCAAAACCGAGCATCAAAACTGTGACCGTTGTGCAGAAGCCACCTGCACCTAGCCCCAGCGTCGAGACAGTGACATTTGTGGAAAGCCCAGCAGGCCCAAGCACCATGACAGTAACACTTGCAAACAATCCTTCAAAGGCAATCTCTGCCAGCTCTACCACTGAGACAGTAACCTCTGTGGAGAACCCGGCAAGCTCAAGCACTGCAGCAGCCACTTCGGAGAGTAATACAGCAAGCTCATTCATTGAGACGGTAACATTTGTGGAAAACCCAGCAAGCCCAAGCACTGCGACGGTCACTCTCACAAGCAACTCTGCAGCGACCTCGGCAAGCAATCCGTCAAACTCAACCGCCGAAACAGTAACAGTTGTGGAAAATCCTGCCAGCCCAAGCACTGCGACTGTGACCCTCTCAAGCGGCTCTTCGAAGCCAACTACTTCAGACACAACCACCGAGACTGTACCCTTTGTAGAGAATCCTCCAAAGCCAACCGCCACCCCGCTGGTGGTGTCCCCCAAGAGTTCATCCAGTCTGAGTATCCAGACGGCAACTTCTGTGGCCAAACCGGCAAAGATCACAGCTCCACCGCAGGCCGGAACAATCTCGCCCATCGTTGGCCAATTCACCACTATGACCCAAACTGTTACCTCCTCCGGGGGAGACGTCAATATCGAAATCAACATCATCAACATCTTCACCGGAGAAGTCGTTTGTAGAAAGCAGGGCAGTGACGAGCCGTGTGACCCCAAGCCGTCACCCTGCTTGACAACTGGCATCTTCACATCGACGGCGACGGCATTCAACACTGTCATTGTGACTGTGAGCCCCGGTATGTGGACAAATGGAACATCTGCAACTGGAGCTGCGCCACCACTTGGTACAGGTACCGGCAGCCCTGTGCTTCGAAGGGGTAGGGTGCCTATGATTAGGAAGCGACTGTAAAGCAATATGGTGAGAAGGTGGCTGTGGTAATGTTGAGGAGCGTGGATGTAACGATACGAGCAGTGTGGTATGTACAATGCGGTGTAATGGGTATCTATGGTAAATCTCGACCTGATGGGAGTAATGCGGGTTTGCTTGTTTTGTGTTGGATTTCTCTGTTAGTTCTGACTCACTTATAATCATCCAGTCATCACGGAGAGGAGGACGTTGTTACATGTAATTTCATAGTGGTTTTCATTTCTAAGGCCTAATTTTCAATATATCGTTACAATCTCATCATCAAATGCATTTCCAAACATGAAGCATCTCAAACCAGCTTATACCCAGTTCTCCCGAACCACCTCAGCAATCACACCGTGATCCTCATGCTGCTTCAGCCCACTCACAACAACCACTCCCACCACTCCCTCCACGCCCGCCACCCGGATCGGCACACCACCTCCATGGATCGCATAACCTCCCGCCTCGCTCGGTCCCAGCGAAAACTTTGCCGCAAACGCCGCCTCGTTGCCGGCGTACTTTTGTCCCAGATACCACGAGCTGGTGCCGAACCGGAGCACCGCGGCCGTCTTCCGCTTCACCCAGCTCTCGTTGTCGGGCGTCACGCCGCTGCCGGTGGCGACTTGGTACAGCGTCTGAGACCCGGCGCCCGCGCTGATGGAGATGAGCGTGGCGCGGCCTTCCCGGGCAAAGGGGAGGAGGCGGGCGTAGAGGAGGTTGCCGAGCTCGACGGCATCGTCGGCTGTGAAGGAGGAGAGGATGAAGCCATCGGCGCCGACGTCAGCGTCGACCAAAGCCTGAAGCTATTCACAGGGGTTAATATCGAGGGCTAAATATCGCTCATTTTGATGCTCTCAAGGTGAGACTCACCTCTTGCGCAGAGGTTCCGCCTGGGGGGCTCTGAATAGGAGCTGGAGCAGCAGAGCTTCGAGCGGCGTTTAGAGCCTTTTCGAGACCATGTCCCGCAGCAAAGTTGCGTTGCCAAACCTTTCGAGCCATGTTTGAGAGTTTTGTGCTTTTGAAAATGAGTTGGAGAAGATGAAAGTGAGAGGATGAGCGAGGATTAAATAGCTATACTTATGTCATGAACGGGAAAGAAAGCAGACATCTCGACTTAAGTTTTAAACTTAAAAATGGCTCCGATCAAATGAACCGCTGCAACTAAACATCGGGCCGACTAATCATCTCTTCAGCTGTGCTCTGCGGAGACTCTTTTTGGGGCAAACGGACATTCTTGCCAGTCTTCGGGATTTATCAGGAATTGCTGGTGGATCGGGGGCATCGCCGCTGTTGATAGGCGGCGTGAAATTTGGAGCTGTGGAGAAGCTATTCTTAGTTGAACTTGTGAGATGAGCGACTGAATCAACGTGGCCGAAGTGATGATGCGTCTGTTACGCAAAGACAGGGTTAGATCTCGTTGTCATTGCCATTGCATAGTGGCAAATCTGACTGTCCAGAGCAGAGAAGCAGGGGAGAACATGTAAAGAGTAGAACAGCGGATGGCGGACACTTTTATACTATCCCACCTCGTGGACCACCACAGCTTACTATTACTCAATCCCTTGTTACAGTACGGTATACAGCTCAACTAGACAGTCTACGTACTCGAATATCTGCAGCTGGGCAATTGTCGACATTGAAAGACGGCAAATTCTACAGCTTGAAATACGATCAAGTCATCGCAAGTATTAGAATACCAGCTCTAACCCCTGCAGCAATTACACTATAGGAAACACAACTGTGGTAAAGTACAACTTCTGTAGAAAGTACAACTTTGGTGGAAAGTACGACATCTGTGGAAACTCTAGCTTCCAGCTTCTTATCACTCTTGCAGAAAGATATTATATTGAAACCTGAGCAGATCTATTGTTGACTATTCAATGGTTCTATATTATGCTGTATCAAGATCCCTCATGTCCTCTCACATCTTTCCAACTCTGTTCATAGCACGCTTGTGTCAAAGCGTCACCTCCAACTACCCAAAACTCATTCAAACTCAATAGATTGACTATCAAATACATGGTTGTATTTCAGCTGCGATATAACATCAAATCGCGGGGTATCTGGCGGGGTCATACGGACATACGTGTGGCCAGCTGAGATGTGAAATTTCAATGGGCCATAAAACGAGGCCGACAATTGGCATTATAGGATTACTTCTTGCCGGTCAATCAACACATGACATTTCCCAAACGGACGATGGAAAGTCTCACTCCAGAGTGCTCTACCTGGGAGACGCCGCATCTCATGGTGTTGATGAGCGAAATACTAATGAAATTGTCATGTATCGAGCTTACATGGAAGGAGACATACTCAAGATCACCGAATACTTTGTGCCCAATGTTGGGTCTTCCTTGTACAACGCCGGTGATATTGTCAAAGGGTGCTCGCATGGGGATACATTAGACAGAGAGGTCAAGGGTTAAAGCGAGGATTCGCACTTATCCTTCCCCCTGACTGATAAGGATTGGACATATACGACAATGATTATGAAGAAGGATTAATGACACATAGCACTTTGACAATGTTTGGGCCCATTTGATCCAAGTTTCTTGTTTAAGCCTTGATTCTTGCTTCATGCAAGTCAAATTCTCATGGGTGTCAATTATCAGCAGATTATTAGAATCAAGATCCATGAAAGTTATCGTGAGGTGTACGGCATATTCAGATGAGACTTCAAAAGAATTTCAAAAAAGAGTTTTAGAAATTTTTCCCAAATCTAGAATAAGAAGGAAGAAGAGAAGCTCAAACAGTTGGAGCAACATTAGGCAGCTATTTTCTGCCTTGAGACTCTTCGAGACTACGAAACAAAAAAGAGGTCCAAGTCAAAAACTCTCAAGCAAGCATTGTGATGAGACCAGATTAAATTGACAGCTACATGGGTTCATCCTCAGCAACTCAAAGCCTATCTACCGCAATAAAAACGACACAGATTGTCTCACAAAGGACCAACACCTAACCCTACGCCTCATCATCATCATACTGAACATCATTCTCCATCGTCGCATCAGACTCGCGTCGCCGCAGGACAGGTTCAGTCTGCATGCTTCCATACCCAACCACGCTCGCCGTGTCCGACAGCTTCCCCGACTCGAGGTCCTCTATGCTCTGCAGCGCCTGGATAAACTTGGCCTGCTCCGTCTTGAGCACCTCGCGCTTGTTCGCCGTCGCCGCGTCCTCATCCATGAGCTTCTCATAGACACCCGTCGAGTCCGGCCCGCGCACGCCAAGCTTGTCGTCGAGATAGTTGCGAAGCTGTCGTCGGATCGCGGGAATCATGCGGCAGACGATGCGCTGCGTCACGGCGTCGGAGTATCGTAGGGCGGCGAGTTTATAGTACCCTCTAACGTACGCAACAACCTCAACCTCCCGCTCGAAATCATCCGGCTTCAGTTTGGTTTGCTCCGCTTCCCGTCGCTTGACCTCGAGGATTTGCTTTTCCTCCGTCAGCACATCCCAAGGCACGAGGTTCCTTTGTGCGTAGCCGGCTCCCTTCATTCGCATATGGTGTCGGAATCGAGTCAGCTCGGCCCGCTCGCTCTTGAGACACTGATTGAATGCTTCCGTGTTGTATGTCATGACTCTTTCCGCCTCATCACTGTAGAGCGCCTCGAGTTCTTTTTGTGTCGTTTTCCAGTGCTCGTCCAGGCAGCTCTTGAGGTGCCGCTTGGCTTCCGTGTATATGAACCGCTTCTTCAGGTTCTCGAGGGACTGGTTCAACGCCGAATCGAGCTCGGCTTGAAGCTGCCACATGACTTCTCTCAGATACACGCTGGTGGGCCGATTCCACGGTCTGATGGATTCCATGGCCAGATCGTTGTAGACATCTGGCGGGATGATGCTCGGCATGCCTGCCTTCATCTTGGCCTGGATCTCCTCCTTTACTCCTCGCAGTGTGCGGAATGCCCGACCGACGTCGGTGAATTCCGTAAATGGTTCTGGGAGATACTGCTTCTGTGGTGGTGGTGCAGGCTGAGGAGGACCAAAGCTGTTGCCATTAGCAATGCCGGCTTCCTCGGGCTTGACCGAATTCGGCGTCCCGTTGACTGGATAATCTGTTCTCGTCCGCTTATTCGATGGCGTTGCTTGCGGTGCTGTATTTCGTCGCTTCGAGGGAGTGACGAAGCTCGTTGCGGCAGTACCAACAGAGGCCGCATCGGACTCATCATCGTCCATAAGCTCCACCACTTGAATATCGGTGCGATCTTTGAGAATAAACTTGGGCTTAATCCCCAAGAGGCAGTCTCGAAAGTTGGTTGGCAGACTGTTTATACGAGCCGCAAACTCGTCAATCTTGAGCCGCGCACTATCAGCAAAGCTGTTGAGGCACGTCTGAATCTCCAGCTCGACGTTGTGGGGGAGCTCGGGAAGGTTGGCCAGCTGTCGGGTGACTTTATCGAGATGGTACTTGACTTTGTGTTTGATGTTTGGCAAACTAGACATGTTGGCGTCAGCAGTCAGTTATACCGGATTCGAGTCCCTGTGAATTGATTCATTCTTACCTTTTCGCAAATTCCTCGCCAAGCCGCTCTGAGAGGAAAGCCTTGAGCCTTTCCACGCCACAGCGGTCGACAAATGCATGGAATGCGCCGGGCCATTTGTCTACAGACTCATCCTCGAACATCCTTTCCTCCCACTTCTTCAATTCATCCAAGTCCTTACCCTGGGGGCGAGAGGTTATGAAATACCCCAGGCCTGTCGAGTGAGCTTGCCCCTTCATGATTTCGACCCACTGGGTATGGTTCCCACCGTCAGGCAAGAGATCTGCCTTGGTCAGCACTCCGATAGTCCTGTCCTTTGCTTGCAATTTGCGAGTGAGACCGAAGGTTGCCGAATTCTCAGCATCGCTGTTCATGGGCATGGCACAGATGATGATGGCAGAGGGGTGCTGAATGTAGGCGCTCGAGAGGTTCCGGACCACATTGACCAGGTACTCGTCGTTGGCATCGGCGGGATTCTGGAAAATGCCCGGCATATCGTAAAAGGATAAGTCAGGCAAGTCAGGGCCCTTTATCTCCAGAGAAACAACATTGGGGGAGAACTTTGCCAATGTTTCCTCTGCTGCCTTGTCGATGGGCGTATTGATGGCAATGGAGCCTCGTCCTGGGACAAAGAGAACGGGGGGTTTGTCATCGTTGAGGATGGCAATCTGAGCCCAGCGCAAGACCTCTTCAATCTCACTCTTGTCGTGCATGGTTTTAAACTCCAAAACAGCTGTGCTGGGTCGCTTTCTCCAGGGAAAGAAGGGGTCATGTTTCGTGACATCGGATTCATGGATGGGGCGGTTGGGGGTTGGCCCATACGAGTACTCTTTGCGGAGCCAAACGCGACACGACCATTCTGCATTGCGGGAAACGCGAATGTGCAGAGGGCATCGAGTGCAGGCGCCCTCGCTCCGAGGCAGATCCAGGTTGGCGAGGCCGGACATGAGACTGGACTTGCCCGCCGACTGGTCGCCGACAAGGACAAGTTCGGGAAGCTGCACATCGTGAGAGACGCCAAGCTGCTGAAGCTCTCCCAAGGTGTCATTGCAAGCTTTGAGTTTCTTGCCAATGTCCTGAAACGAGGTGTGGAAGAAGCTCTCGTCCATGTTTCTGGGGCTGCCCGCAACAGGCACGGTTGTCGTCGCCACAACGGTTCTAGCTCTGACTTCTCTGAAGATGGGGTCTGTGGTATGTTCTGACTCTACGGTACGCTCACTAGGCGCAGCTGGGAGATGAAAAAGTCAGCATGATATGATGTGGGATGATATAGGATGATGAAATGGATTCTCATGGTGGGCATCCGCACGAGACCTACGAGCGTTGGATCTATTTGCACGACCAGCCTTTGAAGATGGATGAGATGGATGAAATTCAGAGGGATCCATGGCGTCGTCAGCATTTGTGCCGAAATCAGTGACGCTTTTGGCGTACGAGTTTGGCATTGTCTCGGACTTCACCTGGACTGGTGTCTGGTTCGTTGCCTGGGCTGGTGCTCGGCGAACGCGGCGGCTAGCCATGATGATGAGATCGTCAGAGGAGTCCTAGTCCGTCTTGGATCCTTGAGCGTCGTCAGGCATTGACGAGATCCGGCCTCGCTGATGGGAGGAGCTTGGTTCAGATGATGATTCTGATGGTTCGTATGTAACAAGTAGAAGATGGCAAGGGTGAATCCAGATGGCGACGGGAGCGTAGAGGAAGAAAAGAAGGCGAAGGAGGGAAAGGAAAGGAAGGGAAGGGAAGTGATTAGGCAAGGAATATGGCAGTCAATGGGGTATTAAGAGAAGGAAATTAACGAGCAACGGCCCAAGATGAGATGAAAGTGAAGGCGAAAGTGAATGAATGACCTTGAGCTCAGCCGTGGGGAAAATGAAGATGCCGGCAACTGATGTTGAGTTCACAATTCGCAATTCACCCAGCCAACGAACTGATGGTGTTTTGATGCTGCCCCATCGGCGTGCAGGGGTTGGTGCGAATGTTAATGCTTGATAGAGGAAGCGGTGCCTGGGGCAGCAGTCAGCCAGCTGTAGACGGTACAAGCGGGGAATGGAGACGCAAAACAGGCCATTGGCATCTGTTAGAGATGCAGACAAGAAAAGAGGCGAGACTCACTATGAATTTGACGGGTTTCTGGGCTTTGGGGCGTCGCCGTGCTAACAGAAGTGAATGCCTTCTGAAGCTCGAGCATTGACAGCTGAGGTACCAGAGACAAGAGAGAGAGAGCTTGAGCCTTGACCCAAAAAGGGGGGGCTGGGGCTGGCAAGCTTCAGGTACAATGTACAAGGTACATATAAAGCACTGGGACCACGTGACCGGTGTTTTACCATTTGCTGCACTTTATCAAGCCTTTTATTCTGCTTGTCTATGGGACATCTACCCTGTAGCTTGTATGAGCTGGGTTGGATCGATACCCAAGGTAAGCCGTTGTGTTGTGATGATGGCAACTCAACGCCTATGTGATGTATGTATAATCTACCTACCTAGTCAGGCACATAAACAGGGTTACTACCTTAGGTAGTCTGCCTTAGTATTGTGAGGCTTTTCAGCAGCTGCCCCTGACAAGAAGCAATTGAGCTCCATTTGCTGCCCACACGGCTTTTACTGAGAAGCGTTTAGTGCTGTGGCCAGTGGATCTTGTCTTCCACCTTTTGCTTCGTTAGTACCTCGACTCGGTGTGCCGTGCATTCTCAGCAGCCGCCATACGGAGAACCAAGTACATGTACTTCCACCACAAGAACAAATCCTGTGATGGTTATGAGACGATCATCCACCGGTTGGGCCGCTGTCTTTGCATTCAATGATGTTTTCCGGCTGTATAATGATCCTCTCTATCATTTTGAATAGGCCTATAATATTTGTTCCCCCAAATCTGTCTCTCCCACCGCGTAATTCCAACTGCAACTCCAATTCCAGCGTAGCACCCAGCAAGGCTACCGAAGTACTCTTGTACCTGCACCACCGCTTTGGAGGAAAAAAAAAAAAAAAAAAACTGCCCGTCCCAAGAGAAATTTAGTTCTTCAGCCATCGGCTCTTAGCTCAACCCAACCGTAGACTTTTACAGCCTCATAGCAGTAGCCAGTTCTGTCTTGTCATCTCATCTCCCAACTGCTGGTTACTTTAGGCTCAGAACAATCACCATGGACGCTGCAGGAGACGCCTTGGCTGAAGGCCGCCGCATCTACTTGGGCACGACAACCTCTGCTCTCTCGCTCTCTCTCTCTCTCTGTAATACTGACCGGTGAACAGGCAATCTCCACTACGTGCTCAAGTCGCAGGACGTTGAAGAGTTTCTTCTCCAGAATGGCTTCGACGACATTGAGAACATCCACGTCTCTGTCGACCCCGTCAGCGCTCGCAACCCGGGCTACTGCTTCGTGGACTTTGCCGAGCGGGCCACGGCTGAGCGAGCTCTGACTGATCTCAGGGCAAGTCTCCGCGGCCGCGAGGTCAAGGTCGGTCCATGTGAGCCTAGGAAGAAGCGCAATGGAGACGGCCGGTCCAACTTCCAGCGCCCGGGCGACTGGAGATCCGCCTCTGGCGACGATGGCCAGCAGTTCCAGAGCGAGCCCAGGGAGCAGAGGCCCCGAGGGGGCTTCACTCGCTCCGACGAGGTGGCCGACGAGTCTCAGGGAAAGCGGCTGTACGTCGGAGGACTGGCCAAGAACCTGGACCAGGAGCAGAACAACCAGGAGGTGATGGACATTTTCACCGGATTCAACCCGTATGTCACTCACTCACTCAGTCGGCGTTTGTTTCATTGTAACTAATGATGAGAACAGCTCATACATTGGCAAGCGCATCACGCCCCACGAGAGCTCCCGCAGCCCGGCTGGAACCTACTACTACTGCTTCGTGGACTTTGAGACCCAGGAAGAGGCCCAAGCCGCCATGCAGGCCCTGGATGGTGCCCAGTACGACGGCGGCGTGCTCAAGGTCTCCCTGGCCAAGAGGACGGACAGACAGTCGGCCCGCCCCAACGCGACGTCTGATCGCAACGGCGGCCAGGGACGCGGATGGCGATCATCCAACAGCCCACGAACCGAGGGCGGAGCACCGCCGCCGGCCAGAGCCATGGGATCCAACAACTGGCGCAAGAGGGACGCCGAGTAGGTGGCGGGCTGGTTCGAGCGACTGCAGTACGACTGAACTGAAATTTGGAAAATTGGAAAAAAGGGGAGACTGGCTACGTATGGAATGGACGAGGCCACAGTAATGCTGATTTGATACATGATGTCTGAACTCTCTTCCTCTGATGCATTTGTTTCTCGTCTACAACAACAACAAAAGGTGGAAAAGAGGGAGACGGTCCTGTCCCGTCTCGTCTCATGCCTCTCGTATTATAGCAGCACAGCAGCGAAAAAAAAAGCATACACCATGTCACTTGCAGCTTTTTCTCGTGACTGATGGCGATGCCCTCGGCTATACTCCGTATTAACTACCTTATATTCACGAAGCACAGCATCAAGTTCTTAGCTTCAGGAACCGGCCACCACGTGCGGCAAACTCTTGTCCCGGCTCGCAACTTGGCTTGGACCCTTTATCCCGCCCCCTCGTTTAATTGCATATCCCCGCCTCTCCTCCGACCATCTTCCCCCCCCCTGTCATTAACATCTCCATCCCAGCAAATCGTGACCACGACAAAGTCAGTCGTGCAGCAGCCGCTCCACCGCCTTGCCTCCCGCCAATTCGCCGGCCAAAAGATTCTCTCTCTCTGCATTGTGGACGAGCAAACTGGCGATATTCTTCTCTCCATTGTCTGGTGCTGTTGCTTCTGTCCCGCGCTTCTCTCTGGCCTGTTCTTGAAGCTGAAGCTCGCCATCTCATATCCCGCTTTCGTTCAGTGATACCCCTCCCCCTCTCTCCAGCTTTCAAAGCTCCAACCCTCCCAACAATGTCTCTGCACGTCCCCTTGCCGCATCGCTCTGCCACTCCGGTGGGCGCTGCCACCAAGGCTGTGATCCTGGTATTTGATGCCCTTCTTCTTCTGTCTTCCTCTGCCAATTCCTGTCCCTGTTCCTGTCTGGATGCTCCTCTTTGTTGCACTTCAATGAGCTTGGAACAGCTGGCTCTAAGCGCACACCGCCGTGCAACCTCACCATTTCGCATTGCAAACGACAACAGCTAACATGCTCGTCTCTTCCTCCTCCTCTGTCTAGGTCGGCGGTCCTTCTCGCGGCACTCGATTCCGCCCTCTGTCCCTCGACCTCCCTAAGCCGCTCTTCGACGTTGCCGGCCACCCCATCATCTGGCACTGCCTCGACGCCGTTGCGCGCGTCAAGCAGATCCAGGAGGTCTACATCATCGGCTACTACGACGAGTCCGTCTTCCGCGACTTCATCAAGGACTCGGCCAGGGAGTTCCCCGGCATCAACCTGCGATACCTGCGCGAGTACGAGGCGCTGGGCACCGCGGGCGGCCTGTACCACTTCCGCGATGCCATCCTCAAGGGCCGCCCCGAGCGCCTCTTCGTCCTCAACGCCGACGTGTGCTGCTCGTTCCCCCTCGAGGAGATGCTCAAGCTCTTCATGGAGCGCGACGCCGAGGCCGTCATCCTGGGCACCCGCGTCAGCAACGAGGCCGCCTCCAACTTTGGCTGCATCGTCTCCGACTCCCACACCCGCCGCGTGCTGCACTACGTCGAGAAGCCCGAGTCGCACATCAGCAACCTCATCAACTGCGGCGTCTACCTCTTCTCCGCCGACGCCATCTTCCCCTCCATCCGATCCGCCATCAAGCGCCGCACCGACCGCCCCCGCCTCGTCTCGTACCCGTCCTCGGACAACCTCGACCACTTCAGGATGCCCCGCGCCGTGGCCGACGACGACGACGACGAGGACAAGAAGGAGGTCATCCGCCTCGAGCAGGACATCCTCGGCGACATGGCCGACAGCAAGCAGTTTTACGTGTACGAGACCAAGGACTTTTGGCGCCAGATCAAGACGGCTGGCTCGGCCGTCCCCGCCAACGCGCTGTACTTGCAAAAGGCCTGGCAGACCGGCAGCGAGGAGCTCGCCCCGGCCAGCGCCAACGTCGTCCCCCCCGTCTTCATCCACCCGACTGCCGACGTCCACCCCACGGCCAAGCTCGGCCCCAACGTCAGCATCGGACCCCGAGTCGTCGTCGGCGCCGGCGCCCGTGTCAAGGAGAGCATCGTGCTCGAGGACTCGGAGATTAAGCACGACGCCTGCGTGCTCTACTCCATCATCGGCTGGGGCAGCCGCGTCGGCGCCTGGGCCCGCGTCGAGGGCTCGCCCACCCCGGCCGGCAGCCACTCCACCAGCATCATCAAGAACGGCGTCAAGGTCCAGAGCATCTCCATCCTGGGCAAGGACTGTGGTGTTGGCGACGAGGTTCGCGTGCAGAACTGCGTCTGCTTGCCATACAAGGAGCTGAAGCGGGTAAGTTTCTTTTTTTTCTTCTTCTTCTTCTCGAACCCCTTTACTTGAGAACTTGGACTGATTTACCCTTTTAGGACGTCACCAACGAGGTCATCATGTAAAGAGCGTTTTCAAGAGTTAGCGTGTGATGGACAACAAGAATAAGCATGTCTGCAATTGAATTTTTTTTTCTCACGGGATATAAAAAGGGGGGGGGGTCAGGGGAATAAAGAGGCGAGGATGTTGACGTCTTTACTCCAAAGAAATAATCCAGAAAACATGTGATTCCCCGACTGTAATGAAGTTACGCATTCTATTCCTAGGCTCACACGGATGGGCAGGTGTTTGGGACAACGCCATAGAATATTAATGTTGAAGAGCAACCAGTGTTTTTTCTTATACTCCAAGTGTCATTACAAAAGACATCATAGAATGTGCCAAGATGAGCAGTAACGTAGAGTCCATCGAGGTGAAGTGGTATTCTCATTGCCCATGTTTCATAAATGCATCATGTCGAACCAGATATAATCTTCAACATCTACCCCTCCTCATCATGTACAAAAAAAAAGGGGGTGTTGGGTATATTTGCATTTTATGCGTTTTCACATGTCCTCTTCTAAGATGCCTCCATCGCTTCCATGTGCCGAGAGCGGCCCTTTCAAAAGCCTCAAATGATCCCCTTCTATATGCACCATATCCGTAACCTGATTCCTGCTTATACACCCAAATAGAGAAGATGAATAGAAAAAGAAAAAGAAAAGCATGTCACTAGCCCAAAACATGAAATATTCTTTGTGAAAAAAAAAAAGAAAAGCCCCAATTGTCGGATACTTCACAGCTCCTTCTGTGAAGCTAGACGACTCGCCGGCCGGGCAAACATGGGGCTACTGGGCCGGCTGGACGTCGAACCCAAGCCCTTGACATCAAACGGCTCGACAGACTTGAAGTGTTTCGCGGGCCCCAAGCGGGGTGTGCCAACTGGTGTCAGGAGGTGCTCGATGGCGGGCTTCTCAAATGTTGCGACACGGATCGCGGGCGGGCGGTTTCGAGCGAATTTCTCCTCTGCTACGCTATACAAGTACGTGGCGAGCAGCACGAGCATCGTACCCAAAAGAAACTGCAAGATTCATTCCTTGTTAGTAAAGACTTGTCATGCAGCCTCAGAACAGGGGCCAAACCTACCGTAAGAGTCACTTTGAATTCAAAGAGCCACACGCTGACGAGGAAGCTCAGTATGATGCTGATGCTCGTCGCAAAATTCTTGATGATGTTGTCGGCATCGCGAATGACCAGGCTGGCCAGCAACCCCCCAACCGCCTGTAGCACGACCGTCGCCCACACAACCGCATTGTAACCCTCGAAAAAGCCGTGCTCGCGAATCCCGGCGCCGTCCTGCCACATGACGCCGCCGACGAGAGCAGCAATCATGGAATAGAAGCTCAGCTGCAGATTGCGCACCCACACGCTGGCTTGAGAGGGGCTCTCCTTGAGCAGCTTCTCGAAATAGACGCCCGTGAGCCCGGAAACCGCCGCCGCGACGAGAACTGCAGTCACGCCGAGGGAGTAGTTCACGGAGGGCTCGACGGGGTGAAGATCGTTGTCGATGCCTTGATAGGTGGCGGAGCGGCGAGTGAGATGCGCTGCTGCGTCTTCGACGACGGCGTGGCCCAGCTCATGGCCGGATCGAGGGAAGAAGTGGTCCGGCATGCCGTGAAGTAGGGGGCTGGAGCTAGAGGCACTGCCAATGGCGGTCGATCCAGGCAGAGAGACGATGGAGACGCCTAGTGTCAGGACAACAAGCGAGAGCCAGCGCTTGAGGCCGAGGGGGCGGCTCAGGAGATAGACGCTGAAGAGCGCCGTGGTAAGGATCTGGTGGTCATCAGGGTCAGCATTCGGCATTCAACATGGCAAGACCCCGCCATTCTCACCTTGAGCTGGTACAGAACCTGAAAATGCACAGCATCCAGGTTCTCAATGGCCACATACTGCAGGATATTCTGCAGCGTGTAAAACACGCCCGGCACAATCAGCTTCCACCCGTCGCCCGCAAACATGGCATTGTAAATCTGCTCAAACAGCACCGTGGCAGGCGTGCTGGGCGCCAGCGTCTTGGAGCCCTCGTACAAGGCCAGCGTGAGGGAAACGGCCAGCTTGATGAGCTCGTGGAGGAAGACGGCGGTCGAGGGAAAGTATCGGTGGTCGCCCGGAGGAGGCATGATGCGCGAGTAGTGCATGATGAGGATAAAGGCCGAGTTTTGGACAGTCAGCTATGGAGCGGAGGGCCGTCAGTCAGCATTGCGGCATCTTCAAAGGAACAGGAAGGGAAAGAGAAGGAAAGGGGAATCCGCACCAGGATCAGCGAGATTGGCCTGCCAGAGCTGCCAGCTCTGATTGCTGAGCCTCCGCCGTCGAGCACCGCCATGGCGGGCAGAGAGTCGCAACCGCTGTGTTTGTCTGTTTGTGCGTGTGTATGTGAGACTGTATGTGTCGATGCGACGGGATCAATTGCTTCCAGAAGGTCGGTCTGAACAAGGTGTATGTAGAAGCTGCCTGTTGGAGCGTTGGAGAAGCGTCGACAGCAGCCAATTCTGTGGTGTTGAAGATCAAATGGATGTCGGAAGACGGGAGGTTGGAATAGAAGCTCCGAGGAGAGCAGCTTGGCGGTGGTTTGTTTCGGCCAGTGCACGCGACACCCCTCTCAGCCCTCTATGACGCTCAGTGCTACAAAGTGACGGGAAGCTCAGCCCAGCTCAGCTCAGCTCAGCTGCTGCAATCAATACTGTACTGCAGATGCTCAGATCCAGACAGAACATGAATATGCCCCCCCAAAAAGGGTTCAAGAAAATACCTTATTCCAATTGTTAATTTTCTCATGACATGGTTCCCTTCCACGTGCATCCATCGAATTAATCCATCGATCCATGACTCAATGCAACACAAATCACATCAACGATCCATTCTCTGAAAACGGCCCCTGTACAGCCTACAGCTCACAGCTCCAAGAGCACCAAAGCACCAAATCACCCCCCAGAGCCCACTGAAAACCAGCTCAAGTCAGTGGGCCGAATTGCCACCTCGATGCGGATCGGCGGGGCCAAACGGCTCCATTGAATGTTGATCCTTTGGGGTCCGTTATTTGCCGCCTGGCCCTGTTTGGTGAAGTTGCTTGGATGGAGCTTGTCGAGCATCAATTTTCTGGGCCGTTCTTGATGCCCAACCAGGGGCAGCTCAAGTGGGAAATACGAGCAGGTCAATCCATGCTATAAGTTTTGATGCAGCAATCATGGACTGCGTTACCAGCGTATGAGACAGACATGCATCGTTAATGCCTCCAGATACACGTACTCGTACACGCTGAGACGCGGGAAGGGGGAGAACAAGGTACAATGATGGAAAAGAAAAGAAAGACAAGAAAGATGTCCAGAGATGAACAACACACGCAGGTTGCAACTGAATTGAATGAATCTCTGGATATATTTTCCGCACTCATCATGTCTCGACAACAACACGCAACGCACCTAGATACAGACCACCCAGTTGTGCGAAGAAGAAGAAGAAAAAGTTTGACCTTACAATCCTCACTCCAAATCCCCTGTTCTCGTGCCTCATGACCAAATTCCTATGCGCAATTCCCTCGTCGTGGCCCAGTCGTTTCATCGCCCCCGCCATGGCGCTCGTCCAAGAAGCAGAAAAGAATGCAAAAGCCTAGCCAGTCGACTCTTTGGAGCTCAGTGAAAAGTTCCTCTCGTCAATCACAGTGTGTCCAGACTGCAAGCCGGGGATAGCATCCTGTCTACTGAGATCTTGAGCCATGAGGTTCCAGAGCACAAAGTACTCGGCCATGCTCTCGCGAGGGTTCCTCTCTTGTTCCCGGATGCTATCCCGACGCTGCGGTCCTACCATCCGGTTCCGCCCTCCAAGATTGAACTCCAAGTTGTGCTCAAACACTTTCAGTTTCGGCTTTTGCGTGTGTGCGGGAGGGCTCGGCCGGTATGCGTGTCGGGTATCCTTTTTGCGATAGTTCCAAACGCTCTTCTGCGGAAGAAACATGCTGGCGCTGATGGTAGGCACGGCCATATCCCGCAGCGGTTGGCTGGTAAAGTCGACAGCGGCATCCAGGTGATGAAACAGATCTTGGTGGCTCTGGCTTCGAAAGAAGGATAGAGAGCCAATGTCAAACGTTGGCGACATTCCTTCCAGCCCCGTCTTGCACATGTTGCCCAACTAGGACGCAAATGCTTCGGCAGGGGATCCCACTTCATCGCCGTCGCTGTCATGGTTCTTGTCCTGTTGCCCGTCAGCAATACCGTAATCAGGATGACTGAGACTGCCCTGCATCATCAGGCTGATCAAATCAGTCCACCAGCTAGCAGTACGATGGCGGCCTCCAGACACGTTGCCCCGAGTCTTGGCTGCAGTCGACCCGTCGTTGCAGTCTAGGAGCCACGACAAATCCGCGTCTGCGTGCAGCAAATCTGGGTGTTTGTCGATGAAGGAAATCACCGGTCGTGAATGAGTTCGTATCTCGTCCTTGTCCAGCAAGGCCTCGTTAAAGCCGTAAGCAATCCCGTGGTCTCGCATAAAGCGGAACACGTCAAACGTAATGTCGTGGGTAAATTGAGCCTGCGTCCGCCCGTTCATAAGCATGAAGAAGACAAGTCGTTCATATGTGGTGGCAGGTCAGGGACCGCATCACTTACGCCTGGCTCAATTCTCCAAATCCAGTCGTAATCTCTCAACCGATTCTCACTGGCAAATGGTCCCGAGTTCCAGCGGGATATCTGGTCAAGGGACTGCGCCCGTCGGCCAATTTCGGAGACATGCTCGCCGCCAGTCTGAGCCGGCGATAGCTTGTTGAACGCCACCGGTTGTTTTGGAGATGCCAATTTATCTTCGGAAATCACTTCGTAGAAGCAAACAGCACCGGTCGCGTTCGAAGTCTGCTGTCTGAATTCTTCGCTCAGGGGCTGAGTGCTGAAGAAGATCCAGTGGTATTTGTATCGGTAGTTGAACGTCTCTTCCAGCTGGGAGATTGATGACAGGAGCGCGGACAGATCGTTCTCATGGGCGAGGGAGACGAAAGCTGCCCTGGGTCTTTGATCAGTAGCAGAAGAGATGGCGAGGCCATGCACAAACGATGACATTTGGATCAAGAGAGAGATCCAAGCCAGGGTAATTGGCATACACCAACTGGGCGATGAGGCATTCGTAACGCGTTTCTTCGCCATGCTTGGCCGTCTGGTCAATAGGGAGGACGAGAGAAGGCAGCTTGAAAGTCGAGATGGAACCTGGGAGGCCGGTTGTCTGGTTCGATGCAGGGTTGTGATGAAAGAGAAGAGAAAGATGGACAGGAACACAAGGTTGGTAGAAATGTAACAAATCAGAAAAGAAGTGGAAAAATCCTCAGGTGACAGAAATTCAAGAAGTCAGCTGAGGAATAGAAAAGAAGAATGGCGAAGAGAAGTGAACGACAGGTTGGTCAGGTGGCAATCCAAGGAGCAGGAGATCGAGGCTGAAACAATGATTGAGAAAAGTTGAACAAGGGTGGAAGAAAAGAAGAAAAAGAGATAGAGAAAGAAGGAGAACTTTAAGAGGAGGTGGCAGAAAAAAACGGTGAAGGGCGTGTAGCTGGTGAGTTGCAGAGGCAGCAGGAGGAGTGCCGGCAGTTGGCAGACGAGTGGCCACTATAATTGAACCTGAAAGTCATGTTACGGCCCCCCAGGCGAGAATATTATGGGCATTATTCTACTCCTGTTTAGTTTCTTCTATTTAATTCCAAAATGGCAATTGATGATAGAGCTGTTGCTACTCTCTTGGTAACTGATGGTTCTCATCAGTAGGGGTATTAGAGGCTACGGTACCTAGGTAGGGCAGGAGACTGTTGCGGATAAGGATTGCGCCCATTAATAGATCTCTTGGCACTCTTCATTCGTAGCACACGGGATACCAATCTCCAACGTCCTCATTTCCACTGTTTCAAACCACAATTGCATATGTGATCAATCTCACTACAATATATCAACCGTGGATAGCCGCCGGACGCATGAGAAAGAGCCGGAACAAGTTTAATGCGGCCAGTCCCAAGATCGCGAGATGCGTGCAAGGATCTTTTGAGATGTGCATCGGAAAGATTTCAGGCTATGACATCATGCAGCGGTCCCCTAGAAAATCAATAGGGTCCATCCGTCTTGGCCGTCCCCGTTGAGGATCATCACGATTGTCCATCTCTGAGGGCATTCCCCTCAATTGACTATTGCCCAATAGGCAGATACAGACGGTCAGCATTGAGTTGGTTTGCATACTGTCCCTCCTACTGTAGGTCAAGTAATACTAACGGATGCGTCGCATCACCATGAGATAATGCCACGACGAAAAACAACTCAACAGCTTCATCATCATGACTCGTGAATATACATTACAGTAACGCTAGTCATACCGAGATACGTAAAAATAACATCGCTTTTATCTGAATCATGCAAATCCTCTTCCCACCATCATCCAAATCAAGCTTCTTCACACCCTCACCGTCGACGGCTTCATCCCGGGCATGGCGTCTGCCGAACGACTCGAGTCCAGCTGAAAGGGCGCACTCGAACTCGCTCCATCGGCAAACGGACACGGCCCCTCGTCCTTTGCATCCAGCTTCAGATCCTCGTTGTATCGCCGGATCGTCTCTGCCACTCTCCTGTCGATGTAGGTCACAATCAGGTTGCTGATTTCGGCGTCGAGCTCCTCAATCTCGCGCACCATGGCGCCCAGCTTGTGCCACCCGACGACATTCTTCGCGGCATTGTTCCAGCTGCTGGCCGCTGCGCATACGCAATTCATTTCGAATTCGAGCACCTTGCGGTATAGTTTTAGTAGTCGGTCTCTTGTTCGGCCGCGTTGCTCGAGAAAGTCGGCGTCGCTCTTCCATGCGCTGGCCATGATGAGTTCTGACAGGTGCATGTACCATGGGATGCGTCCGAGAACGTGCAGGGCACCGCGCTTCATGTCTTCAATTGCTATTGTCGCGCCGAGAAGAAGCTATTGATGAAAATAAATAATTGGCCAATCATACAAACTAGTAAACATGGAGATGACAGAGTAATCATACCGGTGTCAGTATGCAGATGCCTGACCAGGCCACTGCGGTGGATGGATAGTCTGCCCATACAGACTTGATAATCTTCCTGGAAGCCCGAATCAAGGCTTTGGCCTGGTCGTCTGCCTGAGATTTGGCCCGGCATTTTTTGAGGCCCGCTTCGGTGATGGTGATTAACGTCCTTAACCTGTCGTCATCGGATCGTGGGAGAGACTGGTTGATTCCGCCAATGGACTGGCCGTGAGGCAGTTCCTGGCACAGGATCGACTCGTAGACAGTCACCAGGCCAGCTGTGCTTAGACCATCACGGAGGGAGTTGTAGGCTGAATTCCAGAGGTCGAGAGAGATGCCCGTATCCCGGCCGTATGGCTTTGGGGCAGAGAAACTGGAGTTTGCCGAGGCCGGTACTTTGTAAGAACCCAGCCATTTAGGTGTCGCGATGCCGCTGTCGGCATCAGAGTCGTCTGGGCTCGTATCATGAGGGTTGGAGTGATGGAGCAGCCGGCTAACCAGCTTCTTGATGCGGCCGGTCTGGGGGTCGTGAGATTTTGTCATTTTGAGGGAACTGGTGGGGTATCAATGGAGATGACAAAAAAAAAAAAAGAAGAGGTTTTTCTTTCAAAGAGACAGTGCAGGCTAGAGTGACTACTAAATACATGTAGTCAGAAACGTTCATGTGGTATCACAGCTCTGCACACAAGGAACCATGGCGATGGGCAGCATACAAGAGGTTATTGGTGTTGACACAAAAGTGGGCGGTGACTTATAGATATTCAATTTTTCTCTTTTAGTGACCGGCAGACCGGCTCCAAGTGACGTTTTGCTCTGCTTCTCTCAGCCCACTCCAGCTCCGGCTGAGGGCCGGATTCGGTGTTCGGCCAGGCGGCAATCGGCATAAGCACAGCGCCTAAGCATGATGGCATCATGATCCGGTGCCGACGGCGACAAGGTGGCTGAAGCCCCCCAGAGCCAGAGCCCCAATGGTCCAATCACCCCGGATTCTGGGTGGGTGCGGCCCTCGTGGTTGGATCGCCGCGAGCTCGGCTTTTGGGGGCGGATTGCGATGAATGGAGGCTGGGTATAAGAGGGATGGAGTGAGTGTGAATCCCCGTGCTATTCGCGTCAGCCATCCAGCTACAGCTTCAGAGCTAACCAGCCACGGGCCGGAGTCGAAGCATCGGACCGGTTTCCAATTGCCATGAAATACTGTAACTAAACATTGGCTGCGGCGATAGAGAAACGAGGATCACCTGAAACACTGCCAATCAAAGGCAGGGCTTCTGTCTGACACGTGCCATTTTTGGAGCGAGGCATCACATCGTATCATATAGTAGCTACCTCTAGAAGTTCGCCTCAGCTGCTTGCGCGGTCAACTAAACTCTCACCTTGCAAACCTACGCACGGTGGCAGTAACAGTGAATACATCCGGTTTGTTCATCTTTTTACCACAGTACTAGGGAATTCAGGCATTCCCGTTTTAGCTCCCTTTCTCCGCGGCTACTGAATCGCGAAGCGTCCGGCGCGACAATCGTTGCTTGATTCGGCCACAACTTGGGAGAAGAGCCTAAACCCATCACGAACCATCAGGTTTCGGGACCGGGCATGCGATCGTCAATCCGCAGCACTTTGATTAGGGGCACAGGCGAATGGGCTGCTGCAGATGATCAGCAGGTTGCCGTTGCATGACCCGAGTGTGAGGTTATCCCCGCGGCCCTTTAATTTCCACTTCCCGCGTCGCTCAAGAACTGCTGCAGAGGCGATGCGGAAGAATCATCTTGGGTGGAAGAGGTGAAGAGATGGAGACATTGGCGGGCCCTGTTGTTTGAGTTAGTATCTTCCGAACATCACTGCCTTCTGCTACAGTAACTGCAATGGCTACCTATACTAGGTATGCTTCTAGTATTGAGCATCACCACTCACTAATTGCCCATGTTGCGCCGGGGGTTGCTGAATAGCAAAATTAGGGTTGCTGAATAGGCCTTTCCTTGATCAACACACCGACGTTAAAAGACTCCGGGTCCCTGCATGAATGGCATCTGCGGGTCGGTACATAAAAAGGGCTCATTCTAGGTCCCAAGTCTCAAATGAGGCTATTCATACTCGTATTCTCACTCGCACCGACGCAAAATATGAGCAAAATCAGACACCTTCAAGGGCCCATGTGCGATCCCTACTTCGAGACTTGAGCCGGCCACCAACTCACCACTCACCACTCACCACTCACAACCCCGGCACGGTATTTAACAGGCCCGCTACCTTGTCCGCGATCGCCGGCTGATGCCATGTTTCATTCAACAATTGCCTTGTTCGTCCTATTGTCCGGTTGACTGAAGGTGTGGACTCGGAATTCTGCCGCCGCAGCGCTCCAGCCCTCGGTCCTCACCGCATGCAAACGAAACAAAACGAACTGCCGATCTTGCTACCTTATTTTCTCTTCTTCTCCTCTCCTCCTCTCCTGTTCTTCTCTTTTCCTCTTCCCCCTTTCCACAACCACGTGCAACTCGGCAATCAGTCCGCAATCCCATCGCTCAGTCTTCTCTACCTTGACAAGCAACGACTCCATCATCTCAGCTCAGAGATATCCAGCATCATGAAGTTCATCTCCGTCTTGGCCGGTCTGGCTGCTGCTGCAGTCGTGGCTGCTGCTCCCGCTGGATTCCAGAACAGCACCGACATCACCTGGAACCCGTCCCCGTCGGATCAGACAACCTGCGATCCCTCCAGCTTCTCCCAAGCTCCCATCGCCGGTGCCGCGGACTGGCGTTATTGCGCTGCCCTCTCGAGCGCCTGGGCCAACGAGAACGGAACATTCAGCATCCACAACGTCTCCGGCAGTGCCTTTATCCCCGTCCTCAAGACCGAAGGCTGCGTCTTGGGCGTCAAGGCCTCTGAGCAGGGCCAGGGACCCTACACTATAGGAGACCAGGACGTCAAGGCCATCCTCAGAATCGCGCTCGAGGACTATTCGGAGGGAACCGACCTCTCTGTCGAGGGCAGCGTCAAGTGCAACGTTGCCGATGGTGGTCGGTCTGACCTTCACTGGCAAATTGCCGGCCAGTAAACACCAGTGTTCTGGATGAGATGCTACCTTTTGCTCTACCAAGGTAGCATACCCTTTCTATTAAGCATATACGGTACGCCTTGGTTTGAACGCGTCTGGTGTGTGTTGACGCCAAGCTAATCTCTCTACAGGATTCGTTCACGGTGTTGCGGCTTCGACGACTCTTTCTAGTGGCGTTATGGGGGACGAAGGCATTGATGGATACGGATGAACTCGCTCGACATGGGCTGGGTGTTGCATTTAGCGAAGACGGGCAGAATATACGCGTCTCCAGCATTTTCAAGGAGCATTGATGCACTTCTGACTGCGAGATTCCTCTCAACCGTGATACCTTGGTGAACCATTGTGACATGATGAAATCCAATATTAGTCTAGCCTACCTACGCATAGATGAGCAAGCATTATTGGTAAAGTCCCCGGCAAGGTGGAAAAGGAGAGACATTGGTGCCGACATCTGAGACAATATTTCATATGCACGACATCCGTTGATTCAGGCCGCGATTTATCGCCATCAACCAATACTTTGTAGAGTGTAAAGGCCGGTGTTTGTACTCGTAAACGTCTAGTGGTTCTTTAACCTGTGTGAAATAATTAGGGTTCATCATCGAGACTTTACTGTTTAGTGTAGATTTTGAAAAGTTTTGAGGGCATGTTTTCTGTCTTGGTGTATTTGTATCTATGTTAATGAGGAACCTTCTCTAATGAAAAGCTACTCTACCACACTAAAAGTGCACTATAGATCCATCTTTACATGATATGAAATCTTCATGATTAATATGGACAATGTTGCTTATTTATCTGAGGCCCCTTTCTTGGTAAATGCGCCGAAGTTTCGCACATATTTGCTTCATGATGGCCAAGTCCAGGGTAGCATGGAACTCGATATATCTGCAGGCAAAAATCATAGCAGTGACTGTCGCCTGCAGAGCTCCAGCTGCAGCTCCAGCTGCCATTGGGCAAACAAGGCGCTGGGCTTTAGTGACTGCTGGGCGCTGAAGCCACTAAACAGCTGGCAAAAAGTGGCCCGTGCGTCAACGCCGTCACGCTGCAGGCACCAAAAAACCAAAAGCCTTGCCGCCCAACTGGGACTAGGCCCGTTCAGTCCAAAGGCTCTATTTTGCTGCGGCTTCTCGATGCGCGCCAGAGCTCGTCGTTTTTGTCTCTGTTCCATCAAGCTCTGCGGCCCTCAAACTCTCACTCCCCGAGCCTCGCCTTTTTCCCCTTCATTCTTGATCATCTCGTCGCGGGCACTGAGAGCCGTTGATGAGATTGAGATTCAGGCTCTGCGACTGCCTGGATTAATTCGCCCCGTTTCATCCAGTCGTTCCCTATTCCTTTCCCTTTCCCTTTCCCTGTTCCTGTTCCTTTCTTTTCCCTCTTCTTTCCGTCCTCATCACGATCACGCCCGCGTTCGACAACCATCAGCCCCCCGGTATCGCCTCCCCTCTCGACCGAGTAATGACGAGACTCGCGCTGTCATTGCCATTGTCGACCTAAGTTCAAGGGCACAGCACAATGGCGGCGGTCGATGTCGACGTCGGCTACATCGCGGGCCACCTGGGCCTTGACCAGCCTGTGGTGGCTACTCTGACGACGCAGCCCACCGTTGATCTAGTTACTACGCTGCTGCAGGCCGTAGCTGCCAAGGCACACGACTTCGAGACGCTGTACGCCGAGAAGCTCCAAACCGACATTGAACTGGAGAATGCAGTTCGAAACTCCGAGACCAAGTCCCAGACCTTCAAGGCCACCGCCGAAAAGGCTCTCAAGGATGTCGAAGAAGCCCGACAGCGCCTCAAGGAGGAGGGTACGTGTTTTCCAACCCCTAGTGGCTGAAATGCCGCGTCACAATTTCCATCTGACCGTGTTTGCGCACCTTAGAAACGAAACGACAGTCCTTGGAGAACGAACTTCAAAGTCTGAAAGCAAAGTACTCCGATCACGATGCCGAAGTCAAGGCGCTCAACGACAAGATCGAGACCCTCCAGTCCTCCAACCGAACAAACCTCAGCATCATCGAATCCAATAACAAGCGCGACCAGACCTTGACCGAGGAACTCACCAAGCAGCACCAGCGAAATGTTGAGCTCGCCCGAGAAGTAACGACTCTTCAGCAGTCGGAGCAAAATGCCAAGGGTCAGCTCAACAGTGCCAAGTACCGACAGGACGCACTCCAGCAGCAACTTGATTTGGCACGTCAGAATGCCGAATGGCTCGAGACGGAGCTGAAAACCAAGAGCGACGAGGCCCTCAAGTACCGCAAGGAAAAGGGCTCCAGGATTGCCGAGCTCCAGAGACAAAACGAAGACACCAAGGCCCAGATTGACGCTTTTAAGCGCTCTGAGCAGCAGCTCCGCGAGCGACTCGATGCTATGCAGGCCAGGGCTGACGATGCTCTTGTCAAGTTGCAAAAGCAGGAGGGCTCTTTTGCGGCCACTGTCGAGAGCTACAAGCAAGAGCTGGACGACCAACGACGCCTTGTTGAAATGTCCGAGCAGCTGAGCAAGAAACACCAGGACCGTGTGCGAGAGTTGGAGTCTGAGAAGGAGCGCCTCAAAGATAATTACGAAAACGAACTTCGCCGTGTTCGCTTGGAGCTGGAATCGGAACGCCGTGTTACCGCCGAGATGGAGGAGCGAATTCGACAACTTGAGAGCGACCTGGATGCGGCCCACGTCCGCATGGAGCACGCTGCCCCCCCGTCATCGTTACCGCAGACCCCTCTACTGAATGGCTCAACCGTGGCCCGGGCCAACTCTCCCTTTGGAACCCCTGGCTCTGGACGAAACAAGTCGACCATCACTGCTACCCAAGCGATCGAGCAGCTTTACCAGGTCAAGGGTCAGCTCGCCGGCGAGAAACGGCGAAACCAGCAGCTCGCCGAAGAGCTCGATGGCATGATTGCTGCGTTGGAAGCCAAAACACCAGAAATCCAGGAGCTTCAGTCCGAAGCCGAGACGCTTCGAAACGAGATTGCACACATGTCTGAGCTGTCACAGCAGAGTTTCGAAGAGCGAGATGCGGCGAGAAAGGCGGCCAGGAAGGCAGAAAGCACGCTTGCTACTGCACAGTCCGAGAGCAAGATTCTACGTACTCAGCTGAGAGATTTGGGCACACAGATCCAGATGCTCGTCTTCAACATCTATGCTTTGGAAAGAGGCATGGATCAGCTGACTGAGGAGGAAAAGTACCGCCTACAGCAGCTTGAAAAGGGAGAGATCACCGAGGAGGCCCTGTCCGACATGTCGGATACTCACCAGTTCATTACCCAGAAATTGGTGGTTTTCAAGGACATCAAGTCTCTACAGGCCAAGAACGAGGACCTCCTGCGCATCACCCGCGAGCTCGCTGAGCAGATGGAAAGCGAAGAGGCCTTGGCCGCCAAGCATCAGGCTAAGGAGGACCACGACTTGGTTGAGAGGCTGCAGCAAGACCTCACCCATATGATGGAAGAGATCAAGTCTGCCAAAATCACCATGGAAAGCTACAAGATGGAGCGTGATATGTTCCGACGCCTTCTTCAGCAACGTGGTGCCGGCGACGACCCTTCCCACATGCGCCATTCTATTGGTGGCCAGATGCCAATCGGCAGCATTGAGACTGGAGAGCAGACCGAGACTCTGACGGAAGCCCTGCGTAAGATTCAGGCAGAGTACGACAGCTTCCGAGACGCTCAAGATGGTGTACGCAAGGACTTTAGAGATCAAATCGATCATCTCTCATCGGAGAAGAACGCACTCCAGACTGCCAACATCAGGCTACAGGGCGAGGCTAGGCTGGAGTTTGAACGACGGGAGATGCTCCAGAGCAACTACGTCGCCCTTCAGAATGAGAACTCTGAACTCCAAAAGAGGACCCAGATTCTTTCCGAGACCGCCGCCAAGCAGGATATTAGGGTCCAGCAAGTGGCGGAAGAACTTATCGAAGTCAAGGGTCTCCTGGACAGCATGCGAAACGAGACTGCCAATCTCAAGGCGGAGAAGAAGCTTTGGAAGGACATTCAAGAGCGCATGAGCAAGGACAATGACTCCTTGATTGAGGAGAAGAATAGGCTGGGCAACCTCCTGACGGCCCAGCAATCCCTGGAAAACGAACGCAACATTACCGAATCCGAGGCTCGTCGCAAAGCTCAAACCAAGATTGAAACGTTGGAGCTTGAGCTGAGCACTGCGCAGAAGAAGCTATCCCAAGCCGTAGAGGACTCTCAGCACCTGCAACAGAGGAAGGAATACGAGGCAAAGGAATCCCAGAAGCGGATTGATGATCTCATGGCCAGCCTGAGCCAACTCCGAGAGGAGCACGTCAGCATCAAAACGTCCCGTGATCATCTCCAAGCTCGCGTTGATGAGTTGACTGTAGAGCTCCGAAGTGCCGAAGAGCGCGCTGGCCGCCTACAGCCTCGTCCTACGCCTCGACCGGGCCTCATGACAGACAGCAACGTGCGCCAGCAAGAGCTTGAAGCTGAGATTCAGGATCTCAACAATGATATTTCGGACCTCAAGCGCGACCTCGACATGGCCAACACGCAGTTGGAAAACGCAAAGGCTCAGGCCGAGCAGTACAAGGAGCTGAGTCAGGGCAACGAGGAGGCTTTGGAGGACTTGCGAGCCTCGCAAGACGAGTACCGGCAGGAGATGGAGAATCTCATTCAGCAAAAGGATGCGAGGATCAAGGAGCTGGGTCAGCAGATTGAAGATTTGTCCGCTGAACTGTCACGATCCAACACCGAACTGTCCACCATTCGGGACTCCCAAGGAGAGATTGCGCGCAAGTACGAAGATGAGAAGACTATACTGGAGGAGGAGATCAAGCGGCTCAAGGAAGAAAGCAGTCGACACATTGAAGCTGCCCGATATCATCAGCAAGATCTTCGTGCTCAGGCTGAGATCGCCTCGAAGGCCCAGCAGGACTACGAGAAGGAGCTTGTTAAGCATGCTGAAGCTGCCAAGCTGGTTCAGGAGTTGCGCAACGAGTATAACGAGTACAAGCGCGAGTCTGCATCACTGCGCGCGGAAGCAGAATCTGCCAAGGTCACGCTCGCGCAAAGCGAGAGCTCCTGGGAAGACCGAAGACTGCAGCTGGAGCAGGAGATGGCCGAGCTCAAACAAAGGCGCGAGGATGCCAACGCGCAGAACAAGCTTCTGCATCAGCAACTCGAAAGCTTGACCGGCCAGATTGCAGCCATGCAGCAAAACCGCAGCAACATTGCTGATGCGGATGAGGCCATGTCGCCCGTTGGCATGGGCGATGCCATCGAGGGCATGCGAGAGTTGAATGGGTACCTGCGTCGCGAAAAGGAGATTCTCGAAGTCCAGTACGATATGAAGACCAACGAATCGAAGCGCCTGCAGCAACAAGTCGAGTATCTGCAGTCACAGCTGGATGAGACTCGTCTGAAGCTCGACCAAGAGCGCCAGGCTTCGCAAAGCGGCAACACTTCCATGGCTCACAAGGATCTGATGGAGAAACTACACGAGCTTAACCTCTACCGCGAGAGCAGCATGGCTCTTCGGACGGAGAATAGCCAACTCAAGGATCAGATCAGCGAGAAGAACAAGAAGGTCGACGAGATGACGCAGAAGATTCAGCCTCTCGAGAGCGAGATTGACAACCTAAACACTCAAAAGTCGTTCTTGGAAGAGGAGATTAAGCAAATCCAGGAGGATCGCGATCGCTGGCAGAAGAGGACCGAGGGCATCCTGACCAAGTATGGTCGTGTTGACCCGGCCGAGATGGAGCAGCTGAAACAGACCATTGCCGACCTCGAAAAGGAGCGGGATGCTCTCAAGGAGGGCGAACAGCCGCTGCAGGCCAAGGTCGCCGAGCTTGAATCGACCCTTGAAACTGAACGGACCAATTGGTCAAATACTCGAGCTAAGCTTACGGAGCAGTTCAAGGAGCGATCCCGGAAGATTAGTGGTGAAAAGAATGAGGCCAGCCAGCGAGCCAACACCCTACAAGAGCAGCTTGACAAGGCCAATGGCGTCCTTTCTGCTACACAGAAGCAAGCGGAGCAGTTCAATGAGGAGAGGGCGGAATTGCTGAAGCAAATCCATGCATTCCAGCAGCAGGTCGAGGAGCTGCGCCGACAAGGACAACAAACACAGCCCTTGGCCGCACAGCCAGTCTCTCAGCAGCCACAACCTGATGCCTCTGCATCCTCAGAAGTTGTTACTGTGCTAGAGCAGCGTCTCGCCGATGCCCAAAAGGAGCTGGAGGCAGTCAATGCCCAGAAACTAGGAGCACAGCAGCAGCTCGAAAGACTACGAGGCGAGCTACAGACAGCTACCTCGGAGCGCGACAGCGCGTTGCTGAAGCTGCAAGAAGCCAACGCTGCAGCGCCATCCAATTCTACCGAGGCTGTGCCTACCGCTGTGCCGGAGGCAGGAGAGGGTCAAGCAGCCACGAATGGCTTGTCAGATGCCGAGAGGAAACAATTAGAAAGCAAGCTTGCTGCCGCCGAAGCAAAGGCTGCCGAATTCGAGCACAAGGCCAACGAAGTTGAAGCCAAGATCCAGCAAACGATTAAGGAGCGATCGGACAGGATGAAGGACACGCTGAACAATAAACTCAAGGAGAGCCGTGCCAAGTTGGAGGAAGAGTTCAAGAGGAAAGACGACGACCTCAAGCTCCGGTTCGAGCAAGAGAAACTAATCTGGCAGATGGAGAACCCCTCTAAATCAGCGCCTGCAAAGGAAACCTCGGCTGCCGAGCAGCAACCGCCAAACACGCCAGCCAAGGTTGAAGCACCCTCAGTACCACCAACTCCAGCTCCAAGCGGGCCACCTGATCTCTCGCGATTAGACGATTCCTCCATTCGTCAGTTCCTGGCTTCCAACGCCACCGTCAAGAATATCATAGCCGCCAACATTCGCAAGAAGTTGGATACGGAGAGCGCCAAGATCAAGTCTGAGTATGAAGGCAAAATCACAGCCGCGCGCGACCAAGCTCAACTCATGGAGTCCAAGAAGTCCACCCTCCGGATCAACATGGCGGAGAACAAGCTTAGACATGCGACCGCGAAACTTGGCGTAGTTGAGACAGCCGCGAACGAGACGCCACAGAAGCCGGTAGTAGAAGTCTGGGAGGTTGCCAAAGTGACCCAGGCTCCTCCTCCGGCGCCGGCGGCAGCCAAACCCCCGGCTCCAACCCCAGCTACGACTACGCCAGTAAGGCAACCGTCCATCTCTGGCGGCGCCCCTGCTTCAACTGCCGTCCCTCCTGGTGCGGCTGCTCAGCCTGCCCCCGGCGGTCCGAGACCTGCACTGGCACCTTTGGTAGCGACAACTCCTTCACAAGCCGCTACCCAACCTCCTCCAGAGCCCAAGGCCGCAGACTCGGCTGCACCCGCGGGCGGCAACATCCAGCCCCCCCAGGCTTCAAATCCGTTCGCGGTGCCTACGACGGGCGGCTCTGCTGCTCCCAACCCCTTTGTGCAGACGGACGCTGCCGCTGCCCCTGCGGCCCAACCAGCCCAGCCTCAACCAGGCTTGCCACAAGCACAACAACCAACTCAAGCACCACAACCGTTACAGCTGCCTCAAATCCCACCTCAACCCCAGCAGCAGGGACAGATGCCAGTGCGGTCTGGCATCCCGATGCCTCGCGGCGGCGGGCGTGGACGAGGAGGGGCATACGTGCCTCCTGGCCGAGGGGGGCCGGCCGGTAACGAAGCTGGACAGGGCCATGCTGGCCGTGGCGGACGCGGAGGTGCACGAGGAGGTCGCGGTGGCATGAATGCGGCCGCATCTGAGTTCCAGCCGGGAGCGAAGCGACCCAGAGGCGATTCAGAAGCCGCCGGTGCTGGAGCAAAGAGAGCAAGAGGAGCCCACTAAGCTCGATGAACGAATGGCGACGAGCAGATTATTGGGATAAGGCTTGCAATGTATAATGACAGAGAGGATAGACTCTCAATCTATCTAATCGATGATTGCTGTGTTATTGGAGGGAAAAGATTCAGGGAGATATAAAATGGACATGGAGAGGATGTTGGGGGTGCATTGCTGTATTCATAGCATTATTACTAGTTAAACTCGGACGCATTTTTCTTTTCTTTTTCCTTTACAACCGACTTGTCCTACCCATATATGGCGATGGAATCTCAGCTCATGGTGGTGATTTTGAATCATCTCAGCGTTGATGAATGACTTGGAGGCCCTTCTTCAACATGACGTGTACTCTATACATGTTTCCACTGCCGTTAGTCGAGGCCACAGAAGTATCCAATACTAGACTACATAGATCGGCGGATCGGAGCCTAGTGCGGCCGGGCTCAGCTGCTAAGATAAGTGCAACAGGAAAAAAAAAAACTTTTGAAGCTTGACTGCGATAAGAGAATCTTGCGACAACTTCCACCTCTGAGTGACATTGGGATTCCACAAAGCCGTCCATCACTTCACCCGAATCAATTCCCCGATGGTGCCGCCGTCCAAGAAACGAAAGCTTCCGTCCGTCGCCGCACCGGCTGCGAAGCGCTCCAAGAATTCGGCCAAGGGCGCTGCTGCGAAAACAAACCCCAAAGTTGCCGGCAAGGCCAAGGCAAAGCCTGCGCGGCGCCTGGTCGAGGCTACTTCTCTGGCCTGGCAATCGGTGGGAGAGGAATTCGGCGGGCTCGAGGTGATTGAGGGAGTTGATGTGGTAAGAAATGGTGGGACTGTGCAGTTTTTAGTGGCGGAGCAGCAGCAGCAGCAGCAGCAGAACGCCGACTCTTCCGATTCAACACCACGACAGGGGGCGGCAGAGATCCAAGATGCCGTCGGTGAACCTGCTCAAGGGCCTGGCGACGGCGCTGTGGAAGGCGAGGATGTCGATCCCGGCCAAGCTGGCGATTCTCAAGGTGGCGTGGAGGGCAAGGGGAGCCAAAAGAAGGCTGCAAGAAAGGACAGGGCCGGGGAGCAGAAGAAGGAAGCAGGCGGGAAGCTGGCGGCGGCCGCGAAAGAGCTACAAAAGCCCGCTTCACACAAGCAGCAGCAAGGCAACAAGCAGCAGCAAGGCAGCAAGCAGCAGGGCAACTCCTTCGACGCCCTCATGGCCGTGGACGACGCCGCCGAAGAAGAAGCAGACATGGGTGCCTGGGTGGAGCTGAACCTGTCGACGCGCACCGTGTCTGCGATTGCGAGGCTGGGATTCGCGAAGCCGACGCTGATCCAGCAGAAGACGATTCCCGAGATCCTGGCGGGCGACGACGTGATTGGAAAGGCGCAGACGGGATCGGGAAAGACGCTGGCGTTTGGCATCCCGATTGTGGAGAAGTGGCTGGAGCTGTACGTGGACAAGACGAATGTCAAGCGGGAGGGCCCGACGGCGGTTGTTCTCAGCCCGACGAGAGAGTTGGCGAAGCAGATCTCGGACCACATCAAGGCGCTGTGCGATGGGTTGCCGACTGCGCCGTACGTCTGCACGGTTACGGGTGGTTTGAGCATTCAGAAGCAGCAGAGACAGCTGGAGAAGGCTGACATTGTCATTGCGACACCGGGTCGTCTTTGGGAGGTCCTGGACGGCGACATGAGTCTGCAGGAATCCTTTACCAAGATCAAATTCCTGGTTGTCGACGAGGCGGATAGACTATTCAAGGCGGGACAGTTCAAGGAGGCGGAAGATATCATTGGTGCGTTGGATCGACGAGACCCGGAGGCCGATGACGAGGATGACGATGAACTTCCTCCCCGACAGACGCTTGTTTTCTCGGCTACTTTTGATAAGAATCTGCAGTCTAAATTGGCGGGCAGAGGCAAGGGCTCCAAGACGGGGAGCGATGAGGAAAAGATGGAGTATCTGATGAAGAGTCTCAAGTTCCGGGGCGAGCCCAAGTTTATCGATGTCAACCCGGTGTCGCAGATGGCTGATGGCCTGAAGGAGGGCTTGATTGAATGCGGTGCCATGGAAAAGGTAAGACGCTTTTCACGCTTCTTTGAGCCACTGTTGCTAATATTTCATAAACCAGGATCTCTACTTGTACACCGTTCTTGTCCTCAACCCCGGCCGTCGCACTCTCGTCTTTACAAACTCCATCTCCGCCGTTCGCCGTCTCACGCCTCTCCTCCAGAACCTCGGCCTCTCAGCGCTCCCCTTGCACTCTCAAATGATTCAAAAAGCGCGTCTGCGATCCATTGAGCGCTTCGCCGCTGCCAGCAACTCCATCCTCGTCGCGACAGATGTGGCCGCTCGAGGTCTCGATATCAAAGAAGTCGACCAAGTTTTGCACTACCACGTGCCTCGCCAGGCGGACACTTATATCCATCGATCGGGTCGAACTGCTCGTGGCGATCGTTCTGGTATCAGTGTTATCCTGTGTTCCCCAGAGGAAGTCTTGCCGACTCGTCGTCTGGCGAGCAAAGTCCATTCCGAACGAGAGGGCGGCGGCGGCGGCGTCAAGCGTGAGCATTTCATCGAGACGCTCGCCATTGACAGGAAAATCGCCGCTCGCCTCAAGTCTCGCGTTGATCTTGCCAAGCGCATTGCCGATGCCGTGTTGGCAAAGGAAAAGGGCCATAGCGAAGACGCGTGGTTGCGGAATGCCGCCGAGGAACTTGGTGTGGATTACGATTCGGAAGAGTTCGATGGTACGGCGCCCGGGAACTGGGGTGGCAGGGGAGGAGGGCGGAAGAAGAAGGAGAAGGAGGCTCGGCAGCTGAGTAAAGCGGAGATGGGAGCGTTGAGGGCGCAGTTGCGTGAGGAGCTGAGCAGGAGGGTGAATCTTGGGGTGAGCGAGAAGTACATCACGGGAGGGAGAGTTGATGTTGGTGCGTTGTTGAGGGAGAGGGAGAAGGGGTCTGTCGGGGGGCTGTTTTTGGGGGGAGATGGGCTTATGGGGCTGAATATATAGATTTGTTTTTTATATCAAGGCATAACTGCTCATGATGCATCATTGTTAGATCTAGCGAGAGAGGATCAACTTCTGTTAGTGAATGCCGACTCTTGCTTTCTTTGATACTGCCTGCTCTGAGATACTGGGTGAAATGATCCTACCAACCTTCCTTTGGTATACACACAATACAACTGAATGCTACAAAAACGCCTCATCGAATATTCCTTTCTTTTTCTTCATCATTGCCTCACGCCGACACTTTCTTTCGCCGGATCTGAATCTCTGCTTTCAGATGCGGAATGATGGTGCCGCCTATCCATTGCTTCTCAGGCATCTTGCCAACTAGCTTAATGTCGTAGTTGAGGAGGAGATGGATCATGATGAGCTTCAATTCATGCGCGACGAAGAATCGCCCGGGGCTACTCCATACGTTAGCACGCCGCCGACAATTCCATCTTCAAAAAAACACTCACCAAGCGTGTCTGCCATGGCCAAATGCCAAGTGCTGGGGACTCGTAGTCACCATTCCAAGACCCCGTATTCTCGTGCCCTCTTCAGGCTCGCTCTTCTTCTCTTCGTCTGATTTTGCGTCCCAAGCTTCTCTGACCTGGGAATAGCGGAGAGGATTGTACGAGTGGGGGTCTTTGTAGAGGTCCTGATCGTGGTGCGTCCCTTCGAGGTTGACGGTGACGAAACTGCCCTTTGGAAGAGTCCAGCCTAGCTCTGGGTTGTACAGGCCGTTGTCGGCGACGACCTTGCGTTCAATCATTGTGACGGCGAAGTTGCTGACTCGCTGGGACTCGCGGATGGAAGAGTCGAGACGGACGAGGTTCGAGATGGCAGCCTTTGTCCAGGGGCCGGATTCGGGTTTGTTGGCGTTGATTTCCGCTCGGAGGATGTCTAGGATGCCGGTTTCGGGATCCGAGGTGAGCAGATCTTGCATCCATAGCTGGCCTGTCAACACTGTGGTGTGGATTGCGGCAAATTCAATGGGAAGAAGTCGTTTAGAAATAACAATGGGGTCTAGCTCGAATGTCTTTCCGTCTGCGAGTGCCTGTCGGATTAACCAGGTGATGAAGTCTTCGGGAGGCGTAAAGTCCTTGTACTCGGGATCGCCCGCGGCGTTCTTCAGCATGGCATTGAGACGCTTCTCAATGATGGGCTGGGCCGGAGCGTTGGCCGAGCGCCAGTGGAGATAGTTGAACATGCCAAAGATGCGGCCAAAGATGGGATGGAGGACCTTTGGGATGACTTGGAGCAGGAAGCCGTTGCGGACAACGTCGTTTGTAAAGCTGACCATTCCATCGATGAACTGCTTGTTGCGGCAGACTTCGGGCCCGATGAGCAATCTGTTGGTGACGTGCGGTACGATGTCAAGCCAGAGGTTCCACAGCTTGAACGACTTCCAGTTTTCTGCGTCGTTTCCTAGAGTTGTGTCTATTGCGTGTTGAATCTCGTCGTCGACGTTGGGGATAACGGTGGATAGATGCCGGGCTATATACTTGTGCATTACGCGATTAGGAAATGGGTCATAGGCCAAGCGGCGGCCGAGAAAGTTGTATTCGGAATACAGGACGGCATTGTGGGCATCATAGGTCGAGAGGATGTGGTCGGGCTGATCCATCATCCAGCCAATCTGGTTGCGAGGGATGACGACCTCTGAAGGGCGAGATAACGGAGATCGCACGACGAAGGGTAGGCCTTTTTTGCCAAACTGTGAACGCTCTGGTTAACCACTTTGAGTAGTACTTTGTTTGCAAAGATGCTGCTGCTCACTTTGACGTAGCCATCGCTGACCCAACGGTGATAGTTTGTGAGGTAACGGAAGCTGTCAAGTAAAGCGTTGAGCATTCCATGGCCCTTACCCATGACAGGAATCTGGCTTGGATACTGCGGGTGACTCGCGAAGTCGACAACGAAGGACAAGATCAGAAAAAGAGCGCCAAAGCTCCAAAGCTGGCTCGAGGTCACAGACCCCAGCAACTCGGGAATCGCCATGCTGAGTGTGAGCGTCGAGACTGAGACGGTTGCTATTTGCTTTCGTGCTACTCTCGCGGGTGAGTCATCCCTCACATATGACCACCCGTCGTTTCAGAGCGATCTGGTCAGATCAGAAAGAAGTTATGTTTTGAAACAAGAGATCAGATGAACAGACGCACGGAAAGAATTATGAGAGGGGGGAATGAAATCATCTTGAGCGGAAGACATTGCGTCGCAGTAGGCGGAGGCGATGCTTATGCGAAACCGAGCTATAAAAATAGCCACCAGGAACGAGAATTACATCACCACGGCAGCGGGGAGATTGCTGATAGCTCACCGGAGCTACTCCAGCCGATGATGTCGGGCTAATGGCGTCCAACCGGTTGCTCTTAGCGTTGTCTTACCGGGTGGTGTTGCATCTTTGTTGGAGGCTTAGGAATGACGAGTCGAAACTCGTCTGACGGTGACTTTACGGTTCCCGTGTTCCCGATGCTGACGGAGAATTCGAAAGTTGTAATTCCGATGAGACAAGATTCATCGTTTGGCGCTGCGTCTCATGGTTGACCAATTTTGCCTCGAAAGAGGGTTGCGACAGCTCCTTTTCTTTGGAGCTATTAGATGTGTTGCGGCTGTCTGCCCGGGGGGTCTGAAACCCCGAATCCACTTAGCGTCGGAAGGATTCATATCGAACATGTCCTCGTTTTATGGACGCTGCCATTGGCTACGGGAACAAAGGGCGACGTGAATGTTGCAGAGTTTGGAGGTTTCCCATTGGTGGCTCCGAAATGGTTGCTGCTGCACTTGATAAGCACTGAGGGGTGCAGGATCGGAACAACGGGACAAAGAAGCAAACCGAAACGGGAATTGGCATGTGGGAGCGAGATTGTGCCTGAGTCTTGATCTGTTGGATGGTTGGTCATGATACTGCAATGTACAGGGACTTAGTTGTGTTTCCACACTTGACTAGAGTTCTTTTTCTTCAATGCTGTGGTTGCAGCCGACGGATATAAGCTCGATTGAACTCCAGCCATTGCCATGATAATTTTGGAGCATCCGATCGTATGCATCACATCTCACCGAAGAATGTCGTACGGAAAGCGCTGAAGTCAAGGATGTATTGGTTTCCTGCGACTCGTTTTCACCCGTAACATCGTCATCTCCAGAAGCCAAGACTTCAAATGACTTTTGTGTAGATGCTCCTTTTCTCATCAAATCTCGTGGTCCATGGTATTCTTTCTGCACTGGGCCATCATGCTCAGTGACGGTAACGGTGTCTCTGAGTCCGCCGACATGGGAGGGATTCGGCCGCATTTGAGCCATAGGTGAAGCCGGATTCGAACCACAGCTCTCTAACCCCTGAGACTCTGGCTCTTCGCGAACATGCTTTTTCATTTCTTTCACAACATTGTTGATTCTCATGTCGTGTGCGAACATGTTGCCACTGCAATATTTACCAAAGAGCGACTCGATGGACATGGCTATCGGCAATACGTTAGCTTTTAAGAAGCATGCATATATGAGCTCGTTTGAATGACCTACCATTATTCTGCCAAGTCTCGAGATGGAATGTGCAAGGCCAAATATCCCTTGGCTTGAATGCACTCATCAGATCGCAAAGTTCGGCATAGGACGAATGCCGTGAATATGGAAATCGGATAACGTTTGGGAGAGTTGTTTCGCTCTGCTGTTCGACCTGGCTACGAGTGGGGATTGCCATCAACTGACTTTTGATGATAGAAAGCATGGCTCTTTGTAGGTCGGTCGAATGAGCGTCTTCAGTAGATGAAAGACTCATTTTGAGCTGTAAATCGCGTCCACTGGTAAGGGCGTTTGTCAGAGCACGAGCACATTCACCTCGCGCTTCTTCTGTCGTATTCTTCAACGCATCTATTCTGCAAATAATTAGTTCAAATATCCATTCAGGGCATATCTTGTGCGTACATTCTGAAGAGGATTTCGAGATCGTTCTGGTTGAGGACCCCAAGCTCCGGCTCGCGCTCCAAGTCTTCGCCACCCCCTCCTATTCCAGCTTCTTGAATAACGCCGCCATCAGGAAATGATGCGACAACGGGCTGGATTCGGACCACTGAAGATCCTTTCGCAATCGGACACATGTTGCCGCTCTCGCAGCTATGAAGGCGGACATTGTGGTCCGAGGTAAGGCAGCCGGACTGGGGCGTATTTCCACACATGAAGCCGGTCAAGGCAGCAGCGGTTGGAGTTGGTTGAGCATCCGAGCTAGGCCGTGTCTCTGATGATGACGTGTTTAAGGAATTGTAAATACGGAGTTTGTAGTCGTCGACGTGAATCTTTATTAGCTGTTAGCGGATGACAACGTGATTCTGATGAACTGACTTACGGGAGAGTTGAGAACTTTGGACAGCGCAATCCAAACGTCTTCGTAGCCATAAGTCCAGGCTTGAATGTAAAAGACTGTATCTTTTGGATATCTGGTGACCTTGTGTAGTAACTGTGCGATTCCCTCGGCTTTCGTCTGAAACTGAATGTCGTTCACGAAGGACGTGTCGAGATATATGGTGTCTATAGTCTTGATGCCGCAAGTATACTCGATGAGAACTGGGCTTCTCGTGATGGAATTGACGAACCACGGCTCGCATCTCAGATCCCCAGTATACAGTATCGCTTTACCACGACCCTCAATCACTGAATCGTTGTTAGCAAAGGACGGTGCCATCGAAGACGAATTCACCACTTACAGAACATGACAGAGCCAGGGCAGTGGTTCGCATCAAACAGCGTCACTTGAATGCAGTTTCCAGGCTGGAGTTCGATTGTGGTTGGAGATTCCAGTGGAAGCGGCTTCTGCTCGAGAATCAGCTGCGAGTGTTCACATCCTTGTATCGGTAGCAGCCTTACGCACAATAACCTTACTTAGATGCCTGTAAGTCTGCTGCCGTGCCTCCAGAATGCCCCTGGCGTAGTTTATGCGACAGGGGTATCGCTCCAGCCGCAGTAAGATCTCCCGGGTTGCTGCAGAGCAGTAGACACTAGCAAGTTAGTGAGTAGCCAGCCCCAGCATGATGTTTTCCATGCAGGCTTACAAGGGAGATCGGAGAGTCTCGAGCCCGGAGAGGTGATCGCTGTGGACATGGCTGAGGAAGCACGCCAACGGTGGTGATGCATCAACGTGGTGTCTGAAGAAGTCGACTGTCAACCAATTAGCACAGAGCATCTTTGGCACCGGAATGAAGGAGCCGAACTTCTTATGTCTGGAAACTCGGAGACGAGGCCATTGAAGGTCGACATGGCAATCACATGGGAATCAACAGAGCGTTGGAGCTGGTAATGGCAAAGTGATTTGCATCGTCTGTGAATTTTAGTGGAAGTTGATGTTGCGACTGGACCCTTGGGTGGATGTACTGTAGGTGCTCGCTAAAGGCCGCTGCAAACTGGGCAAACTTTAGGCACCAGCGTCATTCCGCACTGTAGAGTTAGTGCGCATTCGTACAAACACTCAGCCCTGTGCACCTGAGATGGCCGCTAAATGGTTCCCAGGCTTAGGGCAGAGAGTACAGTGTCAGTTAAGTATCAACACCACAACCCGCTTCCCTTTTCTCTACTCCATCCAATCTTCCAACGTCTCTGGCAATCTCTTACAACTTATATCACGACTACCTATTAACAACGACATCTTGACACCAGTCCTTCGTCTATGAAGCTACACATCAACCTCGGTACATCTACGGCGTATCCATTGCCATATTCACGCCATCCAACACGCCCTTTGGAAAGGACACACTGCTAGTCACGTCTAGGTTTACATATTTGGAACAGTGCTGGTAATGCAATTGTATTGAGACTTGCTATGAATGGTAAATTAACCTGAAATCAAAGTGCTGACACCAATGCAATACAGACAAACTACCTGCCTGTGGGAAAAAAAACTCCGATGCGCCAAACATCTTCACTTAGTCGAAATGGATCCGCCAGAGCTCCCGATCACTTCCAGAATTAAAGTCACTCCGCGTGTGCATCATCAGGACATTGTCGCTTACTACAATGTCTCCCTTGTCCCAAACGTGATAGTAGGCCACCCTTCTATCGTGCAAGACCGAATCGATGGCCTCGCAGATTGCCGCACTGTCGGCAGCTTTTAGCCCGTCAATGGTGACGTTTGTGGGCTCGAACTGGGTCTTAGACTGAGGCCACGGCTCGTGATACCTGAGACACGGCTTTCCTGTCGTTGGGTGGGACACAATCATTGGAAGACCTTTGAGAACTGTTGCGCCAAACGAGGCTGTTGAAACCGTCCAAGTCATCTCCGACAGGGCCCCGAGCCTCAGCCAGTCTGGGAGATACTTGAGGAAAAGCGTAGACGATGCAAAGAGGGTGAATCCTGTATCACGGGGGCTCGAAGTAGCTCCAACAAAGATTTGAAACCTGAAGGGGGAAAACAGAATTAGTACGGCCACCACCTTCCACGCCTAGAGGCAGACAAGCTACTCACCGAGGTGGCGTTGAAATCAGAGTCTCCTCGCCATTCTCATCCACTTGCATCACGGTTTTGAACAAACCGTCATAGTGCCAGGGCATCCACTCGCGGGAGAGCACGTTATTCAGGCCCCGGCTATTCGTTCCATGATCCTTGACTTCCAAGATGAGGCCAAACTTCCATGCCGTTGGTTTGCCAAACTCTTCTGATTTCTTGGCGAACTGGTCCTTGTTGGGCTTCTTAATGAAACCTCGAAGGATTACGGGAGAGTTGATCTCTGATAATGAGCGAACCTTTTTGGCGTCCACGTCGTCCATTGTCATGCTGTATGGACCCCTTGCGGGCTTGACGAGAAATCCAGACGGGTACAGCGGCTCAAAGACAACGCCGCCCTTCTCGGCGCCCCACGAAAATAGATGTGATTTCTCGCGGTAGTAGCTGGGCCTGCCGTTTTCGTAGACGAGCTCATACGAATCATCATTCTCGAAATCAGACCGCATGCCGGTAGTCGTGGTGCCGTCTATTCTATATGCGACTGCGCAATGCCAAGGTGTGGTGTACGTGGAGTCTGTGGGCAATAAGCCGATGGACAGTTTGGTTGCCCCGGTGGATGGATGTATTGACAGTCGAACCGAGTCTTTGTACTTTTGTCGAACTGCGCTCGCGAATGCCTAAACCCTCAAAGTCAGCGGTGATGGACACGGAGATGGTCTTCAGGAGAGAGGCTTAGAACTTACATCGCCACGGGCCATCATCTGCTTGGCAATGTATTCGATGCCTCGCTTATACTTGGTCTTGCTGCGCTCATCTCCGATGGGATACACCGTCTCAAGATCCGTCTCCAAGAACTTGATATATCCTCTATACGTCAAGCAGACATCTTCGCTCTGGCTGACGGTCTTCCACTCCCAGTCGGGTCGGCTGAAGGTATTGAGCAGTGCTCGTCGGAAGTTTGATGCGTTTGCAACATATGTCATTTCGTCAAGCTGCTCGGGCAACTGAATCGTTACAAGATCTCGAAGACGCGAGAAGGAAATGTGTTTGTACCCCTTGGCTGAGGCCAGAGCTCTCAGTGTTTCGCCATAGTTCCACACATCTTTGTCTGGGACGCCAAGCAGATCTGAGTGCTTTGGTTTAGCATCTTTCTTGATAAAAGAGAGAGAGAGAGAGAGCTTTTGATGTAGCGTACCATTGTATACCAAGCCATCTGAGATGATGGTGAGGTTTGCCCCTGGAGGGTAGATGTCTTGGATGGCTAGACAAAGGCCATTGAGATGTGCTAGAGCTAGCTCCTCTGCTCGGTCAGGCAGCTTGCCCAACACTTTGGACTTTGAGTTTGGTGACTTGAAGGGAAAGGCGGGCAGGCACATGGGTACGACATCGCCGGCCTTGACATGAGTGTAAATGAGGGCAAGAAACTTCAGGGCTCCCTCATCAGCTTTGGCAGCGGTATCTGCGGACCGTTTCAGACGATACCGGTCTATGATGTGAAGAATCTTGGACGCTGTGTGAAGAGCGGCTGCATCCACGCCAGTGGTGAGAGAAACTGAAGGGACAGTAACAGGAAGAGGAGGGGTGGAAGAGGTCGACTTGAACTTGGCCTGGGTCTCAGGGACCTCGACGGCTAACGATTCAAGTTCCACAGCAGAAGGCATGGTGGCTTCACTTGGAGGTTGAGAAAACAATAGATGTGGCGAGCCAATTCTTGACAATTCTAAAAACTCGTCTGGAGAATCTGGATCCTTTTATCAGATGAAAGCTCTTCATTTGGATATACTTGGCAGATACTCTTGAGCTTCGCGGCCCACCAACTGCCAGTGATAGCCGTCGATGCTATGCCACCTTCTCTATACGGTTTGGATCCCCGAGGGGGCGTGCGACATCCTGCCATGCAGTTCACCTAGAACTTGGACACCTCTGTGGTTTCATCCAAGAGCGTTGACATGCATCAAGCTTTTTCATTAGATGGCAAATGTGGAATCTTGGTGGAGTCGTTGGTAGCCTCGTATCTCAACCCCTGTTGACGTGGGTTGTCTGCCGCCGAGGCTTGAGTATCACGGCGATTGCTATGTGATTATAGGCAACAGAATCCCATGACTATTCTCAAACTTTCGGATTACATTCCATCACTACTATTCTGTCTTTCTCTCTGTCCCTCTTCTCGTACGGACTCCCCCAAACAGATACCGAGAAAATTTCGCCAAATCTTTACCAATATGGGCAGTTCAAACAGCGAAGTCGAGGTCGTTGATGTGGCTATTGTTGGTGGTATGCTTGCAGAATACATGACTGGCAATATCACTGGTCGATATTGAAGTGCTGATGAGAAACCTTCATGATAGGAGGCCCTACTGGGCTGCTTACCGGGCTGCTTTTACATCGCCTCGGTGTTTCCGTCAGTGTATTGGGTAGGAACATTTGCATATGCCTCTCAAAAGATTGTATACGGACTAATTTTGGCCATTGGCAGATGCCAAACCTCAAAGTCTGGACCTCGGGCGTGCAGATGCGTTGAACGCGCGAACGCAGCAGTACTTGACAGTTGTTGGTATTCTAGATGAGCTGCTGCCACAGGGTTTAAAATGCAACAGTAAGTGGACATTTCGACTCTTTGATTACATTGAATGAAGACCCTTGCTTACTGATTTTCGTAGCGAGCTCGACATTCGGCGAAGGAGACTTTATTTCTCGTCAGAACCAGTGGTGGGTGAGCCTTGAGCACACCCTTCATAAGAATTTCCTCATGATTGGCCAACCCGTTGTGGAGAAGATCCTGAGCACCCATTTGGATGGTTTCGTCCATTATGGTGAACAGGTAGAATCTCTGATCGAAGGCAACGAGTTCGTCGAGATAATGACGAAGAGCGGACGGACAATCCGATCCAAATATGCCCTAGGATCAGATGGAGCCAAATCAACGGTACGAGCAGCCATCGGGGCGACCTTTACTGGAAGCAAACCGGAAATGCTTTGGGCGGTACTTGATACCTTCATCGATACGAATTTCCCCACATGCCCAGAAATCATTACCTTTCAGTTGAACGGCCAGTCCAGAGTGTCCTGGATCCCGAGAGAGAGGGGACTATGCCGATTCTACGTGCTTCTTGAAGGAGAAGTGACGCAAGAGCGTGCTGAGGAGTCCATCAAGAAACACTTGGCCCCATATCGGACCGACTTTGTCAAGACTGAATGGTATAGCACGTTTGATGGTAAGTGAACTTTTGACAATGTTTACCTGAACTTTTGTTTGCCCATTTTCCACTTGTCCGTTTGCCTTGCCTTGTTTTACAACTCCCTCAATCCGTGTTAGGTAGGCACGCCGCTTGGTCTGGGGAGCTGTTATGGATCTTGCTAGCCGGGCAACTACTCCTTGGTGGCAAAGGCCTGAAGAAATAAACGTCGGCGGAGCTAACAGTGGGCTTTAGTCAAGGAAAGGATCGCATCTTCCTTCATCTCCAAGGATGGCGCGGGCCGGGTCTTCTTGGCTGGGGATGCAGCCCACGTCCACTCGGTCAACGGGGGTCAGGGGTTGAACACAGGCATTGCCGATGCGTTCAGTCTTGCTTGGCGTCTGGCCCTTGTGCTCAAAAGTCCGCGCCTGCAGGAGGGCGCTGCAAGCAAGATTCTCCGTAGTTATGACATCGAGCGCAGACAAACTGCGCAGGGTGTCATTGACGTTGCCGCGGCATTGGTTCGGGATACTGTTCATACCGCCAAGCAATATGTTGGTACCATTGAACGCAACGCGGGGTATATCACAGGTCAGTGGATTTTCCCGTCAAGCAATTCCATGGAGTTTACACACCACCTCCCCGATGCAGCTTGGACACCCCCCTGCCGCCGTGGTTGGGTGTGATGTGTTGAGCAAAAGCAAGACGCGTAACGGTTGGCTAATATGGAGGCCAATAGGAATGGGCGTTGCGTACGACGGCATGGGATCACCAACCGTGGAAGAATCTGAACATGGGATCTGGAAGGCCGGCAAGAGATGCCCGGATGTTGTTTTGTCCACGCCAGATAGTGATGGCGATATTCGGCTATACTCTCAGGTCACATATGGCAAGTATCTGATCTTGGCCATTGGTAACCATCCAGAACAGGCTCTTGCTCACGAAGATGCGGCCGTGTTGTTCAGCATACTCCCTTCATCGGCGACCGCCGAGAGCGTGGTCACGTCAAAAGAAAGGACTTTTACTGCGGACTGGGCCGAAGCGGGAGAATCCTACGCCGTGGTGGTTCGTCCTGATATGTACATTGGATACGTGGGAGCGGATATCGAGAGCTGCCAGCGATACCTGGATAGGCTCTTCATCCGATGATGGTGCAAGGACTAGGTCGATCATCAAGCTGATCACACGTATAATCAAGGATAGTCACAAGAATGAAGTTGCCGTTCCAGAAGAAGACGGAGAAGGGCCACCTGCCCACCGAAGCAAGGGCCTACTACCCACCTACATGATCAGTTTCATGTGCCTTTGGCGTACATACATCCAGCTACTAGCTCGTGGAATGCAACTTGATCATGAACCCCTGCCACTTAGGCCTTGTGGATCCAAGCATTGACAGACGGCTATCCCATTGATCGACCGGTATTGCATCCCACCGGCGGGGGAATTTTGCTCCAATGCTTGAGCCTCCTTGCAGTGTTGTCTTGATGCTTACCCAACGCAGCAGCCGGGCACGATCGGCCCTAACCGCTTTTCCCGTTAGCAGTTCAATGGAGGAGTTCATCGCCTTTTCTCACGACGCAACGCTAGCATGAATCAGGAGCGGCGTTGCCCCAGCTGGTGGTCTGGATCGGGAAGTTGAGCTTCATGTTGTGCATCTGCTTCATAGAAAACCTTATGGTTAAATCCCGTCATCCCGGATGCTTAACGGCTCGTGCCTTTTTCGGCATGCGGAGCCGATGATTGATAACACAGGAAGGATTTGGGAGAGCGCGCGCTTACAAAGTTCTTGGGAGTTGGAAATGCCCTTCGTGTGTTTGTCTATACGAGTACGTTGGAAAAGAGTTTGCTCCGGTGTTAGTGTGTAATAGGGGGGGTGCGACTATCAGCGGCAAATTTCCTGTTGGACATGTCAAGAGGCAAACAGAAATGTGACAAAGCAAGGATCGTATAAAAGGTGGTACCTTGGGGTGACTCATGTCCTCCTATTACATTCATCATCATCATACTCGAGGGTTATCGGCCACGAATTTCAAGGCAACACGCTGCTTTTGGAAGTGTCGTTGTGTCGAGGACGTTTTCCTTCCAACGGTAACCCCTGTTGGAATGCAGAATATGCTCGATTCAGCAGCTCATGGCCCGGCTTTTGATTTTCCAGAGTTGTACACAGCATGTCAGTCAGTTACAGTATGGGTCATCCATGGATTTCTTTGGCTGGTTTGGGCAGGACCAGGGCCGGAGCGGAGTGTGCAGAATCGGACTTTTTAGTGCTGTGCAAGGGTATACATGTGGGATGGGGATGGGGAATGCGATTAGGTGGGAATACGACTGTAGAGATTTTCTTGTTGTGTTTTAGTTTGGTGGGTTTGCGTGATTACAAGAGACGCTGAATGACTTGCGGATTGTGAAATGTGACTGACTTGCCTAGACGAACTGTTTTCCATTCTGGGACCGATGATGTTGGTTCTGATTCAGGAACGGCTTCTTCAATGACTTTAATTCCTTGTCACGGTGAGCTTTGATAACATGGAGTAGTAAGCCGATGGTTGGAAATTGCCGACATACGAGTACAGTCTTGAATGCCGACTACCAGGTATACTCGTACATCGGAGCACCCCCAGCACCTCGAACAATTACATAACAAATCAAGCTAAAATAGCAGGAGAATCGAGATGGAGTACAACAAAACGCCATCGCATGCAATGCTTGTTCTATCAGTCTATCTCCCAAGGAAGGTCTATAAGCCGCGCGAATACACGTACTCGTATGGGCAAACCCCATGAATCCCTACCGGTGCAGTGATTTTCTTCGCTTACCTCGCTCATCGTTGTCGCAAATTACTATTCCGTTCAATTGGCCTGCTGGGGCTTTGCGGACTCCCCGGTCTCGGACAGGATTAGGCAGATCCTACATGGGTGAGGGTCATGTCAGTGCTTGGCGTTGATATAAGCCAAGGCTAAAAATAAGACAAGATGTTCTCACCAAGAAGTCACCCAGTCCGGCTTTCCATTGAGAGATTTACACATGGCCCGGGAGCTCACGTTTGACGGACTGACATCGGCGCAGAGCCAGCCATCGTCTCCGAAGCGTGTAGCTTTTTCTCGCAACAGCTTCACGGCTAGCTTCTTCGCCAGGCCTTGTCGTCTATACGGCTCCTTGTTTATTTGTTCAATATTAGCCCATACTATGCTCATCGTGGGCAATCTTCTCCAGGGTTCAAGATGCCTGTCGTTTTGGAAACTTACTTCCACATGCACGCTGATTAGGGATCCGTCAGTTCCCAGCAGCGCCCACGCGATTGGCGTCTTATCTTGTCGTTTAATCATCAGATTCGGCAGGTTAACAAGCGTCTGACTGCGGTGATGCCGATTAGTTCCCGAGATGAACGCGGTCCAAGCAGCCAATAGCACGGCGCTGATCTGACCAAAGAAGGTTTCGGGACTGGGGTTTTTCTAATACACGTACGCGGTACGGGGGATATCAGTCCGAGATACAACCAGCTGGCAGTCATCCAGGTTGGCACTATCCCAGTACATGCCAGGAGGGAGATTTTCATCCAAGAGAGGAAGCTCTTCCCTCCTCATGAGCCATTTATCAAACAGGCCTGATGGCCGGGACTCGACGCGGCCCTCGAGCTTCTCCAGGATGGAACGAATGTCCGCGTGCAGGGACCCTATCAGGATGCGCTCCGGGTTGGTGAAGAGCAATTCTTGCTTGTATTCATTGCGCAGCCGGATGACTTCTTTCACCAATTCCACCAATTGCGGTTCATATAAGCGTCTGTTACTGGCGTCGTCTCTATTGCGCGGGTGTTCTAGGGTTGAGTAGATGTACATCTGGGTTTCCGGCTTAGAAAAGTCCAAATAGGCCGCGGTATATGCCTTGGACTTGTACTGATCATGCTCTTCCGAAGACAATTCGATATCGGAGACAAAGACGATGCGCGCATGAGGAGAGGTTCCATGGTTGAACTTTGTAGACTGCAACCGCCTCAGCAACGGCAGAGAATAGGGCAGATCGGGAGTCAATAGTTCTACCAGCTTTGCCGGCACTGAAGTGAATGAAACCGCGTGACTGGCCATTTTGAGTCTAGAGACCTCGTCTATCGTGTTAAGATCGAAGCAGACAGAGCCAGGATCGCAACAATATAACCGTCACGGGGAATGACTCAAATCGGCCATTTTCAGCACCTTTTTCGGAATAGCTACGTGTCGATGCGGGTCACGTGCATTTGTGGAAGAGCGATTTCGCCTTTGCAATTGCATGAAATGAGTCACTAGCGCAGACAAATCAACATCTCTCTATTTCCTTGTTGTTGTTGTTGTTGTTGTTGTTGTTGTTGTTGTTGACGTTTTATCAGCCCATGGATGCATCGACCGGACTTTGATATCCTCTTGTCTCTTTGGGAAGGTCGAAGATTCACTGGTCTGTGCACTTTGAGCCAACTGACGTGAATCGTGCATGGCTCATTGTGGGTAAGACGCCGAAGCCTCGGCTTGATTGATTACTCATGGGATCGAGAACTGAGTTATTGGTCACTAATGGCAATATGGCCTGGAAGCTGTAGGTTAATAAGCAAATGAGTTGTAAGGATATACCTAAAAAGAACAACTCGCTTCCGTACAACAGCATTTATCAACGTTATTACAGTCTCTGGCAGTATGAAAGCAATATCACCTCTTTCTATGGTTATGGGAAATTGGTTCTTTTCAAATTCACATACTCTTCCACTTCTGAGATTATACTACCAGTTCTTGAAATTAAACTCAATAACTGTCTAAAAGTCGCTTTGATTTCACTTCGAGCAAGTGGCTTACATGGCTGACAATTAACGCCTCAGGCTCCCATGACCAGGACACCAGCCCAGAAACCTTGACAGTAATTGAGTTAAGCCTGAAAATTCAGCTGGCCGTGGTAATTAAACTTCAACAGCTATTAGAGATATAATCAGCCCTCGATCTTGTATATACGTGACGTACTCAGCTAAGACTCCGCTTGAGACTCAGAGATAGACGAGGCGCATATGCTTCCTTCACATTGGATAAGCTGGTTAGAAAGGGCAGAGAAAAGAGGAGATCTAGTCGATGCGAAGCACGACGTCATATCACTTGACATGGCTTCACACAGGAATGTTATTGAGCTATTTCCCCTAATATGCCCAATCGTCTTCACGTTTTTGGGATCTAGATTTGCCTCTTCAAGTTCAAAAGTTAGTTGAACTGTCTCAGCGTTGCATTTTCCTGGTCACATGTCTTATGATGCTGCCCAGGGTTGATAGTGTTACAAGTGTAACTTGAAAGTTTCTCAGCCCACTCACGCAAGTAAAGCGAATTAACTTTCCGACATATTCAAAGCCTAGATTTATCCATGACCTCATCGAACAAATATATATAAGACTATGATCATCTCAAAAGATTCTTCAAGCTGCATATTATTTTATACCCAAAGAGAATATCTAATTACAAATCATGACCGGATTCTCGTTTAAGACTCATGGAAATGCGGCAGTGCTCCCTGCTGATAGCACCCTGACTATCTCACATCCTGAATGGGGCGCTCATATAAGATCAAAGGTCACCAGCGATACCCAAGGCTGGGTACAAGTTCCAATGGGATTTCAAGTCCCAACTGATGGAAAGAGACTGGAGCTCAAGTCAGTCGAGGTTACCTACGCCACAGGCTGGAAAACTATATTTGACGGCATTCAAGTCTATATGGGACAAACAAAAATCCTGAACAAGGTTGATTTTGGTTATTCGAACGATAAGGAAACTACTGTCAAGTTTGACATTCCTGGGTCTTGGCCAATCAAGCAAGGAATCTCACTTTCGTTACTTATTACTATACCTAGTGGGACAGATGAACATGGGCGCTGGGCGACAATTTCATCTGTTGGGGCTTACTTTGGACATGCTTGATGTAGTTTATTGGGCAATGTTGCTACGTAGCTGCAATGCGAAACAGATAAATCGCTATATTGTCATCTGAATGCATTTTTTGATGGTGTGATGGCAACTGGCTATCTAAGCTATCCAAAGGAGTGCAGTGATATGAACTTCTATTTGGAAGCTTACATTATACTTAACTCTTCACAACATGATACGGCATTAAGACTCTTCTTCATATCTTTATATGAGTATGTAATTCCTTGCTCCAAGTGACTAGATAACTACTAAAGGTGTTAAATAGCAATTTCCCTCAAATCGTTGTCCACTATTCAACAACCTAGAACCATTCGAGGTTGCCTTTGTGAGAAAGGAATTTGCCGCTGATGCTCTCATCGAGACCCTTGATAACGGAAAGCATGGATTCCACCGATTCCTTGGGTGAAATCATTCCATTAATATTCGGATCATACTTCCTCATGGTAGAAAGAATCGCCTCAAACGCTCCAGGGGCGGTTACCATATCCTTTGCTGTAAATATTTTATTTAGTAGCTATTCTGGCATTACGTCTCTCCAAAATCGCGTTCACGTACCTCCGTCTGTCTCAACCCAGCCTGGCGAGATGGACAGAGCCCGGATGCCCTCCGATTTTAGCTCAGCGGCATACTTAGTCGTGACTATTGATCCTGCGGCCTTGCTTACCGCATAGCCCACTGCAACAGGTATTTCGCTGATTCGGGTTAATTCGAGATCTGCGCTAGCAGAAGAAATGTAGACAATCTTCTTCTCCGTTCCCTGCTTGATCAAAGGGAGAAGGACATTGACGGTGTGGATGAGATGCAATGCGTTCACTTTGAGCTATCCAGCCGTCGCTCTTAGTTTCGTTTTCATCTTTCATATGACAAAACCATTGCGACTTACCGGTCCGAAGAAATGGTTTTCAAGTTCTTCTTCTCTTCCGGTACTAGATTGGAGTAAGCAAGCTGCCATTTTGTTCATATTCGACATGAAATTGGGCGCATTACTCACAATCCGCTTGGGCTAAGCTCTGCTGAGTCCCCGTGGAAGTATGCGTTGTAAACTAGAACATCTAGCTTGCCGCCACCGATGTTGCCAATTTCTCCTACAGTCTCCTTCAGTTTTGCGGGATTGCCTATATCCGTCTCAAGTACATGTATATTCTTTCGAGATGCAGCTAGCTTATTGAGCGGCCCAGCAGTCGTCTGGCTCCTGATAAGAGCAAAGACTTCATTCTGCGCGTTAGATGACTGGTCATTTTGGTAAGTATAAAGATATGTCATGACTTTTGTGACTTGCTCCTAGCACATACCAGCTGATTCACGTATTCAAACTAGTATGATATAAATTAGAGATGTGATTATCATGTGTCGGTCACAATGTACTTACCCCTATTCCACGCGTTGCTCCCACAATGGCCCAGGAAGGCATCTTGATCGAGTCTGATGGCAAAGAAGTTTCAGAATGTAATTTCAGATGATGCTGCACAGTTATAGTGCTTCTTCAGGTCCTGATAGTGGCATGATGGCATAGTGCGCAGAAGGGAGATATTTATATCTAGAGCTACCGTATTTTAGATATCATGTACATAGACTGTTCGTTGTAACACACACACTCTCTCCACACAATCGGAATTATACACGGACCTTATCTGACGCAATAAGAGAGAAATTTGCATTCGAGGTAGTCTTCGGAATAACGACTTAGACGATGTGAGCGTATTTGAGCGTATTTGAGCGTAAGGGGCGTATTTTGTCGTATTTCACTTCTCAATTATAGCTTCAACAGATGAGGAAGTGGATGAGCTTAGATCAAGCGAGAAGCGAGCTAAGACAAGGATAATTGAATATAGAATAATGATTGAATCATTAGTGCCCTAGAGGACCGCTTGGCCACCGCCAACGGAAGCTGGACCCTATCACATTCGGCCTTGGAGGTGAAATCTACGTGGCTAACTCTTTATCTCCCAAAGAAAACCGCAGCGCGGACATTGAAGCTTGCAATCAGCTATTGGAGAACTACGGTCGACGTTCTCACAGCTAATAAGGCACTATGCATTGGAAGCGTTTAGTATTGAGAATCATCGGGAGCTCAGAATTCAACACTCAGTTGACACAAAAGAGTGCCATTTTTAATACTAGTATATGGACTCATCATCACGTCTAGCTCTTAGATCACCGGTGGATGCGAGCGGGTGCGGCGTTCTGCTGTAAACGCCGAGCCGATGATGATAATGCGGAATTAGACATTATAATTATATCTCAAAGAAGAATATCTGGCTGACACGGAGCCTTGAAGCAGGCCGATTCCGCCTTGGACGGAATTACACTAGAAACGGATTTACCTAGAATTTCTATCTGCGAAAATAGAACTGTAGTACAGTCAGGATGATTAATGTTTAGTCACCCATCTTGTAAGCTACAAGCGTATCTTGACGGGATAGTAATATTCACGACAGGGAATAGCTCTTGCAATTTGACTTGGTTTAAACGTAGCCCACCACCTGCAGTTGACTAGCCTCCACATGCCGAGGTGATGAACATTTCCGGAGAAATAGATGATGGTAAAGCTGTATATACTGCAATCTGTGTGTATAGCTTGACGCCCTGTAAATGACAGATACTCGATACACTGTAAGAGGCTGATTGACAAGTTGCTTCAAACTCTAGACAATTGCCAAGATGCGCCTCCTGAAACGGAGATACGGAATTGGCGGAATTAGGAGTTACATGGCAACGCGATGGTCTCAATCAATAGGATGCTTCAAAGGCAATTATCATGAAAATGCCTGTATGATGCGGTGCCATCGTGAGCGTTGCTCTGATTCTGCCCCTTGAATAGGAGACTTTGCGAGGCGCCCTTTCAGGTTGGGATAATCCGTGAAGTCACCGCATTCACAAAGCGCTTTTGTCTAACACCCCCACAGCATCTCTCGACGTCCGAAATACAGCACTCGAGGCTCTAGAATGCGTTCTCGGAAGTAAATCCACGATATGAAATGGGAAACGAATCCGATGTCGAGAGATGGTTTGAATACCAATGCGAGGACTCAAAGCCACATGTACCCCCACCATCAAACGAACTGGGGTCATCACCATATTGGAACCGGGACAGGTGACTACGAGCACGAACACGATATTCATTGCCTTCACTTGAGTACCTGGTTAGTTCATAGTCCAGTTCTGGTAAGAACAGCTCATAGTGGCCATCTTTGGCGCTTGTAGCCGATATGATGATATGGGCGTTCTCGTCTATGTATCCTATTTTGACGGATTATAAGCGGAAAGAAACGCAGAGGTTCGTACATTCGCGGACAAAGCCTAAATGCAATGGCTGATCAAGACCATATTAAACCCATCCTGAGCAGCAAGATGAAATACGAAAAAAAAAGCCGAAGAATGCTTTGACAAGCAGAGACTACTGATTTGGATTGCGTAACAAGGTTAAGGGGCTTTCACGAAACGAGCACACAGACACAATGCAATTGCTATTTTAGAAAAACATCCTCTGAGTATTCCTATTAATAGCAAGTGGGCGCCTCGACTGCCGATTCTCAATAACTCGACCATTCATAGGAAGATGCCTTGAAGATGAAACGCAGATTGAGGCTCGCAACACTATATTCTTCATACATCCGGAGTATTCTGTGCTCATTATCACAGTGATGCTCCAATTTCTCAAAAGTAGAGGTTTGACAGGCGCATATTTTGTTTTAGGTGATGCTGTACACTATCTTGATACAATCGCTCATTTTTGAAGGTCAACTCTCTTCAAGACGGTAATCGTATTTCAGCGGACCACCGAAATCCGGCCTTGCTCCACACTCGTTTGGCAGTTGTGTAAGATGGTTCAAGAATTTCCGAAGGATTTCTAGCTATTAAGCCACGCGAGTGGGGATTCTGGTGCTTGTGTCATGATAGTGGCTACCTACTTTACAATTAAACAAGGAATGGAATGAGCTGTGAGCCAAAGTCCTAGTTTGGAAGAATGGCAACTTGTTCCGAGGAAAGTTTTGAAGAATTCAAGTATATATATCGAGGGGGGATTCAGCATTGTTTTGTAAACCACACTCGTGGGCTTCTACAGCTACTCTCGTATTGCATTCAACGTCTGAGCCATTGCTTGACATTAAACATCGATAACACCACATTACCCTGACTTACGAAACTTATCCTTTATTTCAAGCCCTATCTCTTAGAGCGATGACTGCAGGCAAGATTCTGGTCACGGGTGCGGGAGGACACCTCGGTGGTATAACACTTGATCTACTTGTCGAAAAACTGCCGGCTTCGCAGCTTGCCGCCATCTCGCGAGACCCTGCCAATAAGCTCAAGCGCTTTGCCGACAAGGGAGTTTCGACATACAAGGCTGACTACAATGACTATGATGCGCTTCTCGCCGCATTCCAGGGCATTGAAAAGATCATGATGATTGGTGCGCATGCTTTCACGGATCGCATTCGGCAGCACTATAATGTAGTCACTGCCGCAAGGCAAGCCGGCGTCAAGCACGTCGTCTACACTTCGGTGCAGCGCCAGGAGGGTGCTGGCATTGCCATGTGGGACGTCACAGAGAGTGATACGTTTACTGAACAGGCTTTGAAAGCCAGTGGAATGGACTACACTATCATGATGCAGCCGCCCTTTTTGGAGACGTTTTTCCTTTACATCAGCTCCAACGCCCTCGAAGAAGGAATCAATGTTCCCTTTGGCAAAGGCAAGTTTGCGCCCGTGACACGCGATGATCTCGCGGCGGCCAATGTCACTGTGCTGACGGAGGAGGGACATGCGAATAAGACGTATAAGCTGAGTGGCAACGAGGCGTTTTCTTTTGCGGAGATTGCCGAAATCTTGGGTCAGGCCAAGGGTCAGAAAGTGTCTTCCAGGAACATTAGCGAGGAAGACTATCTCGAGTGGAAAGGGTTCGAGGGCCAGCCTGAGCAATTGCCACAATTCCGTCTCGCCTGGGTTCGCGCGATGAATGCTGGTAATTTCGCGGAGACAACGGGCGACTTGGAGAGATTGATTGGCCGCAAGCCAACAGAGTTCCGGGATTACGTGAGCTCGAATTATCCTCCTACTCAGGGACTTTTTTGAAGAATAGAGTGAGAAGGATTCTCAATTTGCAGATGAGGGGTGGGAGGGTTATGTAGTTGAGCTGCGGTGTCAGCAAAGACAGCAAATTACTTGTCACAACTCATTTTTTTCATGTTCAATGTGGTTTATAATGCAGAATAATACAAATCATTGCCGATTTGTATGTGTAATTTACAACTACGGTTGGGCAACTCTAATGGGGACTATTGTAAGCCATGAGAACGCCATGCATGGGGTGAGCTCTGTCCAGCTTACAGGTCCGCGGACTTGCTCGTGTCACTCTTTACGATGGCTTTGATGTCAGCCGATAGAATGGGTAGCATAACCTAGTTGCATGTAATAAAAAAATAAATACTTTTATATAAAGCGAGGGGCATTGAACGCGTACGATTTATACGGCACTCTGATAAGAATGCAGACCCTCGAGGCTTTTTGACTTATATCTTTATTGAGCTAGATAAAGGCATTTTCGACGCACTTTGACCCCTCTTCAAGATGTCTTCAAAAATTGCCCTCATTTTTGGCTATGGGCCGCGAATTGGTGCTGCCGTAGCTCGTGCTTTTGCCAGCCGCGGCTACAAAGTGGCGGTTGTCTGCCGCTCAGATAAACTAGCGGATACTCCCGATGATTATCTGTCAATCAAAGCCGATCTATCGAACGCGTACAATGTTGAGGATGTATTTGCTCAAGTTCGAAACAAACTAGGGATTCCAAGCGTTGTTGTGTATAACGGTAAGGAGGTCTTCCACTCATCAGACCAAAGGATATAAGCTGAAGGATCTCGTGGTAGCCTTTATACTTTCCATTCAAGGATTTGATCAGCCCTTGTCGAGTGTAATCACAGATGCACACGTCAACACGTTTTCCGCTTATGCCGCCGCCCAACAGGCAGTCAAGGGATTTGCACAATTACCTTCAGATGCATCCAAGACGTTCATTTATACTAGCAATAAGCTACATATTATGACTTTGGAGCCTCTAATTTCGATGGGCATGGGAAAATCAGCGAGTGCTCACATGATTCATTACCTTTCTGAAGTTTACAGGAGCTCTGGCTACAAGTATGCGCATATGTCCCCAGCAAGATGCGATGATGCTGACAATGATGCTCACAATGCAGGTTCTATCACACAGATGAGAGGGAATCAAATGGAGAGCCGGCATATGATAATCTGGACGCCGAGGCTCATGCAGACTTCTATATTAAATTGTCCGAAGAAAAGGACCAAGGGCCCTGGAACGCAACTTTCGTCAAAGGAAAAGGGTACGTCAAGTTCGATGAGAACCCAATACATGGCGGCCGCTTTCCCGGCGCGTGATTGTGTAAGGGCAAATCACCTTCATCGGTATGGGATCGCGATAAGGACTGGTGATTCACAGCAATGTTATAACTTGTTCTTCCACAGTGGTAGCATGGTGTTGCCTGAGTTTAGAGTAGCAGTTACTTTTGAAGAGGTTTCGAACTACTTCATCCGCATCTCTGAACGATGTATTGTCATATTGTCAGGAGTACCCAGTTAATCCATTCTAACACCAAGTTTACCCACACCTCGAAGGCCCCAAAGGCTTACCAAGACCGATGCAAAACCCAGCCCACAGTTATATATCCAACCAGCCTTGTAACCCCGTAACACGGTTTCATTCATATTTTGAGATTGTGAAGATGCGGTAACTTGCTGCGTAATCACTGCAGTTGTTGCAATTCCCACGCTTTTTCCGATCTGAGAAAGCATCTGGAAGACGGCCCCCGCTAAAGCTTGTGTCTTTGTGGGAAAGGCAGACGTCACCACGAGATTGGCGATGGCGTAGATGAGATCTGCGCCCAAGGGATTCATGGCCATTGCTTGAAATACTGCGCGCCAGTAATTTGGACCATCTACACCACACAGTGTGGCCAGAAGTAACGGAGCGATGCCGCTTACAAGGCAGCCGGCCGGAACGGCAAACGAAGGCTTCAGATACGGGAGCAAGATGCCAATGGCAGCATTCATCAATGCACCACAGATTGGTGCTGGTAAGAAATAGAGTGATGAGGTCAAAGGCGAAAAATCACGCACTTCCTGCAGATACAATGCCGTGAACTGCTCGCTAGCATTGAGAGAACCCCAGACTAAGAAGACGGTTATACAGACGGTGGTGAAGGCAAGGTTCTTCCAAATGTCATTAGGGATCAAAGCTGGACGCACTCGTTGTTTCTGGTGATGCATCCATGCTGCAAAGGTAGGCAGGAGTGCAACCCCAGCGCAGAGCATGACCAAGTTTGCAGGCTCACGCATTCTCTCGCTCGCATCCGACCCTGATACAACAGCCAGCTCATACGAGAGAAGTGCGAGTGCTGTGCTGACAAGAACACAACCAATCCAATCAATGTCTCGTGCAAGATGATGGAGAGTCTCTCGGCCCAGAGCAACACCATCTATACTTGCTGGCAATGCCCACACAGCCACCAGCAGCACGACAACATTGAGAATCGCCGTGATGTAAAATCCCCAACGCCAACCAATCGTACCGCTGAAGACGCCACCCAATACCAATCCTAATCCAAAGCCCACCGCCTGGCCGCTTCCCATAGCGGCGAATGCGGTGCTGCGGCTTCGAGGGCTACTCGCGGCGGGAAAGGCACGGGCTGCGATCCCAACAGCGCTGGGCAAGCAGAAAGAGGCTGCCACTCCGGCAATAGCTCGAAGAGCAATCAATTGCGAAGGACTTCTTGACAGTCCAGCACCCAATGCGCTTGCAGATTGCAAAAGGGCGCCAACCAAGCATACGCGTCGACACCCGACGACATCAGCGGCACTGGCACATAGTAGAAGCGTGCAGCCGCATGCTAGAGCAAAGGCCGAGGCTGGCCAAAGTTGAAGCTCTGGGGGAAAGTTCAAGTCTGCTGCAATTACGGGAATGCAAACCGTCAATAGTCCGGCCAAGAGATTGCTGATGCCGCTAATACATGTGATGCAGAAGATGATGGCAACTGTTCGGCTCTTTGAGACGGGGGTATGGGACTCGGCCTCTTCAGTTGCCTGAGAGACTTGGCTAAATATATTTGTGATAGGGTTTGAAGCTGTATTCAGTTCGATGGCTGAAGTCGCTGGTGAGGGCGACATGATTGCTGTACTTTGTGTGACGATTCAACGAAGGGCTTTTGGTGGTTTTGCCTGGCGTGCTTGTGTAGGCCTGAGGACATCATTACGGCGACTCTTGGCTGTGCCATTTATATTTGGCGAGTGAGTCTTTCCTGAACTCTCATTCTGACCTTTGATAGAAGCGTGGCCAGTCGAGTCGACGCGTGTCCAGGGCAGATTGACGATTCACGCTCACCTTCGTATAGGGACGAGAGGATCAAGCATGTGATTAAGCCGCGCTAGTCTCGTCCTCTAGATTACAAATACACTTCCTGTTTCTACTCATAGGATGATTCATTATGTATGTTATGAGATTCGGGATTCGAATAGATATAGAGAACTTTGGCGGGTGTGTAAGTAGGCTAAATGCATTCCGACATCGGATTCAAGATTGGCCGCGTTGATGTAATGACGGATTGTATCCGATTGAGAAAATTAATCGTCCATTCTCACCTGGCAATCAATTACATTTGTCAATCGTTTGGGAGGCCCGACTGTCTGTTGATATGAACTGTAAAGTGGTGGTGCTGATACAGAGAGCGAAGCGAAATGCTCACAATCTCACCAATCAATGTTTACACGGAAAATATCAAGGGCTCACATGAAGCTAGCTCAGAGTGCTCAATGACTAAAGCACCCGCTCAATCACGAATCCCAGTACTGGTGATTAAGTCACCATGATTAGCAAGACGCTGACACGGGTAAGCAACCGGAACCTGTTGCCGGAATGTGGTCTGCTCGCTGAAACTAACCAAGCTCTGTGTTAGCGATTGGTAAGCCTGTGCCCCAAGGCGTCGGTACCGTTAGTTGGGAATGTGGACATTTCCTCTTATGTACTGGTTGTCTCCAGATTGGATCGTTGCCAGATGTCGAAATCGAATAAGTGTAATGAAACTCCAAAGTCGACTAAAGTGTGCGACACTGGTAACGGTACGGAGAAGAAGCAATGGCATTTGATAAGAGTGATGACTCCTCTAGGAATCGCAAAGGACCAATGATGATGCAGTTGGCAAATGAGCATTATCCTTTCTTGTCTTAGAATGTGGGGGAAAATGCTGGATGAGCGTTTACTAGTCTCCGCCTAGCTCATACATGTAGTTGATGCTTACAGCTGTTTAACCATCTTCTCCGTCATCTGGACGAAGCATTGTCTGTGATTCCACACGTATCATAGAGTAGAACTTTGGAAAAAGTGCGGTGACTATCTCAAAAACGTAAAGACAGTGCATCACTAGGACTGTATGTCATGCAGACTATATATTCACGGTATCCCGCTTCTCCTGCTGTGTTATCCTCATAAGAAACCTGCCCCTTCATGTGCTTAATCCCTTCAAAAAACCCAGTTCCATGTACAATCCGTGACCATGGCGAGTGTTCAGCCTTCTCATATTCTAGTTCTTGGCCCGACCGGCAATGTCGGTAAAGCGATTATGAATGCCATTGTGAATGCCGGTCCGGCATTCCCCAGGGTCTCCATCCTTACTTCAAAGGAGACGGCTGCAACCAAGCCCGATCTAATCGATGGCTGGAAATCATCTGGCGTGTCTGTCGTTCTGGGAGATATCACGAACCCGCAGGACATTGAAACGGCGTACAGCGGAGTGGATACAGTTATCAGCTCTCTTGGAAGAGGCGCCCTTGAGGCACAGAAGGAGCTTATCCGACTGGCCGAAGCGTCACCAACCGTACGCTGGTTTTTCCCTTCAGAGTTTGGCACAGATCCGGAACATGACGAACGGAGCGCACAAGAGAGGCCACATCAAACAAAGCTAGCAATTCGGAAGTTTATCCGTGAAAACACGAAGCAGCTAAATGTGACCTACTTGATCGTGGGGCCGTACTTTGACATGTGGGTGGACCAGAGAAAGTGGAGTGACGGACTTGGAGGAGTTGACGTGGTGGGAAGAGAGGCAATCTTGACTGGAGATGGGGATACCAAGATTGGCTTCACAACTTTGAAAGAGTGAGTAGCATTTGATCTCTATTGCGGGACGATGATCAACATAAGGGCTAATGAAAGTGCTTCATCAGTGCGGGAACAGCAGTAGTCGCAGCATTGCGCCACCCAGAAGCGTCCCTCAATGCCACTTTGAGAGTGGCATCATTTGTCAAGACTTCGAACGAGGTGTTGAGTGAGTATGAGAAGCATCTTGGAGTCAAATTCAGCGTAAAATACATCTCTCTAGCTGATCACGAGGCCGCAGAAGGGGGCATGTGGGAAACGGGTAGTCCATGGGCGACGGTTGCAGCTTTGCGTCGTATCTGGGCAACTGGCGGTGCCATGTATGACCACTTTTCCAATGAGGATATTGGCTTGGACGACGGTAGAATGGAGAGTCTTGAAGGGGCAGTTCGAAGACATGTCAACAATTACAAGTAATGGGAGGGTGCAGATATCAGGTCACATATCATGAGTCCAAGTGAGGTTCTTAGAGCTATTGTTTAGGATTGAGCTGCCATTTGTCATTCAGTATCTCTATAAGATCAAATAGAGAGATCCATGATGGTATAATTTCTTTCTTCTCCAATTCTATTGCACATTGATGTCTTCGTTATTTATTGATCTATATCTGTGAGGCCACCTGTGGCGCGCGCATTGCCAGATTCAGCACCTGCCCAGTGACGCCACACCGCGCTCCAGCATGCCTCCTTCCAGGCTGAATTTCAACTTCTATCCCATCACGAGACAAATTTTTTCTTTTTTCTTTTTTCTTTTTTCTTTTTCTTTTTCTTTTTCTTTTTCTTTTTCTTTTTCTTTTTCTTTTTCTTTTTCTTTTTCTTTTTCTTTTTCTTTTTCTTTTTCTTTTCATTCTTTTACCTTCATACTCTTCATCATTGTGTGATCTCTTCACAATGGCAAAAGTTGTGTCTTCAAAGGCGCTGGAATGTCAAGCCTATCATTTACCATCCATCACGATTCAAGCTGACGGTGAAACACCCGCCACTCCAACATGCCGCTGCAGCCTCAGGCGAAACCCAGAAGAAGGCGAATTCGAAAACAGTGACGATGCACAGATATCCAAGAAGCAGAGCATTCTACATCAGAATGACGCGCCATCTCCGGGCCTCTCTCCCTTTGCCTCGATTCGTCCACCCGAGCCATCGTCCATAAATGACATTCTTCGACAACACTGCCGAGAGAGCCTCTACGTGAAGCCGTTGTATTGGACACTACATCACCTAGAGCTGTTGGGCTGTCAATTTTATGCTAAGATCGAGAAAGAGGAAAATGCCCGTCATGCTGAAAACGCTGGAAGCTTCCAAGGACACTCCCAAGGACAGCCTGGAGACCAAGTCCCAAACACCACAAAATTACCCCCCGACACCATCATTCGACGTGCAGGTGTACATTTCCTTCAATCCTATCCAAGGTGATGCGGGACATTCTTGAAGGATGTGGCATGAGGCGTGACAAGCAGCAAGTATCCCCTCAATATGACCTGCCAGCGATGAATTCTTGCTGATCAAAGCGAACCACAGTTCAGCTCTACTCTCAAGTTTTACTTCAACAGCCGTCATGTTAACAGCCTTTCTACCTATGGTACTTTCCTGCACACTCTATACAAATCCGACGGGCCCCGTCTTGCGTTTCTTAGTCTTCGTGACGTCGGTGTGCGACGCAACATGTCGATTAGGCTTCGGCATGTCAGGAGAAGCTCGCCAGAGTATAGGGCTCTACAGAAGAAACGGGACCAAGTGTGGCCTGTCAACGAAGTCGAAGATCCATATGTAGCAGCGGTTTTGATAGCCTTGGCTCAGAAGCAACAGCGTCAACAGCACACCGCTGCAGTGACACAAGCGGACACACTGAACAGGGGAGACGCATCAGATGGCGAAACAAAGGCTTACGAAGTTTTCCTCATGGCTCACTCGGCAATGGATAAGCCATGCCTCTACTTTTACACTGCTCGCATCCCTTCTTCGTTTCTCGGTCGATTAGACAATCCGTCGCTAAATATCCCAAGTCGTCCATTTCGCATCAAGTATCATCAAATTTCGTTCTCATCCATTGATGCAATGAAAGAGGATCTGAAGTTTGCAATCTCTGTGATATACGGCGAAGAATATGTCTTCTAGTTGCGGTTGCTTCAATCAACTCCGCGGTCAATGTGTATCTTTGCCTCACGAACAAACAACATACACTTTCACATTTACCAATAGTAATCCAGATTCATTTGGGACTTCTGAGCCATCGTGGATTATTCTGGATCTTTGGAATCGGTTGGGGCATGGCATCCCCCTGTCTTCCAAATCACAGCGAAAAAACTCGCCTACGCAAGCACCATCAAACAACAATCTTCGTATCTCTCAATCGCACAGTTCTGATTTTGGGTCTTTTCGCAACCAGGTATTCTACGTTTTTTTTCCATCAGTTTGTTCCGCTGTAGAGGTAACGAGACCTCCATTTCTAGTGACCCAGCGTTCAGATGAGAACTCTCGGATACAGGAACCGAGGTTGTTAATTGATGCAAACTTTCTCTCAGCCGGCGTTGTATTTGCATCGTAGCGTGTAATAAATTCCCGGGCCTTTGAACTTTTAAGCAAAGCATACTCGAATGAACTCTGGCGGCACATTAGATACTCCGGGATATATATCCATATTATGGCCCAATGCATATCATAAAGAGTCGTTTATATCATTGGTTTGCGTAGTAGCCGTTACAAGGGGCATTTATCAAGCCCATTTCTAAATTCTCTTTAGTAAAGAGATGATTAAAAGTGTCTACTACTACCCTAAAGAAGGTTTACAAGGTCTACGAAAGTATTGTTTTTATATCAACGTTGAAGAAGTAACTGGTTGTTGTCATTACAGGGTGAGACAGAATATTACTCTCAAAATAGAATAACTTGTTAGCTTAAGCTGATAGTATCGCGTTGTTCCTCCATCTACCCTGAAAAAGCTTTCCAAGATATGTCTATGCTTGAAAGTTCGATTACAAAGAGAAAGTATTGGGACAAGGCGAAATTATATGCACCTCCAAAGAACCCTAGAATGTGAAGCACTGTGCTGAGATATGCAAATTTGTATTTTTGGAAAGCTGAATAATATCTGTGAGTGTACTTTATAAGTTGGCCTATGCAGCCATAATTCCTAAGGATCCCGGTCATCGCTCGGACTTGATGACAAGCGCGTGCTAGACTCTTACTTGGAACATGTTGACAACTAGGAAATCCACGAATGAACTCACGATTCTCTATTGCTATTGACGAAAGTTGCGTATGGATACAACTTATCTGAGTTTTGACCCCTTCTCAACCATGCATGGCTTCTCTTATGCCAGCTGGTATAACCACTTGTAGCATATCAATTGACGCATGAGTCCGCAACAAGCCGCGGATTTCCGGGGTTCGGCACTTTGTTGACTTTGCTGCCGCAGCACCCAAGAAAATAGCTTTGGTATTTGTGTCAAGCATCGGTACTGCGATCAACTGGGGGTCTAGTGAGCCTGTGCCTGGGCGACGTCTCGAAGACCCGACTTTGGCGGATCTGGGCTATGGAATATCCAAGCTTGCCAGTGGCTGGATCTCGGACGCAGCAGTGGAAAAGTCGGGCTTTGCTGCTGCATCTGTGAGAGTTGATCAAATCGCAGGACCAAAGGAAGAGAATGGCATTTAGAGCCTGCAAGAGTTTGTGCCCAGCTTGATTGCTAGTTCGCTATACCTTGGTGCTCTTCCACAGAGGCTCGGAATATACCAGAATGTCGACTGGGTTGCAACTGAGGATGTCGCTGGCATTCTTATTGATCTTGCTGGAATATCGAAATCCGTCCCCATCTCCGAGATTGGCGGCTACTTTCACGCCCAGAGCCCTACAAAGGTGCAATGGCCCGAAATGACTGAAGTCTTGCGAGACTTTTACGGAGATCGAATCAAGAAAGTCGTCAGCCTTGACGAATGGGTATCACTGCTCGAAGCATCAGCCGCAGAAGGAGGAAATGTCGAACAAGAATCCAGGAGTCAAATTGATCGACACATATCGAGGCTTGGCTGAGGCAGACAAGGACTGTCCGGCTCCGCTCAGCTTTGCCATGAGGCGTACGACCTCCAAAAGCGAGACGGCTGCTGCCTTGCAACCTATTGCGCCGAGCTAATGGGAAAGTGGTGTGAGGGTTGGAACTTTTGAGAATAGTGAGGACTCGGTGTGGGTGATGTGGTACCAGTAACCAGGGTATCACTGGCTTTTGATATTTGTTTACTTGTGTATAATATTACGTTAGACATTAATGAACTGGCAATCATAGTCTTAGATTTTTACCATTTTTATTCTGAAAAGAGCTTTGAATGACGACTGAAATTGTCTTGATGTGCTACCGATACGACCCATTTATCCAGCAGCGATCAATATGTGAGACTATTTGGAATACCAATAGCTTGATAGTAGAGGAATCCATTCAAGCTTTTATTCACACCTTCGCATATCAGTTGTTTCAATTTCAGCGTCATAAGTTGTCTGTGTCGAGACGAGCAAGTAGAACACGACCAGCGTCACCCTATTGTCCCATGACATATCTTAGAAATCAGTGATTGATAGCCCCAGTTAACTGCCAGAACTTTTGAATTTGAAGCACCTGCACGATTTATGTCTCAACATTTGGGATGAGTAACTTTCTAAGGCTCATGACAATGCCGTGTACCTCGTCCAGCAACATTCCATGGTGTCTGATCATGTCTCTTTCGTTGCTTGGAAGATGGCATTTGCGAATGGGGTATGTTAACGATACTGAGATCGACAGTCATTTCTGCTGGTCTCTAATATTGCAGCATATTCTCTACAGATACTAAGCCACGCTCGATGTGGCTCCTTTGGCCAATAAGCTGCTGCAGGAAAAGTCTAACATTGAACAGCATACGGGGAATTAAACTCACCGTCGGTAAATCATTGGCCTGTAGCAATCATTGGGCATCTTGAAATATCTTGGAGCCACTGGTCCAATTTTAATCGTACTAAAGTAATAGATCGAGCACATTTGGGTTATCGCTTACTTGGTGCCTCTAGCTCTTCAACTCTTGGCACCGGCTAAGACAGCTGTATCTCTTCTACGAGTACACGTATCTACTAATACTAGGTGGATCTACCTCTATTTACTTTAAAAATATTTCCAGTCCTCAGAAAGCAATGCTTGATCATGTTTTGCAGCGCATATTCGTTACAATCCCTTGCTTTGTCTAGGAGTTGCCACGCCTCAGTTACATAGAGAGCACCCTTCGATGTTCAGCCAATCATGATGCTACCTCGGCCAACGTAGGAAGCTGTGGACTGACGATTGCCCGGAATTAGCCATAGCTAAGGAAGAGTCTTTGTAGAAGGATAAAGAAAAAAAGTCACAGAGGAGAATTGATTACCTCATGAGTTTGAGCTCTTGACAGGCCGATCCATAAAATATACTTGGGACTAAGGCAAATCCTGAGAAAGGGGCCGAAGCTGACAAGTGGAAATTAAATTGCTAGACAAAGGCTGGGCAACACATTGGTGTATACCATCATCCTAATTAGGCAATTTTGGGCGTTGCGCTAAAATGGCTGTCGTGACGCTGGACGGACACAGCATGTCCACCATATTCTAGTTTGGTATTAATGAATTGCCGTGTTGCAGGCATCAGAGGCTTACAAATTTGGGTTTGAAGGAGATGGAAGAATAGATTGAAAGAAGGAAATTTATAAGCCGGCGTGTCCGTCAGCTCGATGAGGAGGACATATAAAGAACCACGGAGTGTTCTTACAATGGAGTTGCAGCCCTATGCTAAGCAACCCAAACACTTTTCAACAATGTACGGAATGGTACGTGGCTCGCCCTTTGGGCAGATTGTCCGATTCGTCACCAAGAATAAGTATTTCCGATATCCCGAAGAGCAAGAAGGGTTTACGCACCCCTACTACACCTCCGTTCCCTTCCCGAAGGAAGCTGAGGCAGAACAATCCGCTCCTTCGAATGCCGGCCTAGAGGATGCTGCCACACTTGGTTCTGACAAGCGAGATAATCAAGATGCTGCGAGAGATGTTCCAACCTCTGGATCCGATGAAGACTTGGAGAATAACAACACGGAGAATCCTATTGAAAGGGTGGTTACTATGCAAAGCCAGCATGAGGCGCATAGAACGGAGAGTCGCGCTATTAGGCCGACGCAAACAAGCGACGGGATGATAGTAGTCGACTGGTACACGACTGGTATGACACCTTTCCCTTAGCCAACTTGGTTTTGTTTTGTGTCGGACATGATTGAGTAACCGTGACTTAGATGATCCCGATAACCCGCAAAATTGGAGTGCCTTTCAAAAAGGCTTTATTGCCTTTCAAATTTGGTAAGTAGACAATCGAATTTGTTACAATCGGAATCGTAAGACTGATTGTTCAAAGTATTTATTCCTTTGCCGTGTACTTTGGCTCCTCCATCTACGTCGGCGCCGTTCCCGAGGTTGTCCAGAGATTTGGCGTCAGCATCGAAGTGGCTTCACTAGCCCTCTGTTTATACGTCTTTGGATGCAAGTGAAGGCCATCTTTTCCTAGAATGCCCAATAGCTGACTTGGCGATATAGACGGCCTGGGTGCCATGTTATTTTCTCCACTCAGCGAGTAAGGCCTCCGACTCAGATCTAGTTAACCATGCTTCAGGCTCAGATACACGGAAACTAACAGATTTCAAGGATCGCCGCGATTGGAAGAAACCCTCCATACATCATCACGCTCTTCATTTTCACCATTCTATGGATTCCGGCATCCGTTGTGGATAACTTCCCCGGATTTGTGGTCCTTCGGTTCTTGACTGGTGTTTTCGGTAACTACACGACAACATCCATTAAAACCCATCATTGACGCTAATGGAATGAACAGGTGCTCCATGCCTTGCAACCGGAGGCGCTTCACTGAGTGATGTTGTATGTAAATCTAAGCGTATACCATTTGATCTCGACTGATTCAATCTTAGTACCCGCTCATCCATGTCCCGTATCTGTTGATCATCTGGGGTGCAGCCAGTAAGTTTCTTCTCCGAAATGCCAAACGAGTTCGAATGCTAATAACTACCTAGCTGTCTTCGGCCCTGCTCTGGCACCAGTCATCTCAAACTTTAGCGCTCCCGTCAAAGGATGGCACTGGGTATCTTGGGAGATGCTGTGGCTCAGTGCTCCGATCCTCATCAGCTTCTTCTTCCTCGTACCCGAGACGTCGTCGGCCACGATCCTGTACTACCGAGCAAAGCGATTACGAAGAATCACCGGAAACCAAGCATACCGTTCACAAGTCGAGATTGACCACGCTAAACAGCACCTGACGATGAAGGATATCCTGTACAAGGCCATCATCAAGCCTGTCGAAATCAACGCTCTTGATCCCTCAGTGCTCTTCTCGACCGTCTACACCGGTCTTGTCTACGCCATCTTTTACTCCTTCTTCGAGGCTTTTCCCATTGTCTTCTCGGAAACGTACCACTTTGACTTTTCTGTTTCTGGACTCCCATTCTTGGGCGTATTGCCGGGATTGTTTGTGGCGTGTACCTTGTGTGTCCTGGGTTGGCACTACCAAGTCGTCAAACCGTTTCAAACCGAAGGGTTCAAGGCATTTGGAATTCCAGAGAACCGTCTAGTACCGGCACTCTTCGCATGTTTTTGGCTTCCGGCAGGCCTGTTTCTTTTTGGTACGTGACTTTGACAAGCAGAATGAGGCAGTGATGTGCTAACATGTAACGACAGCATGGACGGCTCGCCCAAGCGTTCACTGGATTGCTTCCATTATAGGCCTGTCAATGTCCATTGTCGGCACATTCACCATCATTGCGTGTATATTTCAGTATCTAGCCTTCACCTACCCGAAGTACTCGGCATCTTTGTTTGCGGCAAACGACTTTGCCCGGTCAACGCTCGCGGCCGCCGCCATCATGTTCTCGCGACCAATGTTTGTTAACCTGGGAATACACTGGGGAGTGTCTTTGCTTGCGTTTTTAGACATCATTTGCTGCATTTTACTGTTTGGACTGTGGAAATTCGGACCCAAGCTGCGAGCCCGCAGTCGCTTCGCCGAGTCATAAAAGCATTTATTATACTAAAAAATGCATGGCATTACACTTTAGAAATTGTGGTATAGCTTTTATTGTCATTTTACGTATTATAATCCAAGTACAGTACACCGTAGCGATCAAGCTGCGTCTTTTCATAGTCTGTAGCAACTATACACGTTTTTACATGATTAGCTCTGTAGTGGCAGTCTTCTCGATGGTGGCCTCGCATGACTGGATCTTCTTTGCCACTACACCTTCAGGGCCACAATACCATTCAGCAATCTCTACACTACAGCCGTTGTATAGTTTTGGCCTCGGTATGTCGTCGAGATCAGCCAAATCGACCGGAAGAGTTCTGTTGCCTCGATGTTTTTGACCAAATCATTAGGCTTGCCCTCATTCTTCACAACGCTACCGACACATCATCTAGTACTACTTTGTTCGGTATCGTGATCTCCTACCAATGGCGCACTGGGTATACCAAAACAGCCAAGTAAACAGAGTGCCATGAGCGGAACCTCCAAAGCAAAAACAGCTTGGAACCCCTTGAACTTGGCATTGGATATGTCTTGGTCCCAAGCGGATTGCGTTACTCCTCTTGTCACTTGCGAGAGAACTGAAACTGGGACATTATCAGGTAGAGCTGATCGAGTGATCGCAGTCTGCAAAGCCGTTGCAATTGTCATGCCAATGACTGAACCGAGCATTCGGAAGAGATTTCGCGTCGAGGTCACGACTGCTCGATCTTTAGGAGGGCAATGTGCTTGGAGGGCAACGAGACCTAAATGCGGTGAGCAATCGCGATGGCCTAGTCACACAGAAGCATATATATGACTGAAGGGAATATACCTGGCTGAAATACGCATCCAATACCCCAACCTTCAACTAGTAAGGCACCCAAGTAAACACCAACGCTGGTGTTTTGGCGGAACAACATTTTTAGGCCAGCACCCAACAGCCACAAGGCTATGCCTGGATGGTAGATGTAGTCATAACTACTGTCTATCAGCCTCATTCGTACATTCAACATGGGCAACACAAATGTGAGCTATTTGACTTGCCTTCCAAAGATAGTCATGGCCGGGCCGGACAAAACGCCAGAAACGCTCGAAAACAAAAGTATAGGTAACATCAGCGCAGAAGCCTGCAAGGGACTAAATCCTCGAACGTCTTGGAAATATGCTGGTAAAAAGTACATGTCCACCTGCCATACAATGTTGTAGAAAGCACTCTGGACGAGGAGAATGGCGGTGGCCCTGTTGGTGAAGAGCCGAAGAGGTATGAGAGGAATGCGTGCATATCTTGTCTCGATGATGGTGAACGCAGCCACTGCAAAGCCGCCAACAATCATGAGGGAGATTACTTCAGGACTGCGCCATGGCCAAGAGGTTCCGCCTAGATTGAGAGGTACCTATAATACGAGAAGAGTTCGTCAGTAGGAACATATTGCAGCCCATGTGATAATATAGTTCTGCGCACCAGAATGCAAAGAAGCGCTACCAGAGACGCCGCAAGACCCATCCAGTCGATTTGTCTTGCCTTGGCCCTCCAGCTCCCCGTAACAGAAGTCAGTGGTAGAAAAGCCATGGCAGCCACTGCAGAAACGCATGCTAGGATTGGGGGGATGTAAAAGATCCATCTCCAACTCGCAGCCCCTGCAATCTTTGTCTTCTGTATCAGGCTTGCCGCCATGAACGGCCCTACCGCTGATCCAGCACCAATAGAAGCATTAAGCATTCCCTGGTATTTGCCTCTGTCTTTAAGACTCACGAGATCGCTGACAATGATTGCTATAATGGAGCTGATGCCACCACCGCCAATGCCACTTATGGCACGACACGCGTAGAGCCAAGCAGGGTTGTGGGCATTGGCACACAGAATGTCGCCGAATACGAGAAAGCCGACGGAGAGCATCAAGAGCGGTTTACGGCCGAAAATATCGGATAGTCGACCGTACAGAGGTTGAAAAGCGGCCTGGCCCATCAAATAGGCCGTTCCGGCCCAGGTAATGCTGCTACCGGCGCCAAGGTCACTGGCGATATTCGGCAGGGCCAAAGCAACTGAATTAATGTCCAGCGAAGAAGTAAAGTAGATAATTGAAAGACATAGATATGCGGGAATGAGGCGCCGAAGTGGTAGCCGAGACGATTGGTCGTGTATCTCATCGCTAGATCTATCGATCGTGTTTGCTGTTCTAGATCGAACAGTATGCAGACGTTCAGATTGGGTAGTTGCTGTGGTTATTGCTTCGTGCTGGTTCGGTAGAAATGAGACATTGCCGATTATCTGAGCCTGAGTCGAGACACTGTTAGTATTGTGATGATCATGGCGTTGATTGTCGGTTAGTTCAAGCACGACGGTGGCAGACATAGTATTAAACAGCGTAAAAAGAGGGCTTTATGGTGATAAATGCATGAGAAATTAACGAAGAAAATTCACGGCAAGGCAGATTATAAGAAAAAAATAATTGACGCCGAAAGTCGGTCACTAAGTATGACTCCATCGCGTCTTCAAAGGGCGCAATCTCGGAATTAATGTTGGTTAACCTGAACAAAGATGCCGTTCGTAGTTTAGGCTGAACGACTATTATGTAAACTATTCGAGCTGTCGCAGAAACATTCTTATTTAAAATTGTCCATCAGAGAAGATTATTCTCTTGAAATCTGGTAAAGAGTTCGGTGTATAAAATAATACAATATCTGGTATTCGTCAATAATCACCCTTCAGCTACTAATTCGCCAACCAGGGACTGGTTTTTACGGGAGCATATTAAGGCTCGACTTTTCCACCATGTATACTTAATTGTACGGATCTACAATACCAGCAACTTGGTTAAATAATATGAGCTGCAATACACACACTCAGATTGAGACTCTCAAATAAATCTGGCCATCTGTTATCGAAGAAATGTTGATGAAGTACGGGGCAAGAGAGAGAACGATAACCTATGAACTGGAATTATAAAACACCGAAGTACATAATAACCTACATTCCCAGGCGGTGAGGTGAAAATTATTGTTAGGTAATGTCGATTCGAGGAGTCTGTTCGCTAATGAATATACACCTAGGTTGCAAATAACTTTCTAAAAGACTCTATGACATCGGTCATAATGTCCCTTCTATTGTGCTCTATGAAACAGGTACGTGGCGGGATAATTGCGATTTGTGGCCTCAAAAGCTAACACTGGTGTAAATCGTGCAGCTAGTCACTCACATAATACTCCACTGGACTAAGCGTTGGTGCCTGGGTTACCGGCACTAGAAGGCACGTTTGATTGTATAGAAGGAATGTCAGAGTTATTGATTCAACTTGCGAAATGCTTCAAAGGAAGTCCAGGGGAAATTGTTCGTGCACCCGACTGGGCTGGGGCCTGGCTGGAGTATTTGATCCGTAGCTGAACCTATCCAGTCCACAGCGACCCGCGTACAGGATCAAGTGAGCTATTTTGTATGGTCTCGGCACTCGCACATGGCTGTGTTGCGTTGTGTTCCTAGAAAGGATCAGAGTGCCGCCCGTATCTTTCATCTCATTGTCTACCTTAGAATCGCCTGGTAGTTGCTCATGAGGCTATATTCGAACTACAGCTGTCCACTTAAATCTTGATTTTCGTAAGAACTTCGGGGATGAAATCGCTATTGTCATGCAAAACCTGCCGAGCGCGCAAGAAAAAATGTGACCGGGGGTTTCTAATTTGCTACTACTGTCTAAGGCAAGTGTTGTAGTCACTAGATTTTCTTCCTTTCCTTCAACTCGGGCTGTTAAGTGAACCTGTTTCTGCTAACTGGGACAAAGAACCCATGCTCAGTGTTCGTCCCAGTTTGGTCAGCCTTATGGTACGGACAGCAAAACCGCAGGCTCGGCTTCACCTGTGGTTAATAACAGTCCATCTTTGCTCTGTTCCCGCTATTATTAGCTTTCTCGACTACAATACTCTAGAATAACCGTCATCCGAAATTTCTACTTGCATCGTTGTTGGTCTAGAGTTATGCAGATTTGTTTTCGATGACCAGCTTTTGGCGCAACACATTGAAACTTACTTAAATACAATTAACCGCTGGCTGCCGTTTATTCGACGCGGCTATCTGAAAAGATGGCAATCAACCGCGACCAGCTAATTTAATGAAGAAGATATTCTACTTCTTGCATGCATGAACAATCTAGTTCTTGCACCTCTGGGAAATAATCCAGCAACAAAGTAGTACTTGGCAAAAAAATCAGCCTTTATTGAGCCGAGCTTAGTGGACCTGTTACAGTTGCCATCGTTCAAGCCTATCTTCTGCTTCTGCTTTATGAATTTGGACATGGAATCTACTCTGGTGCATACACCACCTAGGGACCTGTATCCGATACCTTCTTGTCCTCGGCATCGATAGCAGAAGTTGTCCCCCTTTCCAGCAGACAATTGGATAGCCCTTGAAGCTCAGAGACGCCTTTGGTGGGCTATTTTCGTAATGGAACGGTGAGGGATGCGTCATGGTGCTCATTGTCTTGTCTCTGAGACTTATATGAGAATGGCGCAGTAGCTCTCGGGTGCCCGCAACGGCCATTGTCTATGAAGGAGTCACACGAAAATACGGAGCTTCATTCGGATGAGACATCGTGGGAACAAGATATGAGTGCCTCAAAAGTCTTCCATGAAGTAGTGTCTTAACCTTACTCTCAGGTCCCAACATCTGAGCCAAATCTTACCCTGGCCTCGCCAGCGTTATCCAATATGGGAAATGTGAGGCTTCTGGCCCATACCTCGTATCTTCTTGGCCGGGTTTTGCAGTACGTATCAGGTAGGACATCGCCAAGGGGGGGCAGGCGGGACAATTATATCGGACGATATGCGGTCTGGTTGGTGTTTTGGGGATGTAGGGTCAGTGTGGGATAGTTTCGGCTGGCCAAGAAGCATCTTGAATAGGTTGGTCTAATTACATATTCTGCGTTGTTACTGCTAGTATTAAATTTGTAGTGTCATATTTGTTTTATACTCATCGACTGGGCTACTAAAGCAATACTTCTCGTCCCCTCTTCAATATTCGCAAAACTCAACAGCTTCGAATTTTCTTGACAGGGCGAGAATATACTCCAAAGGAGAGTTGGGGTCCCTAGAAGCAGCAGCCCCCTTTTTACTGCACTGGAGCTTTCAAAAATTTCGGTTGTACCACCAGATCTATCAATCACTCAAAGCACTCGGGAGAGCGATTGGAAAATTGCAAATGTTACAAAGACCGGCCGACTTTAGAAAAGATGTTGGGCACAATCGTGGAAAGGGGTAAGTTGGATCCAATTCTGCAGGAGTCGAACGCTCGAAGCATAGAAGGCTTGCTGAGTCTGCGTGAAGCAAGAAAAATGAGAGGAGAATGGTTATTCGCTCACGATGTTGGTGCATGGATGCGCCGACAACTCTTTCAAGGCCCTGCCATTCCTTTTGGGATCTTGATTGGCTGTTTGCTTTTTGCAAATGGAATGACTAGTTTAACTTACATTTTTGATCTCACGTTGACAATCTATAAATTGACTGCTATGGTTGAATGAAATCGTAAATACTTTAGTCGTCGATTTACTCCCGGAACTATCTTGTCTTTGTAGCTCTGCTTCGTTACATCTTGAAGTTGGGAAGTTTCTCGGTGTTTTTAAATGCAATCTTAGAATACTCCTCCTCTGTGACTAGCCCACTTTCTCGAAGCTCTTCCACCAAAGCCTTACTTTGTGCGGTAGTTGAGTATGGCTAGTCCACACTATACAGGATCTTGTCGATACTTGTGCTTTGCAGCAGACATGCCATTGGTGGCATTGTAAACATTCCGCTGGTAGTCACCCAGATATTTCTCTTCCAGACCTTCTTGGAGCTCATTTCAGCTGTCTGCCAAATCTATCCCACTTTCTCATTCATGCGGTCTGGCAAATATATAGTATGTATAGTTGTCTAGTTATGGGGATCAACTGTCCCGCTCGATTGATTGCCCGCGCGATCACCTCAATCACGGACCCGACTGCAGTAATCCTGCGGTTGAGTCGCTCACCTGCCCTGGCACACGTCACCGTTAGGCTCGTCTGGTGAGTGGTTCGTAACACTACCTACCTACCTACGTAGGTAGGCTCAGAACCTGGACAGCCATTGATGACTTGGCATAGCTCGGTCATATTGTCGTGAGTGGAGAGTCGGTCTAGAGAAAGGCGGCCGCCGGTCATGATGCTAATAGACTATGTAGACCTTCGATCGTCTTGCGCTTGGCGCGAGGGGTAAGCTGAAAGCGAGGGTCCACAGCAGAAAGGGCGTCTCTCAGCTTTGTCGTGTTGTCGTGGCATGAGCGAGGCCCCCAAATAACGCCATCGTTGAAGGTCAGGATGCATTCAGCCGTGCCTGGCGGTGCTGACAAAAGTCGCACGGGTTCCTCGGCCTTGACTCACTCAGGAGATAACGCGTATTGAAAGCCCTTGGTATATGCAGAAGCTGCAGCCGTTGCATATCCCTGTCACAAACTCAAATTATTGCTATGTTCATCTGTTGAAAAAGAACGGGAAGACGCTCATCATCACTCCCGCCTCACCTTCAAAGTTTAGAACCTTCTCTTCTGAAGCGAGTTTGTCTCTGATAGGAGCATCCTTCATCGGTTGATTCCAAGGCCCCCTGCCGCTTCTCCTATCGCGGCAGATGCTGGGATATTGGACTGATTGAGGTGGAATGTATTTTCCCTGACTGTGATATCATATTCGTACCGGATCAAGCCCGGGAGCCCACTGCCGATGCCGCTGACCACGACATCGCCAAGTCTGATGTCGTGTTGATCGCTTGGGACCCCTCCCCCGATGCCCACCAAAACAGCAACTCGGATTCCTTGGAAGATGCTTAGCATATTTTCAACCCTCTTCTTCACTGTAGCTGATGTGCTTTCGTCTCCTTGTGGTAAATAGCATACGACGACATTATGCTTCCACATTCTGCCGAAATAGTAGGCATTGAAGTCTCCAGGAACATTTGGACTAGAGATCTTATGGTTGTTGTCGAAAATCAACCGTGCGGTAAGCGATGATATCACAGTAGTATTGATCCAAGCCACGGTGTAACCATCATAGGTGGCCATCATATCGGCTGGGAGATGCATGAGAGATGTGTTCATATTAGGATGTCGTTCATTGAGTTTATTCATAAGGTTAGACGAAATACTAGAATAGACATGCTGGGAGGCAAACATTCCGTGAATACCTAAATAGTGTGGTATTAACAGTTTGTTGATAAGTTTATTTTTGATTGCTTAATTGTGTAGGAGCACTTTGATGCTGCATGGAGATGGTAGAACTAGCAACGTTTGCTGTGTGGGCTGTAATGCATGTGGCATGTGTGAGTGGCTAAGTAAAGCTATTAGGTGTGGGAATCACGTAATTGATTGAATGAGGTTATATTTATTATTAAGAGGTTCAGTAAAGCTGCGACGGTTAAATCAGAGGAAGGCTACGCCCCAGCCAAGCACCTTATTTACTTCATTGACGTAAATCATAAGCATTTTATCACGTTAAGGAACTGCCTTTTACTATTTAGTATAAACTAGTTGATCACACTACTTTCGGCTAACAAAATACAAGCTTTATTAGCTCAAATACTACTATGAGGATTTTCAATCCGTAATATTATGCTGATCTAAAAGCTCTCTTTAGCCTAGCAGAATACATATAATTACGAAATACTACAGCTCGTCGAATAGTAAGATAACGACCCTTATGACAGCATTTCATTTGTATAAGTTTTACAGTACCCCTTTCAGAACCCATGTCAAGAAACGCCTCTCCGCGCGCAGATACTAAACAACAGTCCAATGGCAATAGTTCCAATGTTAGTTCTTAGGCAGTTCATCCTCCGTGCCCAGGAGAGATGTTGTTACCTCATCACAGGTGAAAGGGAAAGGCGCAGCAACTACGTAAAGCAATATAGATAGGAGTATTAATGTGTTAGATAATGTTATTACCTTACAATCAGTAAAAAGAAAAGGCACACCAACCACTTATAGTGATACACATAAGGGATGTTTCAGGATTCTCAGCCGCAATAAACTCTCGCGTTAGACAATATTATCGTACTACAATCGGTGAAAGGAATTGGAGCACCACCTCCATATACTTGCAGCAATATATATAGGAGTATCAATGTGTTAGGCAACAATATCACCTTACAACCAGTAAAAGAAAAAGGCGCATCACCTACTTATAGTCATATACATACGAGTAGTTACGTGTTCGGCAGATCGCCTCACAGCCGGTGAGAAAATTGCGCCATCTGTGCTGCTGCTGGCGCATTTAACTCGTCATCCTCTAGATATTCGTCCGACCTAAAGTCTATTCCATTGTGGCGAGCTTTCGTATATATATTCCCCGTGGTCCGACTCTCACTTTCATGTTTTCGATAAAGCATCCCACTAGTTCAACAGACAACAGAACAATTTACACATACAACTCCAAAGCCATTCAAAGTTACTCGTACGCATACGCAACACAATCAATGTGAGAAAACTTTGATCAACTAAATTCGAACAATTACCCGTGACTAATGACTTGACTACATAGATGCCTAGTGCAACCGGTTTCATTGAGAATGACCCCAGTGGCACCCAGTTCGCCGCTACGTTTACCATCAATGATATTGAGTATCATTTCAGCGGCACCTTTACCCCCTCTGTACAAGCATTTGCGTCCAACCAGGCGACCTTGACCTATGGCAGTGAGGGAGATTTGACCACTGACAGAGATTTCAATGGACTGATTGGACCGGACGACGTGGCGCTCATGGTCGCAAATGGTCCAACAATCACGGGACCTCTCAATATGCCAATCTGGCCAGGTTCGGACGTAACCGGAACCGGAACCTGGACACAGAACTGATATGATGATGGGTACACACAGAAGTTCTACTTGTCGTGCTTATGTTACCCAGATAGTGTGAAGCAAGACAAATATAAGATGTGCAGTTGATATCCCGTGTAATAAGCTTTGTGAATGAAATTGAGGTATCGGCCGTCTAATTTGCAATTGGGTGGCTATTCTGTCTGAATACGTATTTGTGATATATTACGACACGTTTCTGTATTATGCTATCACATCAAGGGTGGAACTTGGAGACAAGGCGTAACTGGCTATTACAACATAGGTACTTACATGTAAACATAATGATGCGTTTCCGGAGGGAAGCAGGAGCACTAGTCGCTGGCGATAATAGGTTCACCACCATCTCCGTCGTAGAGCCTTCTATCTCAAAATCTATTTATTGTGAAATCCATTGCAAATCAAAGGCTTAGCTTTGGGGGAGTATCGCCAAGGCAGACATGCTCGCAAGGTCGGAGGTTTGAATCTCTCTGCTGGCCATCCAGTTAGAGTAACACCCATCCATTAGCTCCCGTCCACTTACATGCAGGTACATGTAACACCAATACACCCCGCCTTCGGGCACTAATCAACTACATGTAGCCTTCAAGCACACCAATGAATAAAGGGGCTCTCAGGGAGGTCGGATAGGCCGTTAATTTACTGTCTTAAATAGAGCATCAGTCAACATTTGAACTTACTGCGGGCCGGAAAAACCATTTACGAGCGCCCTTCGGGGCCAGGGCAAAGGGGGGTTTCACAAGCTTAGGGAAGAGCCAGACTGGACACAGTCGATTCTTAACATCAATCGTCTGTCATGGCCGGTAGAGCTGAGATGGTCCACTCACAACACACTGTGTCACCAATTCGGAAGCGTGGCTTACACAGGATTACTCATTAACAGGGGACAGATGTCGTGTAATTCATGACAAACTAAATTGATGTAATTGACATGCTGGCGATCTCTGCGACAACATGCGGCAATAATGACCAAGGGTCTGCATCACCTGGTGTACCGAGTCTGCTCAACCAATTACAACTACCTGGGTAAGTGAGATCATCATATCTAACGCAGAGGAAAGTATACGGAAAATCAAGTCCTCGTAGAGAGTCGTCGACAAGATTCAGGTGCTAAACATGCTGAACACGTTGATCGGATGGACTGGTAGGGCGCTGGATGTACAAATACATGTACCCATTACCTACTTATCTGAGTGGTCAGCAGTTTATCATATAGAAGGGTGTATGAGCGGCGGATGTCACATCAAAATTACCAATTCCTCGCCAAGAAAGCGGATGCGTTGGAAGGCTACCCGTTACAAGCAGCCACGCGTTCGCAACTCAGAAACCCCGCCTGATTATGAGTTACTTGGTGTTTCAGATTGGGGGCTAATTTTCATCTGTCGGTGTGTTGCTAGGTACCAATTGGATAGGTACTTGTAGAAGTTATTTGTAGAAGCTTACTTGGATGGTGATATGTTATGATGTATTTTACTTCTTCATGTAAACAGAGGTACGTATATACTTGGACTAAGTTATTCTACCTGAATGAATTGAATGAAAAGTATTAATCTTCAATTAAAGTTGGTTTATATATGATTCTTCTTTAAACTATAAATATAATCCCGTTTGGTTGCCGAGACCGGTGGTAGTGACTAATGAGAGGAGATATAATGTATAACCAAATATCAAATCTTCAACTTTCTAAGCGAAGTGCGATGCCCTTCATGCAAGCTCGCCCATATCAGAGAGACTTTTGCCAGATGCTAAGACATTGGTGCCTTATGGTCCTATGCACGACAAATCCTGAGAAATTGACCAGCAGGACTGTCTGACCTGAGGCTTTATTCTCCAGATAATTTTGCCATTTCTTGTAGTGGCTAACGTTGTATACCTAGCCTGACTGTATTCTGCATTCCCATGAAGCGAATAATGGGTGTCTAAATTCTATTTCAGAGAAGCAGCACTTGAACGTGTCAGAACACTCACTCCGTAAAGTAAATGTTACCACAAGTTACCATCTTTAATGTTCTATCGTTATATCTATCTATACCTACCTCAGGTTGACATATACTAGTTATCTCAATCTGCATACCTATGATCAGTTTTAGTAAGAGAGCCGTGCTCTAAAGGATCCCACTATTACAGAAGCTCAAGTCTTCACAGAAATATTGAGCAAGGTCGAATATAGCAAGGCTGTTGTAGCTGGTGTAAGAAAACCTATGCCCTTCCTGCCCCAAGCTTAACACCGGCTGGCTTAGCCTCTATCATGGCTACTAGCAATCTGGGCCCGGCCATTGGTGATGAATTCGTAAAAGCGAGCTTTAAAGTGCCAATACCGGCCCGTCAGGGCTGCACCCACAACTTGCCCGACGTGTGAATACAGTGAACGAGTTCCATTACATTAACATTAACATTCAGGACACGTGGAGGCTATGATACTGTTGTCTAGACAATGCCAATGTTGTTCTGGGTAAGCAAAGCCCGCTAATCAACGCAGGGGTTATGGGCCGCGTGAAGCGCTTCGCTCCCTTGGATGAAGAACACATGTCGTCTTTTTTCAGGACGTATGTTAGAATAATTTGGTCACATCCGGGAGGGAATGATGAACTCAAAATGCGGTTGGCAAACTTGGTCGAACCAACGAGCTCACCAATATCCGTTTGTTTTTGTCTGTCCGTAAAGCTGATTATGGAGTATGGCTCTTCTGGTAGGCGTTATGCTTACTCTCAGTGTCTTTAGGCACCGATTATACGTTATCCGCCTCGTCTTCCATTCCTCTCGTAATTACCACCGAGGCTCGTTTAGGATACCAAAGTGGATAGGCAAAGTACTTCTCATTAAGTGAAGCGGATACTTTCGAAGTAGAAAGAAGAACACAGAAATTGTCGTATTGCTGAATCCAATGACTTGTGGACATTTGTCACAATGGAGCTCTTTGCGCTGATTAACTCCGTGCCTGTACTTACCAGTATTAGATATTGAGGTTATTTGTGTGGAGCAATAGGCTGATTACACAGCTGAGTTCATCAAGTATCTAACACCCGCAACTAGGCCCGCCTAAAACACAGCTAGATGCAGCTAATCGAGTTGGCGAACAGCCAGCTAATGCAGAGTGCCGGACACGTATTTCCTGTTGAGATGTAGGGCTAGATGCAGAGCAGCAACTGAATAAGGAAATGTTGAAGTCGCAAGCCGCCCTTGTTAAGTTGGCGATCATTCAGCTCCAGTCTGCGAGGTTCTAGGTCGGGCGTAAACGAGACTCAGAAATAGAATGCTGGCAGTATCAAGTTGAGTAGCCTATCAGGATGAAGAAGCGACAACACGCAACTCCAGAATCAATTGATTGAGGCCATTCCGACAAGGCAATTATTTAGTAGGAGTTGAGAAGGGCTCCTATCGCTGTCGACTTTTGGGCTTTGCTTACATGTACGCAGATATTGGCGTCGTGCCATGCTTTAGGTTTACCAAATCATTAACTGATAGCCTCTTTGTGCCGTCTATAATAACAATTCATCAAGCTCTTGTATAGTCCTTGGTTTCAAAACGACATTGCGAGGGTCAAAGACGAAATGGGCTTTGCTGGTTATTCGGAGTGGCCTGGTGGCGACCTGTCAAAGCTATTTTAGCGCTTGTGAAAAGAGGAAGTCCTACGAACTAGCGCTGGGAGGATCGCGCCACTGCAGTTGCGCATTTGCTAGAACTGGATGGTTCAGCACGAGTAGCTTTGTCATGAGGGTCTTTAGCTCGGTTGGTAAGCGCTGTAATGGTGATGAATAGTATTGAATGGAGGCTCGTAGTACAGACTTGCGTATTGATAATTGTTGTATCGTGTAAAGACTGATGGTTATAAGACGTCCAGCATCCCCCACCGAGTACAGTCATCACAATTCGTTCCACAGTCAAACTGCATTCAACACTCAGCTACCTTTTGTTCAAGGTCGACGACATTATTTTCTTATCACTTATATCTTATTAAGCAGCCCATATCAACAACGAGATGGCATCCTACGCAACTGCTGAGCCTCAGTTCGTCGAGGCAAACGGCACGCGATTTGCCTATCTTCGCTTTGGCTCGCCTGCCAAGAACACCACCCCTCTAGTGTTTCTTCAGCATTTTCGAGGCACCTTTGACCACTGGGACCCTGAGTTGATTGATCCCATTGCGGCTAGCCGTGAAGTCATTCTTCTAGACAACTCCGGTGTTGGCAAAAGCAACGGCACAGTCCCTGGCACTTATGCCGGATGGGCTGATAATGTGGCCCACGTTGTCAAGGCGCTTGGAATCCCTCAGATCGACCTGCTGGGCTTCTCCATGGGCGGCTTTGCAGCTCAGATGGTGGCGCTCAACCATCCCACTCTTGTTCGCAAGCTAATCCTGGCCGGAACTGGCCCCAGTGCCGGTGAAGGCATTGAGGGTGGTGATCCGGTCATTTTTGGACGTCTTGCTTCGGCTTCAAATGATGCAGAGGAGCAGAGCGGCTTCTTGGAGGGCTTTTACTCCCTGACGCCCAATAAGCAATCCCAAGGCGGAAACTGGTGGAAGCGAATGACAACAGCTCGCCAGAACAGGTCTGACTATGTTGGACCTGAGAGCACCAAGGCTCAGATCGACGCTGTTCTTCGTTGGACAAACCCTGAGTATGCATCTGAGGGCTCATACAACCGCCTGCCCGAGATCAAGATCCCCGTCCTCGTGGCCAACGGCGACAACGACATCATTATCCCCACAGTCAACAGCTGGATCATGTTCAAGAGACTGACGAACGCTGATGCCCACCTCCACTTATACCCGGATGTGGGACATGGGTTCTTGAACGAGTATGCAAGCCAGTTCTCTGGCTTAGTCAACCAGTTCTTAGACGTTTGAGTATGAAGTAGGGTTTCTCTAAGGCGCAAGTCTATCTAATGATAGGTTGTGTAGTTTCTTTTGAGTTTAAGTAATATATAGAGTCCATAACTGAATTTACTTTCTAAGCTACAAGTTCATATGCTTCTAGATGGTCAACCTTTTATCCTTTAATAGTGGCGGAATTCTTCTTGTACTATGGGGATAATGCCTAGCCTAAACAATTTCGTAAATGTCGTATCTAGTACCGCAATACAGTAAGATGACACAAGTTCCTGACGCTGATGCCTTTCAGAATCCAACTGTTGTGTTATTGATAGTAGGTAATTTCAGAACGTTACCAAGGGCCGAGTTACAAAGGACCGCTAGATGCGTATTAGTTACCTATGAGGGAATTGATGGAACCTCCAATTCACTTGGATAGCTTGAAGGATTCCTTTCCTAGAAACAGCCAAACGGATTAGTTTAGACGATACGCAACTGCATGAGAAGTACGAGTAGGTATAGTAAATGACATCTCTTTCAAACCGAATTAGGCCATTGGTGCTAGTTCGAACCAACTTCGCCCGGCTGCAGACCTTTGGAGCTATTCGGCTTAATCTAGCGGGACTCAACCCCTGCTGTGATCTTAGCTGCCATGCGATGCGGTTGCTCAAATAGGCAATTTTTTCAACTTGATCCACCGATCCTTCGCGCCACAAGCGTCGTCTTTGTATGTCAGCACTCGAACACTAGCTGGATGCTAATGTCACTTGGATGAAGACTGCGATCTGGAATGACCCTGACAAATGTGATGTATGGATAGGTATGGTATAAATCAATCTAGTAAAGCCTCTAGGCTGATTAATTTGACGATAGACTCTCTTCGACGGCATTTCAAATCACGGCGACGAAAGGTTTCGGTCCTGACAGTAAATTGATAAATACTCCTATGATCCCCGACAATAGACAGAGAAAAAACCACTTCATCACACACATCATCTACAAACCACATCATCTCAACATCAAAAAGAATCATATCTGCTATATTTACATCTTCAATCATAAACAATGGCTGCCAATAACCTTATCGCCCTTACCGGATCCACTGGTTTCCTGGGATTCAGAGTCCTCGTCCTTGCTCTCAAGGCCGGCTACAATGTCCGCATCGTGGTCCGATCCGAAAGCAAGGCCAAAAAGGTTCTCAACTCGCCGTCCATCAAGGCTTTGAACCCCAGCCAAGAGAAACTTTCCGTCGCCGTTGTTGAGGATATGGAAGTCCCAGGCGCCTTTGATGAGGCAGTCAAGGGAGCGACCTATGTGATCCACTGCGCATCTCCCATTCCCACCTTCGGTGGTGAAGCTCCTCCCACCCCCGAGCAATATGAAGAGTTCTTCGTTCAGGCTGCTCGCCGATCGACAATTGGCCTCCTCGAAAGCAGCCGCAAGGCCGGCACCATTAAGCGTGTCGTTATTACCAGCTCTATCGTTGCAAACACCCCCTTCCACTACTACCTCGGCCAGGGCGACGACAAGATCTTCGACGCTGACTTCCGCATTCCCGTCGACCAAGGTCCTTATGGATTTGAGTTTCAGGCTTACAGCGCCAGCAAGGCTGCTGCGTTGAACGAGTCTGAGGCTTGGGTCAAGGGAAACAATCCCGGTTTTGACCTCATCAGCATTCTTCCTGGCTGGATCTTTGGTGCCGACGAGCTGGCTACCACTGTCAAGGATTTCGAGTCCAGCTCTACTAATTCAGTCCTGTTGAACTTCCTTCGTGGTGGCCAATCTGATGTCCCATCAAACAGCAACTCGGTACTCATTGATGATGCCGCCCAGATTCATGTCTTGGCTCTTGATCCTAAGATCCCCGGCAACCAGGCATTCGTGGCCGCAGGAGATGGCCTTGATGGTATGGTCTGGGAAAATGGTCTCGAGGTGATCAAGAAGTCTTTTCCTGAGGCGATTTCTCAAGGACTTTTGAAGACAACTGGAAAGCAGCCGACCCTTACTGTTCGCCTTGATGCTAAGAAGACTGAAGAGACCTTTGGTATTAAGCTGGCTGGGTTTGACGAGCAGGTCAAGAGCTTGGTGAGCCAGTATCTCGAGGTTGCTAAGGCTTAAGGAAGAAACTGTAACTGCACTAGATTAGCTATTTTCTCAATGACAACTTAGAGTTTATCCTAGATCTTACTGTCATGTTTGATGTGATGCTCCCAAAGTGCGAGTTACTTTGTCCTGATAAACCCATCAACTCTTATCGGAAAGCCTCCACAATATCCGATCAACAGCTACTATGAAATACGTACAATCGCGACTACTTTAGCTCACTTTGGGCATATGCTTCTAGGAGATCGTTGTGTGATCAATTTAGACTGTCTCATTTCGGATACTTAGTCTGGCTAACAAGCCACCAGTTGCCTGAATTATGTCGTACATACTTATGTTCGTTCAAATTATAGCTGTTCTATAATAAAAGTAACATCTTCTTTAGCCTTTACCTTGAATTACTGTGCGTGCTGCTGTTCCCAGGACATTTATTTCGGGATTCTTGTTTTAGCTAACTTTATAAAGAAAGCAGTCCAAGAGCTGCTTCTTAAGCTAGCACCCTGGATCAAGACATCGATTAATGATGGAATACTGTCTGTTGAATCTCAAGTACGCCTTATGTATTGAAGAGAGGCGTAGTAGGTGTAGTCGATCCCTCAAAACGTGCTACTATCGCCCGGCACCTAAGCGATACTCGTGCAATAGTTCTGTATCGCGAAATAATGCCTTCACATCTAGCTTGCCATTTGATTTGGTATCATCTGATAGTTTAATGGCCTATTGCTATTACATCTTGCTCTTTCATTGTCATTTTTCGCTTCTATCATAGGATTAAACAATTTCAGAAACGCCAACATGGCCTGGTTCATCGACCGTCGCCATTACGTCGCACTGTAATATATTTGTAATTTTATGATCATCGGGTACATTTTTTTCATCGTTTTGAAACCCAGCCAACACGTCAAGCCGCGCCTGGACATCTGGTAAATGCGGATTCACTTCTAGACATATCTGAAAGGCCTCGTAAGCATCTTGGGCCTGATTATTCACATCATACTATTTGTTTTCCATAAGCAATTTAGAATTCAAAGTAGGAACGATATCACGTACCACGACGCCTGCATTATACCATGCCAGGTAAAGGCTCGGGTTCAACCGTGTAGCGCGAGAAAGAGCGTCAAGTGAGTCGCGGTATTGCTGGACACGAAAGAACAGGGTGGCAACCGATATCCAAATTTGCGGGGACTGTGGGCTGCTCCTGTACACGGCTTGTTGAAATGCTTCGTGGGCTTTTCCATATTCCTGCAGGACCATATATATCTCTCCGAGAAGATACCAAGCGTCAACCGCCGTGCTGTCTGAAACAAGGTATTAAATAAAACGTCTTAAGCTAAATATATGGAGTGGCTTCGATGCACGTACCTGACGGGATAGCAACTTCCAAATGTCTTATGGCCGTTTCAAGTAACGCCGTATTTCCAGAGTCTTGTGCATCCTGAAGTAGTCGAAGGGCAAGAAAAGTATTAGCGGTCGGATTCATAGAGTCTGTGCTCAATATCGCCTTAGCAGTATTGATATCCCGAATTGGCTCCGAAGATTTGCGTATTTGGACTCGACGGAAGTGCTTCAAGTCTTCATCTGGCTGCATCGAAGGCAACTCCAGACCTGACGAGTAAAACGTGCCTGGCAACTTGTTTGCTGTACCAAGTAGTCTTACAACTGGCTCTGCAAGGTGTTTGTGTCTGCTCACCCACCGCCCGCATGTGGAACTAGTTAGGGAGCCATCAGCTTCTCTGTAACAGCACAAGCATTAACCTACGATATATGCTTACCACGATTTGTCATGATCCTCTATTAGTATCCTTGAGTTTCGATCGCTGCATTCGTGGCAAGTCTCTGTGGAGCCACCGGCTCTAGTTACTATCATCGCCTGCTCGATGTGAAGTCCTGGTTTGATGACTCTCTCCCAGTTGAGGGCTCCGAGCTCCGTTCCACCATTTGCCATAGTGAGGGCATATTGCCCCCTACTAATTCGATTCGCACCTGGCCGATCCTTCGTGTAGACTACAGCCGAAAGCAAATTACGGAAGGACTTGTTGCGTTAGTGTTTTTGCGTGGAGCTGACAGGGTCAAATCACTAACCTCCCAACTTTGACAGGCTTGTAATGGTAGAGCCCAACTCTCACCTAGGGCATCATCTAATCGAACAATGTCAAGGGTAAGATGGAGTGGGATGGCCTCGATAGCACGGACAATTCGCTTCATCTGGGAGGCTATGTTGAGTAATGCACGGCTGCATCAAGTCAGCGATGGAGTATGTTCAAACATTTAGCTGCGAGGCGATTAAACCTACGTATTCTCACCAACAGCCTCCAGAATGTCCCTAGAATAGGCGGCCAAGCTGGGACACGAGTTAGTAAATTTGACCACTGGATAGTCTGTCATAACATTACAGAACAAAGAGCGCCTTGATGTCTCGCATCAAAGACAATAATCTCTTGACAGAGCGTCTCATGGAAGTTGTGTACACAGAGAGTACGCCAGAAACTTTGGCACCAATCTGTGAAAGAGAGTCAACATGAGATGTAACAACTGCTAACCCATCTTCCAATATCCGTGCTTGCTCTGATTGCTTCTTCTCATTCATGGTCGTTGTGAGCTTCAGATCAGCGATCGTGTCCGGCATTGTCGATACTAAGCTCAATATTGTGGAGGTTTGTTTAATAAGGGCATCGGAATGTGTTTTTATAAGTGTTGATTGGGCATCCCCGATACCCTGAACGCAGTCCGTAAGCTGCCTTATCTGAGCCCTGCCATGAAGTATTATTAGCTTCCGTTTGACCACGTACGGAAAAATATTCGTACAATGACTGGGCAATAAGAAGCATGTTGATGGCCACCGTTTCCGACGTCATAGTAATGCGAACTTCATCGATATCTTGCTTAGCTATCATTGACCAATGAATTCGAGTCCCAATGTTGCTCAAGCTCTTCGATGTGCGAAAGGCGAAAGTGCCCCAGACTGGATTCCTTAGTCCGCATTTTATTGACCAGCGCTTGTAGAGGCGTCAGGCAGTGCATAACAATGGCTCTGACGCGTTCGAGGGTTTCGCGGTGAGCGTCATTCTGTGGAATCAGGCGAACGGCATGCCTCATCGCATTCTGGAGAAGATCAATCTCTGCACCGAGTTGTTGGAAGTGCGCTGGTGCATTCTTGAAGTTCCGCAATTCGATCGCTATTCGTTCGAAGAGACCCAATACAGCAATGACGTCGCTGACAGCGTACCCGTACGCATATGACATAGTGGAATCTATAGGATTCCTAAGCAGTGGTTCAGCTGTTCCTTGAACTGAGCGCAAACACTGGGTGACAGATTCAGACGTCTAGAGATGTCTTGAATATGTGACCAAAGCTCGCTCACAGGCCGGTACAGCTAAGTGTAGCTACAGATCCGTTGCTTGCTGGTGCCAATCGGAGAGGATACGCTCCAAAACAGAGCCCTAAACGGCGCAAAGCGCAGAAAACTGAGCGTATTGAGGTTGTGGTGCTATTATTGAGTGTTGGAAATGCAAAAAGGCCAAAAGCCGGAGGGCTGTCGAGGCATAAATTTCATCATTGAGATACAGAATTGGATATAGATGCCGCAGGCTGGCACAATGGCTGCGCAGAGCCTAGTCGGTGTGTGGGCAGTGCCTCACTACATGTACATGTACCTCTATATTATCAAAGGTACCAGTGTCTGTATGTGATCCGTTTCGGTGGTACATTGGGTTGGCTATGAGGCTGACTTGTGTTAGAATATGTCGCCGCTGCGGGGAATCTGCCTTGTGAGAATGATTGGGGGGAAAAGCAATTGGGTACGATGAGGCTGTGAGCTCCTCGTTAGTCATTAACACATAGCCAATTACCTTCATTCTTTTCTTTTTAACGTTACGATGCCGTTGCGTCTGCTTTCAATTTCCGCTTCATTTCACCGCCATCATCTGCCTCTGCCTGATACAATGGTAGTGACTGGTAGCATTGGGGTGTTTGTAGCGCCGGCTAGGTTGTCGCGACATCTATCAATAGGTACGCACGAAAGTGTGATTACGTAGGTAGATCCAGCTCCAGGTCTTCCGAGATATGTTCCAGATAGATATGACGCTCTTCAACCAAGAGACAAGCTCGATATCATTTGAATACGCCTCAAATAGTACGCATTTGGTCCCTGTAGCAAGTTTAATCACTTAGACGTTTGGCAAATGGAACGATCGTGAATTGGCCGGTAATGCAGTGTAGAAGTTGAAGTGGTCGTTTAAAGCTGGGTATTGGGCTTATTTGGGCAACTTTCCGAACTAGGGCAGCGTGCTGTATTCGATCTTAGAAGAGAAAATTCTATATACAGCGGACAACAATCTCAAGACATCGTATTCAAATCATATCATCATCCATATTTTCGTCATTAATAGATACCTAATAGCCATAATACTTAACTTCAATGGCCTTTGGTCGCTGGAAAGGTGGAATCATCTTCAGAGCCGCCAACTCCTCAAAAGTCTTAAAGATTGACTCGTGAGTGTCAATAAATCCATTCCATCCCAGCTTTCGACTCTTATTCATGCTATACAGAAATTAACTGGTTAGCCTTTTTGCATCTTCTAGAGGATGTATTTATGAATATCTCTTACCTCAAGCTCCTTCCCCATGGTCCAAGAATTTCACCATCCAACAAGCCAAAGATATCTTGCACCTTGTCAAATGGATCAGGATCAGGAGCCAAATTGTGTCGTGCCTTCAATGTCTCCCATGCCTTTCTGACTTCGGGCTTGTGTGCCCACGCCTCGAAGCTTCGGGCGATTCTAATCCTGCCCGCCGGTCCAAAGCCTCTTGGGGGAGGGGAGATGGGCATGTCGACAATCTGAAACTTGGCGTCATCGACCTCTGCGGTTCTATATGGAATACCGTAAGCAGCAGCAAGCACAGGCCAAAACTTGCCGTAGCTGAAAGAGCCGCCATCGGAAATATTGAGAGCCTCGTTAGCAGTGGTTGGTGTGAGAACCGTCCACTCAGCGTGGTAGCTGATTAAAAGCGCAGATGACAAGGGTTTCTCAGCGTCCCAGGCCGAGGTGTCACCAGGGAACTCAAGAAACTGTCCAAGCTCCTTCTGAATTGCAGCATACAGAGCCAGTCCATTGGCAATGTTCATTGCTGCATCGGGCACGGCACCAATAATGAACAAAGGACGAGTGACATTCCACTCAACACCATTTTCACGCGACCATTTCCAGAGAAGATCTTCCTGGGGATAATAGAAGTTAGCTTTGGCAGGGAAACGAGGATCTGACTCCTCCATTAGATTCAGAGGGGGCCCAAGATGAACGGAATAATGCTTAGCACCTGTCTGGAGAAGGAACCGCTTGGGGATTTTTTGAGACTGAGTCAATGCAGACAGGAAGTTGGACAAAAGAAGCACTGATGTTGTTAGAATGGTGAAATGCAACGGTGGGCTAGAAGATGTACTCACTGTTTAATCGCTCCATCTCCGCATCGTCGGATCAGACACCCTCGCCTTCCTTCGGGGGGGGCTGAATGTAAGAAGCAAAGAAGACATAATCCCTACCGCGAATGGTCAGCCAATAATTACGGCCTTGGTCTAAAATTCCAGAGGGATTTAACGTTAACTTACACCTTAGGGACCTGCTCTTTCAGCTGTTGCGCAATCTCTTCAGGAGACGCAAGAAAGTCAATGGCCAGGTACTTGACATTTCCTGGGATGCGAACACTTGGAGGCTTTCGGCTGAGGGCATAGATAGTTCCCCAGCGCTCTGGAGCCTCAGCCAGGACTCGGAGCATATGAGCTCCAGTAATGCCATTGGCGCCGGTAACGATGACAGAGTACTTTTTGCCCTCGGCCTCGGGGAAAGTTGGGAGTCCGTAGAATTCTTCTTTCGAGGTGACGCTATAGGTCTTGGCATCGGCGGAACCCATTTTGAATATTGTTTGAGCAATGATTTGAGTAAATATAGGTGATGATGAAGATTAATGATGCAATATTGGGGAGACCACCGGAATGCAGATACTGATATGTTTGGACAAAGTCAGAGGCACGAGGGGGGAAAATACACTTGCTTAGCAATGATGGAATTTCTAAGCTGGGGAGAAGTATAATCTTTCAAATTATGAATTGTAATACAAGTGGATTATATACTAACAATCTCGACCCTCACGCACGATGCTTGCCAACAACCACCCACATAGCCTATCTAAAACCCAGAAGATTCATGACGCCCTACTCCGCATACGCTGTCTTTTCATTTCTCAGTTCAGTAAATGCCTTACTACTAGCGCGTGAAGCCTTCCGTAGCTCTAACTGCAACCGGCACGGCTCACCTCCAATGAGTCTACAGCATTCCAGCACACCATCACGGCGCAGAGACACCCCGGAACTCCCGACCCAGTTGCAAAGACAGCTTTCGGACGCTGAGAAACGGCTCTACAGCCACGTTGTAACCAACTAGAAGCTTTAGAGGTGTTGTCAAATGACCAATTGACTATTCAAATAGCTTTATCGTGTATTTAACCGCTCATAATGACAACTATCCAATTAATTCTATCGACTGAAACCCTTTAGTCCTCCGCCACCAAGACGCCACGGTACCTCATCTTTCCCTCCCGCAGCGCCTTCATTGCGTCCTCTACACCCTGCGTGGTCAATGGCCACTTCATAATGACAGGCTTGATTCCGTGCTGTACTGCAAAGTCGAGCATTTTCCGGATTTCAGCGCGGGGCGCGCCACCCGAACCCTGGATGCTGATGCCTTTTACCAGCATGGGCAGCATTGGCACAGGAGATGCGTCAAAGCTGACAATCAAGTTGTAAATCTTGCCGCCAACAGCAGTGAGCTGAATCATGCTGTATTTATTTGTTAGTAAAGTTTCATATTAATTTTCTAAGCGCTATGTCCAGAACGTACCGGGCAAAATCTGGCTGGGCGTTTCCACACAGGAGCATATGCTTGACGGGCTCAATTCCGTCCAGAGAAGAATCCGCAGTTAGAACGTGATATTCACTGGCGCCAAGCTTCATTGCATCCTCCCTCTTAGATTCGCTGCTGGAGAAGACAACCACTTTACAGCCCATCTTGGCGCCGATTTGGATTGCCAAGTGTCCAAGGCCACCAACACCGAGGACACCAACACGATCAGTTGCCTTAATACCATAGAGAGCAAAGGGTGACCAAACGGTAGCACCGCCGCACATGAGGGGCGCGGCATCAGCGCTGTCAAGACCCTCGGGAATCTTGTGAAGTGAGTCGGCATCCCAGACGGCATGGCTGGCAAAAGAGCCAACATCATGGTCGTGAGAGCCATACTCTGTCTTTTCGGCGCAATAAAAATCCATTCCTGCGCGTTCAATTAGATTATACTTAGGTAATTGTGCGGAGAGAAGCATGAAATACTCACCAGTAAGGCAGGGCTCACAGCGGCCGCAAGTCTTGTGAACCCATCCAAATCCGACACGGTCGCCAACCTTGACGGAAGTGACATCTGGGCCAACAGCCTGAACGATACCGACACCCTCATGGCCTAGGGCCAAACCGGCGTGGAGGTAATGTTCATCTGTTCCACACAGGCCAGAGTGCGTGATCTTGAGATAGGCTTCGTTGCGACCGAGTTGGCGGTTGCTTGTGTCTTGGACAATCTTTCCGCTTTTGGAACCACGCTGGACGGTGAATGTGACGCTCATGCTGGTGTTAATGTGTAGGAAAAAGAAATTTTTAATTTCTTTATAAAAAGTTTAATATTGTTTGATACTGGATATGCGACGTTGAAGAGACATGTATTGATAAGAAAGGAGAAGGAACTATGATGTGAGGGAATGTGAAGAGTTAATATACTAATACAAGTCTAAGAAGAAGTTGAAGATTTCGCTTTCAGCCGAGGCAAATAGTCCATCACAGCTTTGCTGACAGCCAATATCTCACAACTTGATGCATTTCTAACGAGGTTGGGCATTTACGAGATTAGGAAGGGTTGGGGGAACTCGACGCGAATGATACAGCAGTAGCAGCAGCTAGCAAATCCTTCAAAAAAAGACTTACAAAGACACTCTATTGATAGCGTGAAATGTCAGTTGAAAGTTAAAAGTATAGTTAAACAGAAGAGACTGAGAAACAAATGGAACGACGGGGTTGCTTCCTTTGTAAACGTGTCTTGGATGCTGAGTTTGACCGGCAACTAGCGATGATCCGGTGGGGATCGTGGCAAAAGTCCAGGCGCCATGGCATAGCGTTATCTTGATGGGGGAAACTTGGAGATGGCTGTGGAGCAAGGCTAATGCGAAGCGGTTTCTGAAAGAGGAAATGTTTTGAAGAGGCAAGCTAATGCATGGCGTCGCCCTAGTCGGGTAGGTCGTGAGAGAGTTGCTTGTCAGCTTCCACTAGCGAGGGGGGGAAAGTTAGGAGATCGCTCTCGTGGAATGGAATGAGGTGGACTTGTAGAAGAATTCACGTAATCAAGGGGCCAGTAAGCAGCAATGAAGAGCGTAGCTATCTACAGAACAAGTGAATTTGCCAGAAACGATGTGAAACGAGGTCTTGATTACAAGTGATACTGTAGATGCAAAACATACCCTTTAGACCCACCGATCTGTATTCAGAGCATTTCCAACTTTGTAATCGAATCTAGTTCAAGACTCCACTCGAGATCAAGTTGCAAAGGCTGTGTCACGGAATATCCCGTCAATCATATTGATTCATCTTACGGAAACTGTCTCTTCTCTCTCCTCATGGTAGAGCACAGGATTATCACAGTACTAATCATTGAGTCTATAGGGTACATTGGCGGAATTGGTCGTGCCATGCTTGACACCATCCTCTAACATGAGCTCTTTCAGCTCACAAATTCTCCGCAATGCTGTTGAATGCTAAAGTCTAGTCATGATGACAAGGACGTTGCATGCCAAAAGTAGCACAAGAGATCACCTCCTGAGCAGGATGGTTTCCAGCCCGATTAGGAGTCATCTCGAACCCATTTAACTCAGAAGAATGGAGTTTCATTGGCCTGGTTCTCGAGAACTCGCTAGGCTAGAAGCCAAGACAATGAAAGATTTGGCAGATATTCTGTTGTCACCGACGCCGAATGAGTTGCATACGCCCGACGTTAATGTATATGCTTGAAATAGTATTTTTTATATCCAATATACGATGCACTACCTGGTCTATCTGCATGCATAGCATTCGTCGTAACTCGTTTATGGGCCAATTACTAAAGGACTACTTTTTATCCATAGACTCGCTTGAAAGTCTCCTTAACAGACTCCGGCCGGAATGAGAATTTGTCATTGTCCAGCTCTCCAGGTACGATTCCGTTTCCGGAGGCAGCCAGGGGCTTGACTGACCACATCAGCTCGGCGACTTCATCGCCACTCTTTCGGGCCTCGTCCTGCTTTGCAGCAGCCTCGGCAGGGTCCAGATACGAGCACTTGTACTTGGCTCCCTGAACCTCGCCCAAGTCATCGATGAACTTTTGCCAGGTGGTCCGCTCTCCGGTCACTCGGATTTCGCGCTTTTGAACCCCGGGAGTAAGAGGTAGCAGGATAGACTCGACAGTAAATCTCGCAATGCTAAAGTAAAAATCCACCGGTTAGCAAGATTTAACCCATGTGAACTGAACTGCAATGGAATTCAACTTACTCGGGAATTGAAGTGACAGAGATTTGCGCATCTGGGCGTCCATATGTGTTTGCAACATGAGCCTCGACATCAACGCCGTAGAATGGATCTGCAGCCCATTCGGTGAAAATGCCGGTCAGCATGAGCGTGTAGTAAAAGTCCGGGTTCTCCTTGGCCTTGACCGCGAGATGATCGCGGGTCACTCGCTTATCACGAAAGTAGCGAAAGGTCTTGAGACTATCCTGGCCAACGTCTGATCCAAATTCCGACGGGTAAAAGTGACGAACTCCGCCTGCGATGGCAGATTCGATCATGGCCGGCTGGAGTCTCATGATAGCATTGCCCGCCAGAGACACAACGACTTCAAAGCCTGATTATCTGTCAATACACTGCATTCTCTTAGACTGATGAATCTGGTAATAACACACCCTCATAGGATTTGGGGTCCAAAAAGGAGCCCGCCACAACTTCGATACCCTGAGCAGCGGCGTCGGAAAACTTGGACACTTTGGCGGGATCCGCCAGGATGCCAACCCGGGAAAAGTGAGATTTTTGTTTGATGAATTCTGCCACCAGAGGTCTTCCGAATGCACCACCGGCGCCAATGATAAGAACCGAGGGGGGCATTTCTGTGGTCTTGTTCAATTGAAAGACAGGCTTGAATTGCAAATATGAAATGATTTAGATGGAGGATGGACTTGTTTGTGTTTCTGGTTTAAACGATGAAGAGCTACATCATCTCTGTCTATATACTCGAATGTGTACACCATCCACATGCTACCATTTTCCTATTGTGACAACTTTCCATCAGGAGCGGGATCACTGCTAAACCAAGGCGCCGCTTTACTCACTAATTAGATGCTGAGAAACTTAGACTTTGGCTTGCCAGCTCAACTCGCATGGCTTCGATCACGGCCGGGATTTGAGCTGCCAAATTAATTAATCAGCGGCTGTCCCGCCAGGAGACATGCAACACACCATGGCCCCCATTTAGCCCAGAACTAGTGTTGGCTTCTGCTTATCGACTAAATTGTTGCAGGGTTTGGATCACCCAGCATTGGCATTGTTCGAATTGGGCTGTGTTTTTGAGACTTCTAGAACTCAAGAGTTATCTCCTTAACAATCATCTGTTGGAAGAGCGCGACTCAGTCCGATGGAGTCGAGGACGGCTAGCGCTTAGGCAAATGGCACATCGCCGAAGAAATTACAACAAACGCCGATGGAATATTTGCAGTCGCTCTGCCCGAGTGAAAGGCCTCAGGTGACGCCATTGACAGCGGCTGAATCCTTCCCTGAGAAAGGTCGCGAATGGAGCTGAAGCAACGACTGGCTATCCTAGTCGCAAAGCTGGACTCTTAGCTTTCTTTTATTTTGGTATAGCTATTCTTTTTCGTTTGTCTTTTTTATTCTGGGTTTCCAGGATAAATACGAACCTGCCATGCATGTTTGCACTTTTGACTTGAGCGGCCTCGTCACAGATGCTGGTGATCATTCGAGAAGCCTTTCATTGGTCTCGTCGTTTTATAAGTGCATGCATACATGTATTTCCTAGATAACGCCCCAGCACTGTGTAACCTCGACGAGTAAAACACAGTACCGAAATAGCAAGCCGCCGGTAATTCGTAGTTTAGTGTATCTGTCTCTTCGTCCCTTCAGGGCTCACTCAGCTGTGTCGGGCCTTATGTTTCTCTAATATTTGCCCATATTCTCCAATACTTCGGATCCATATTTGCACATAACCGGCCCCCAGTAACTTTACCTTGCCTGCCTATATCGGAAGGAATTCTCCCACGGGCAGTTCCCAACTGTTCACATTCTGCCGATTCACCGAGGCTTCATCGTATTCAACGTCAATATCCATATACGAAAGGTTATCCTGTAGTCTACTAACTAATTCTTGAATCCTGCCAAAACTATTTTAGGGCGCTGTGCCGGTTTTACTAAGCAAGCGCAACACGAGAGGGGCAAGTGATGAGGCTAGAGACAACGTCTGATTAGCATCTAGACATTAATCATGTGCATCCTCCATTGTAATTTATCATACCCGGTCAGAGCATTTAACTATCTGGGTAATGAGAAACTCGAGTCTTTACATCTCTTGCATCAATCTCCATCTACTTTCATCATTGGCAACTCACTATACCGCCTCTTTAACCCTGATCCCAACCCCAATCAACTGCCAAGTGCAGCTTACCTGGAAGCCTGAACATGAGTGGAGAGAAAATTTACGGGGCTTCCGGATTCGTTCACAACAATGGTAGATCTCTCTCCTGTGCATTAGTTGCTGGTATTGGATGTTAACCAGATACTCTAGTTGTAGTAAATCTCCCGTCCAGGTCACACGACGAGAGGTTTACCTACACGGATGAATTCGATGTACAGCCGCTGGAGTTCATCACAATCACTGGATCATCAACGGATAGGCCGGACAGAAATGTTTCGCGAATCGTCCGCAGCCAGGCGATGCGGAACTATGTCTGGAGACAAAACCACCCCACACTGACAGACGAGATGGCTGCCGCTGCCGCCGTCCCTATGAAAGAGAAGCCTCAGCGAATCTTTGAGGGAAAGTTCAGAGTTGGCTCCCGATCACGGAAACAAAAGAAACCCTCCAAAGCAAAGCGTCCCACGACAGGATCAGATAAGGACAGAGACGGAGATTCCGCAAATGAGGTCCAACTGATGAACACTCACTGGCTAATTCGCCAGAGCCTCATGCCAGACAAGAACCTTTTGATGAGAGGTGGCGCATTTGCAGATCCATATGATTCATTCCAATTTCCGCTCGGGCCTGAGAGTCAGAAGTTCATATTCTATTGTGAGTGTGTCTTCAGTCCATTGTCATGAAATAAAACGCTAATCAATTAAATCTCGAGCTCCAGACCAACAGGTCTATGCTGTCAACTGCATCGCCCTCAATCTCTCACCGGATTGCTTCTATTACGTCAGAGAAGAGCTTGCCTTGTTTCATGCTGTCATGTATCTTGTCAGCCTGGATCATAACCTGAAATACGGCTTGACGGATTCTGCCGGTAGCCTGTATCATGGAAGAGAAGCCTTCCGTTTGATAAACGAGGGTCTCGAGGCAGGCGTGATAAGAGACACTCTCATTGCAGCCGTATCAATAGTAATATCTCGAGAGGTAAGATTTGGCCGAGCACACTTGTTCCATCGTGTCATTCGTATGTTTCATTGCTGACCATCTCCCTGCTCAGAATCTCGCCGGTCAATTTGAAGATGCCAGAATCCACATGAAGGGTCTTGAACTGATGGTAAAGGCACGAGGCGGTATAGAAGGTGTCACACCGGCACACAGAGGAGTAGTTACTTGGTAAGCTCGGGCTATACACTCAGCATATTCCAGCCATATTTACCCATACCTATCTAGGGCCGATTTATCCTATTCCAATGTTTGGAAATGCAAGCCATCTTTCTCGCAGCTCACCTACAAAGCCACAAAGGGTGATGCAGAACTGCCAGCCAAGTTGAGAAACAAGGTTGCTTCTACCGAATTCACCTTTGGAGTCGCCTCGCCTACGAATTCCATCTTCCGATCTCTGAGGCGTATATCTGCAGCTCTAAACCCAGAGTATGAAGCCCCCTTGGATAGAGCAGCAATGAGCCATCAAATTTATGGAACAGAATTCAATCTCCTTAATCTTCAAAATGAATACACCGAAGCTCTTAATCCTATCGAGTATCTCTCGTCTACGTCTGTTTTGATGAACACAGCCGGATACGTCTACCTCTACCTCATACTAAGAGAGCTTCCGACCAAGTCTAAGCTGCTTCTAAAGCTATCTCAACAGCTACGAGATGGTCTCGAAATGCAAGACGAAGGGTGGTGGAACGCTAATCCAGAGAGACAACGGTGGTTACTATGGGTACTGTTTATGGGATATGGAGCTGCATCAGAATGGCCTGAGAAATGGTGGTTTGTGGAAAAGATGGAGCCACTGGGTGCTTCACTTATGGTTTGGACAAAGGATGAACTTGAGTCCGCACTGAAGGGGATTGTTTGGGAAAAGTCTTGCGCGGAATTTTTGGAGAAATTGTGGAGGGATATATCTCAGCGCGATAGGTTTGAGCTGGAGTTATACTGATGCTCAATTTAATGATTACGAATTCATCAAACAAGTGCAGGCAGGAGCGTTGACATTCGAAGACGAAATCGTATTCATCATAAATCATGCTGTAATGACCAAACAAACTAAACTCCTAATCTTCGATTATTCTATGTCTTAACTTTGTTCTTTGAGATAGAACTGCCGATGAAATGCAAACATGTCGTCAAAGTGGCAGAATTCGGGCATGCCAAGCTCAAACTCATGAGGAATAGTCTCGTATCCCTTCTGAAGCAGCATTGTGAGAGCCTCGCCATCTGCCTTACTAACAGCAACGATTCTATATGCGAGAGCCAGATGGAAAACATACGTCTCATGACCTGGAGCCCGGATTTGCAACAGATCAGACAGTCGATCACGGAGTCCTCGTAAGCGCTTCTCTTCAGCATCGTCAACGGCGGCTAGGTCAAGGCGAATTCCAGCCTTGCTCATCACCAGTCCGGTAACAGACAGTTTCAGGGAAGGCTGAACGCAAAGGTCAAATGTGGAAAGCTTATCGCGAAAGAGGTCATGACAGCTTTGCAGTGGTGCATCAAGCGGCAGCTCCTGGGGCCACACCTCACGCTTGCGCCGCTGATCGCAAACACCCTCAAAGACGGTCATGTGCCAGCTCGGCGGTGGAAGAAGAGTGTAGAATTTGGTGAATCTGCTCTTCTGGAGTATTTCATGAATTGGTAAAAGCGCTTTGTATAATTCGCTGTCCCGTAGGAGGTGGCAGATGATGGTGTTGCCTGGAAATGGTAGCACATTACCCTTGTCGTCAAACTTCTGGCCAGTCCATTTCTGTGTTGCTTTTGGATTGAGGAGTCATTGTTGTGAAATATAGTGTTGAGTGTCAGCGTTGGATGAGAAACAAGGATATGCCGCAGATACACATGGCAATAATGTACCCCGACCGCAAGTGCATGTATGAGCGATATGCTGTATTGGATGCAAGTGGCTGTTGATATGGGGATGAGGAGTGAGTAAAACCTAAACAAGTTGATGATGATGCAGAAGAAGGCGTGTATGCCTATATTAATATCAGTTGCCCGTATATCGTCGAGTCAATTGTATGACCATGTGTTCAAAGGCGTTGTCACATTGGCCCAATCGCATGTTGTGAAGCTTATCTCTTGCCGATGGCTATCTCTAACCGAACATCTTGTGTTGTCTCACACCAAAGAAAACAGTCGATAGCCGACATCAAATCGGAATTCATCAATTCAGAGCTCACCTCGTTCCACAGAGTCCAATTGTATCGCACCCGTTTTGGGATGGTTCTGTTGCGTATTGCAATAGTTTACTTCTCTCTAAGAGAGGCACATGTCTATTTCGCATGGTGGCGTGGAATTTGGCACTTCTGCTAATTCTAGCAGTGCTGAAGCCGTGAAACTCCTATTCGTACGGCTGCGTATAACAAAGTAAACCGACATATTGGGAAACCCGCCGATATTAAATACATCGAGGGCTCAATCTCGAAAACGGCAAGCTTGTCGCAGAGGTTACAAAGCGAGGCGCACGCAACATCAGCTTCTCAAAGTGGCCCAATCACATTCCGTCGCGACGTGCATCTTGTTGGCTGCTAGTTTAACTCTGAATACAAGACTCGATATTAATGAAGGACATCCGTTTTGAAGCGGTTTGTGCTACTCTCTCTTGATAACTTTATAGACATTGTATGACCTGTAAGAAGAGTAAGCTGATAGCAGTCCGGAGTAGTTCATCGGAGTATTTCATGGCGCAATTGGTTGCTGTCCAGTAGGCCCGAAGCGATCCGCACATTAAGACCGACGAGATGCAAAGAGGCACAGGAAACCGCTTTTAAAAGCTGAAAACATCAAGATGTGAATCATCCCGAATTATAGGATGCTGATTAATTGTACAGCAGTTTCCAATCAATACACACTTGTATAAACACAACAACCGCCAGAGTTGGTGCCCTACCAGCACGGCTATATCCGAAACCCACCCGGATATAGTCTACTAGAGCCAACAACCAACAGCAACTCCTAGGTCAGCCACACATGTGACGGGCATTCCCGCGCCTTCGCCAACGGCAGCGCGTCTCTCTTCATCAAGAGTCTCTTCTTTCCGAACTTTACGTCAACCGCCCGTTCACCAACCAGCCCGTCCATCAAACCATCCCCAGCCAGGGGTCTCGGACATAGCCTTACTGGGCACCTTTCAATGGAGAGAGGCTCAGCTCCGAAGCGGAATGCGACCGCTTGCGAGCACTGTCGCACGGCAAAGGCAAAGTGCCAGCCCAGCGAGCAGCCTGGAGTGTGTGGGAAGTAGGCGGAAACGAAACTGCATTCATGTTAGCTTGTTCTTTTATGCTCATCGCCTGTTAGATGTCTTGCCTCGAGGAGAGAGTGCGTGTCTCGCACCAAAGCGCGGCCCCGCAGGTCACGTCGAGCACTGTCGTAAGGCCCATGCCATATAACCTAGAATCACTCCTCTCTTCTGCTATCAAGACATTCTAATGCCTTCTTTGCTTGCGTTATAGCACCGCAGAAACGGGCCAGTCACCAGCTGGTCAACCTAGTACCTTTAGCATTGACTATCTAGTTCCCATCAGGTCGCACGTCGAAGATGATTTTGAGACTTTACGGGAGTTGCACAATTCTGCTCTTGATACTGTCCTAGATACAGATGATCCCATCGACTTGGTTCCAACACCGAGTCAATCTGCCAGTCAGTCAAGCTCGTCGGCCCAGTCTCGCTCCGTTTTCGAGAGCTGGCGGAAACCCCAGTTCAACATGGCTTCAGCCGAGAGCCTATTGCACAATTTCAGCTCCATGCTCGAGTACATTCCTTTCATAGTGTTGCCTGCTGATTCAACCGTAACCCAAGTGGCTGCCGCGAAGCCCTTCATTCTCCTGGCCATTTTGACCGTGTCTTCAAGGTCGAGGCCAGTTCAGAAGCACTCGCTGTATGACGAGGAATTTCTAAGGGTTTTGGGGCTCAAGTATGTATCTGGAGGAGAGAGAAGTCTTCAGCTGCTACAAGGCCTCCTGATATACTGTTCATGGTAAGTCGGCCTCCGAGCCTGAATCCCACACATCTTCAACTAACTTGTCGCTCCCAGGTATCCTTTCCACCTAAAACCCAAAAGCTCACGGTTGGTTCAATGCATGCGAATGGCTGCGGACATAGTCCACGACCTATCCTTGGATGAAGATTTCCTCTCATCTGACCCATGGGGACGGGGGGTGACGAGCGAAGAGCTGGATATGATCCGGGCATACCTCGCTTACGTGTATCTCGTCTCGACGTAAGCCGGGCCTGGATCTCTCCTTTTGCCATCCATGATGCTAACGTTTTCCATCATCCCCAGATACGTCACCATGTGGAAGGGAGACAAGTGTGTACATACCCGCCTCCCGCCTTGGGCAGGGACAGCCATCGACATTTTGGAGCAGAATGCTCAGGTTGAAAGCGACCGCACACTCGCGGCTCTGGTCCGCCTATCAAGGTTGAGCTCCGATGCGACCGACGCCATAAACGATAGGGAGAGTCGGACTGTGCGAAACAGCCAGCTGACCCTGTTGGGGCTCGAGCAACAGTATCAGCAAATAAGAAACAACATATCAGCTACATCCCCCAACCTCCTTGGTACGTCAAGCTCACTCAGAATGAAGACGTGATGGGTGCTTACCGTGAAGAAGGGAAAGAACCTGTTCGGTTATTAATGATGTTTCTCGACATATACCTCGACACGGGGAGCTTGCTCGCCCTCCCCGTTTCCAAAACCTCGTTATCTGCCAAACTCACACGCTTCCCACCACCAATATCCAAAATCTACAGCGGCACAAGGAAGATACGGGCCTGTTTGGACTACGTAGGCGGGCTAAGCGACAAGGCGATACTATCATTTACTGTCAACGACTGGACGCGGCTCATCACAATCTTTACGCTGGCATTTCGGCTGTCGTTTCCTCTCTCGCAATGCCCCGACTTTGACTGGGAGTGGGCCAATTCAGAAATCCAGCTGGACCAATTCTTGTCCAAGATTGCACGTGAAGGAGATGCCGCGGTTGCTTCAAACGGCGTCCTCTCAGCCAATCGTTCTGTGCTCGGTGTACTAAAGGCAAAGTACAATCGTCGGCTAAGCTCGCTCAGCGAACAGCCAGGACGTGAAGTAAGCAAGACATTCGGATGTCCAATGATGAGCGGTGGCACATTGATAGCCGAGGCGCAATGGAACTCGGGCCTTACCCGGGCGTCAGCACAGTCGACCATCGTCGATATGCCGGAGGTGCTTCCAGGACTTCACGATGACTGGGCAACGTTGGCCGCGGAATGGCACAATATCGAAGAGATGACTTGGGAATCGTTCGACGACCAATTTACCAATAGCATGGGTACTGATAGCAGCTGGTCATTGTAAAGAAGGTTTGGCTCTGACGCAAGGTTGTTCGACACCTAATATCGTTTATATATTATGTTGTAATATCCTGTAGATACAAGGAATAGGTATGCTCCATCATTTGCTCAAAGCAGCGGAGAAATCGCTCTTTTCGCAGTACTCCCTAAACGATGTCATTCTAATTCCATACTAGATAAAATAAGTCAGCTCAAATTCATGGCGTAGTCGGTGTATATTTGCCTACCTTTCCCGGTCCAACAATCCCTGGTTCTGTACCCTCATACCCGAAATCAAATGCAAACAAGACGTTGAGTCCAAACTCGTGGCCGAGGCCGCCCGGTAGAAGCTCGTTGATCTCTTCATAGGAGAGCTCGTCAAAGCCTCCGTACTTGACGCCTTGCGTCTCGCAAAAAATGCAGAGATAGTCTGTCCAGGAGAGATATTCGCCCACGGCGAAGAGGTTCGTGTTGGGCGGCGCCTGTTCGACCAGAGCTTTGACACAGGGACCAAGATCAGTTTGCACATTTCCGAACGGAATTGGCTTGTGGCCAGCACCAGGGCCAATCATTCGATAAGTACCGTCTGGTTGCTAATCACATCAATTTGTAAGCTAAAAGGATTCAAGAGCCGCAGGAGTTGAGGAAATAGAAGCCGATTGTTGTGTTATGTGTTACCTTCTTTGGCGTGATTGGTAGTCCCCACTCGGTTCCAACTTGGAAGTAGACCGGAGCTTGAACCTGAGAGAACTTGTCTTTGAGTGCTGGGAGACTCTGTGCGTATGTAGCAGCGTGAGCCTTTGAGTCCATGTGGTACAGCTTGGTGTACTTCCCACCGCTCGACTTTGTAGCATCAGCCATGGAGCTGAAAACGTATCTTCCCAGAGTCAAAGCCGCCGAAGCTGCAGCATCAGCAAGATTTTTGCCATGCTGCAGCTCAACTTCATAACAGTACTCAACAAGCTCCTGGTTGGGCTTCTTTAGTTGTTGGGTACGAGGGTTTCCCCAAATGTTCCAGAAATCAGTAACACCGAATATGACATTGGCACCCTGAAAAGCCCGCTCGAGAGACTTGACATCACCAAATTCGCCCTGAACAATTTCAACACCTTTAGCTACCCATGCTTTAGCAGCGTCGGATTCGGGATTGCGAGTTACACCGCGAATGGTGTATGCTGGGTCTTGAAGAAAGGTATCAGCGACAGAGCTGCCCTGAAGAGTCGGAGGTGTTAATAATAAGTAAATGCGTTGCGGATGACAAATTCACCAGCGGAAAGCCTACCTGAACGCCAGTTATGCCGGTGACAACAACGAGTTTCGCCATGTCTTCAAACAACAGATACCTATACTCGAATAGGCTGTAGGTGTCGAATGCGGAGGTGTAGGCCAAGGTTTTATGTCACACGTAATAAATGGACTTGTGCTGGAGACTACTGGGCTGCATGCGACATTGCGGAATTAGATGTTGGGAGGGGGTTGATATATGAGTTGCCATTTTGCTTGGGCCTCATTGAATAGTAATTAAAAAAAAAATGCTTGAGACTTGTGAATGAAATCTTTCTAAACTGAAACACTGTTGCTGCCAAAGTCTCAACTACAATTGCATGTAAACCAAGTTGAAAGAGATTTGTAAGATTGGGCGCCAGCTCGGTAGAACTTGCCATACCTTAGGTACTTTGTGAAGCAGCGTATGACAGGGAAGACCAATATCCAAAATGGGTATACGGCGGTTTCCAAGCCTCTCTTGTCCTGTTTCGGAATTAAAGTTGAAATATGTCCGCCACGCTAAGATTCTACTTAGTTGATGATTGGACAGTACAAGCCATGATACTTGAAGGTTATGAATGAGGTTATCATAAAGCAATTGGATTAATGATTCAATCAGTTGAGTTTTGTAACAAGATGCTTCGAGAACATTTGTAATGCAAGTGTTATAGATGGAGAAGAGAGGTAACAATAAGCACAATGGGTACCTATATAAACTATGCCATAGAACGCACGGTATACCTGGTAATTCCAAGCAAAACAATCATTCCGAATATCGAAAACCACATCCTTTCAAGCTCAACATCACCATCTATTTAAAATGACCGTCGACAGTCTTTCTCTCGCAGGCAAAGTCGCCATCATCACCGGCTCCGGTAGAGAAAACGGCATCGGTGCTGGCATCGCTCTTACTCTTGCCAAAGCCGGAGCTCGCGTTGTCATCAACTATGTATCCAACTCCACGGCTTCTCGTGCAGAGGTTGTCCGCGAGAAAATAGATGCTGCTGCTGGCAAGAACAGCGCCATCGTGGTGCAGGCCGACGTTTCCACCGCAGAAGGCTGCAAGAAGATTGTTGGAGAAACATTGGCCCGGTTCGGCGTCGACCACATCGACATTATTGGTATGACAACTTGTCTCATACTAGACAAAGAGGAAACAAAGAAGAAAATACACTGACATGTGAGTATAGTGAACAATGCAACATACGTCGCCTATGGCCCTGTTCTTCAAAGCAAGGCAGAAGACATTCACACCGCATTCGCAGTTTCCGTTGTTGGCCCCATCCTCTTACTCCAAGAAGCTTACCCTCACATGCCCAAATTCTCTCGCATCATCAACATCGGCAGCGTGTCTTCCAAGATGGGATTCAACGCCTTGCCCATCTACGCGGCCGCCAAGGCTGCCATGGATCAGTTGACCTTCAGCTTGGCCCGCGAGGTAAGTCTTGATTCATTCTCCCTGCTATCACGAAACAAGCTAACAATCCCGTTTCTTAGGTTGGTCGAGACGGCAAGCACATTACGATTAACACTCTCGCTCCTGGTCCTGTTGAAACGGACAACCTACCGCCGACCCCTGAATCTGCACCCTTGAGAGACTTCCTTGTTGATTTGACTCGCAGCGAGGCAAGAGTTGGAACTGTGGAGGATGTAGCTGACGCGGTCCTTTTGTTGTCTAGTGAGAAGAGTCGCTGGATTACGGGACAGTTTATTTCTGTTAGCGGTGGCATCAACGGAGGCTAAATGTTGCATGTCCAGTATGTAAGAAAGCACATGTATTTCGAATCATATGTAGTATGGCTACGAATTAAAACACAATATTTGATGTTAGCTGTCGATTCCTCGTAGATTAATCTGTGCGGCAAGTCAGTCACAAAAGAAGAAACTCAACCATATTGAGCACTTTTTCACTAGATCAACCTCACATAGAGGTCCAACTATTTGCAGCAATCACTTTTGCAGATGGTAATGCTACCGATAATATCAGGGTGATGGGTAGCAGTGCCTTGACTTCGAAAACGAGTTCGAATGGCAAGTTACAATAAAGATGCGTAACCTCTCAGATATTCAGGCTCCATAGGCAGTAACTCTTTGTGTTCTCCGATGCTTCAATATGGATGAACCACGTGGGCCTTTATGAAATGTGAATAATACACTAGAAGATAGACAACCTCACAATCTACATAGCCCGCTGCAATCTGATACAGATATGTTTCAAAATCATCTTATTAAAGCAATTAGTTCTCAGCGAAATGTATAGAGAGAAAAAGAGCATGTAACTGGATATGTAATTTGTTTCTATTGAACCAACTACCGGGTATCAAGTGAACTACAAGTGACAACGTGAACGCAGCGCACATCACAGGTAAGTCACAAAATCACATCACACCCAGGCTGCATATGTAAGATTTGACATTAATTAATAATACTCATTATCTATGTAGGTAAGTGTATATTTGCATAGCTATATACAAATGCATGCATCATTACGACATGGCTCTTTTTTGTCTTTTTTTTTTATTCTTCACTCAGGGCCTCCTTTTCTACCCACGTTTACAGAGGGACAGCAAGGTTCCTTTCGAGGTAACCGCGCCAGGTGGGCAGGGTTCGCTTGTAGGGAGTGTTGCTGTGCTTCTGCAGGTCCTCGATGGCACTGGCATACTTGACCAGCTTGTCCTCGCCAAAGGCAGTCTGCAGGATAGCCAGGCCAAAGGGCATGCCAGAGTCGGAGTGGATACCGGCGGGAATGGTGATGGCAGGGTAACCGGCCTGGGCGGGGATCTGGATGCTCTGGGCAACATCGGGAGGGACAAGGAGACCATCCAGCTTCTTGCCCTTGTAGGTGAGAGCATCGTTGATACCGTTACGAGTGGAGGACTGGCAGAACTCGAGCGCCTCCCAGTAGGTCTTATCCCTGATGCCCTTGGTCTCGAGAGAGGCGAGGAAACCGTCCTGGCCGGACCAGAAAGCGGGAGTGCCGTTGGGCATGGGGTAGCCACCCATGGTTCCTGTGTACTTGTTGTTGTATTCGACAATGTCCTCGAGAGAGCGGATCTTGGTGTTGTTGAGCTCGGAAAGGTAAGTCTTGATGTTGTTGTAGAAATCGACCTTGACGTAGGTGTACTCGGACTCGTTGGGGAAACCACGGGTGGTGCCGTAGTCCCAGTTCCAGCCGTCGGGGCTGACGAGGGTCTGGTAGTTGGTGATCTCGGTGTTGTTGATGATGGTGGCGCCGGCAGACTTGATGAGGGTCAGGATGCTGGTGAGGATCTTCTGCTGCTCGGGATCGGCGTAAACCCAGAAGCTGTTCCAGGGGATACCGAAAGTGGCGCCCTTGAGGGCTGTGCGGTTGGACAGGAACTGAGCATATCCGCCCTTGGGAGTCAGGCCCTTCTGAGCCAGGGTGTAGTTGTCTCTGGTGTCAACACCGTAAATAGCATCCAGAGCGTAGGTGGCATCGCGAACAGTGCGGCCAAAGGTACCGACGGAATCCTGGTGCTCGGACTCGGGAATGACACCGGCGCGGGATGTCAGACCGACGGTGGGCTTGATGCCGACAATGGCGTTACGCTGGGCAGGGTTGATGACTGTTGCACGAGTGTCAGTCAGCACGCAAAACACACACAATGAAAGAAGCTTATTTCTCCGCAGTGCCACACTCTACTCACCACTGCCGTCGGTCTCAGTGCCCAGAGCAAAGGCAATGACATTGGCGCCGACACCGACACCGCTGCCGGAACTGCTGCCACCGGGGTTGACAGTCAGGTTGTAGGCGCTTCGGCACTGGCCACCACGGCCAGAGTAACCCTCGGAGTAGTTGTTGCTTCGCATGTCGGCCCACTCAGAGAGCGCAGCCTTGCCGAAGAGAACGGCACCAGCATCACGCAGCTTCTTGACGACAAAGGCATCGCGGGGCACGATGTTGCCGAGGAGAGCCCAGCTGCCAGAGCAGGTCTCCAGGTTGTCCGCGCTGGCGATGTTGTCCTTGACGATGAAGGGAATGCCGTGCAGAGGGCCTCGGACCTTGCCAGCCTTGCGCTCAGCATCGCGCCGGGAGGCAATGGCGAAGAGGTCGGGGTTGATCTGGATGATGGCACTGGAAGAAGATGATGTTAGTCATGATGATAATATGAAGCTTGAAAGACTAGACACGTGAGTCTGCGTAAGAGGGTGTGCGAGTATGGGATCTTCATCTCGATGTCGCACCACTTTGCGCCACCAAGGCGAAGCGAAGTTAAAGCCAAGCCATGGCCAGCCCCCCGGGAAAATTGGGATCGACGCGAGTCAAGATCGATCCGATGGCGATGATCCAAAGGAATAAAAGAAATAAACCACGAATTGAAACAGATAGAGACAAATCAATGCTTACTTGAGATACTGCTGGGTCTGGAGCTGGCGCGTCAGGTAGCAGCTGACCAGCTGGACCGACGACAGATTGCCGTGGGTCATTGCGGCCTGCATCTGGTCGATGGTGGCCTCGTGCAGCTTGAAGCCGAAGCAGTCGGCCATGGGGAACAAATTGTCCGAGCCGGCATTCTTCTGCAGAGGGATCAGGTTGGGCGTCATGGGGAAGACCTGCGACACGTCGAGCGCGGCCGCACCCGCAGCGAGGGCGGACAGGGTGAGTTGGTACTTCATGGCGGCGACGAGCTTGTCAAGATGCCAAAGAAGAGGAGGGAAGAAGATGATATCAAGAAAGATATCAAAAGAGGAAAAGAGGGAGAGGGGAGGGGAGGTGAGGAGGGAGAGGTGAGAGGAATGGAAGAGGTTTCGGACAACGGCGAGCGACTGCCCGGGGTATTAAAAGAAAACAAACCCGCGACGACTAGGCACAAGCAGGCAATCAATTGCGGACTCCATCTTGATGGTTTTAGTATGCAATTAGAGCAGAGCAGAGCAGAGCAGAGCAGAGCAGACCGCTCACCTCGAGATTTGATCGGATAGACGGCTGCGGCTAAACCTGAGCTTCACGCCTGGCTAGCAAAGATGCAAGATGGAGCTCCCCGAACGACACCGCTCGCGGGATGAGAAACTGCCCGTTCCAGCTGAGTGCAATGGATCAATGGCGAAAAAAGATGGACGTCGCCAAACCTCGCCTCACAACTCGCCGCCTCCAGCGCGCCCTCCAGCGGCTGCAGCGCCGCGCCGCGCATCCTTAGCGACCTCCTACAGGGCTCCTACAGGGGCCATTCCCTGCTGGCCACGCACCAGATGGGGCGCCTCAGTCCGCTAGCCTTTGCGGTAGCGGCGCCGCAACCTGACCGAGGGGGAGCCCCGGAATGTCATTGGCGGTATCCAATCACGCTTTGCACATCTTCGTTTTTGGGCATTGAGAAGCTCAATTAATCAGGAAATCCGCTCTAACCACGGATGGCATCACCGTCTACGGAGTAGAGACGGGCGAGAAGAAGAAATGAGGGAGGCTGTCCTAATACGGAGCGTGACGAGACGCTAAATGTCCTTTAGTCGACCAAGTTCTCTCAACGGCAGGCAAACTATGTAAGTTAAAGACGAACATTCATACGAGACGAACCAACCCCCCACGTTACATAGATGAGCCAATATACTGGTACGATATTCGTAGATTTTTGAAAAAGAACCATGACGAGGAGGGCGAGCAAAGCGAAATGATCCGATCCAATCGGAGGGATATACAAGTACATACCACCTAACCAAGCGAGAGAAGCGCCAGACAAGGGCAAAAGACTCGGATGGAACAGTCGCACAGCCATGACGAACTACGAGTGTTAATCCCTGCGCCCTCAGTTCCCCATTCTTCAGGCAAAAGAAGAGAGAAAAAATTAACAAGAGAGAAAAAGGCCCCGGCTCCAATAAAGCTCCGGCTCAGCCGGCGAAATTGCAACACCGCAATGCAGCATACACAGGCCATGTAACGACGATTCAGCTCAGTTTCCAGCTGTCGGAGCAAAGCGTGGGTCACCGAGGGACTGACTGCATCGATGACATCTTGACCGGTGGGCCTGTGCATCAATTCAATAGTCGATGCAATATGCAGGGTTCCCGCTGGAGACGCAAAGACAGAAGAAGGAATAGAAGCACAGCACAGGACAAAAAGCCTTGAGCGACAGGCGAACAATCCCACGGCATCAGCTCCCGAGCACAGCCCGTGGTTGGGCCGTTGCACCTTCAAGGTTCAAATGTCAGACTCAACCAAAAGCAACTCTCACCTGGACACACACACACATTGATCCATATCTGCTTGCGTCCCGCCTGTGCGTATCCAGACTAGTTTGCCGTTCTTCTGTTCGGCACGGAATGCTCGTGGAATCTTCTTCTTCTCCACGTCCCCCTTTGTGTCCCCCTCCAGCTTCTGCATGCAGGCAGCTAGCTGCAGGGCCTCGTGCATTCTCGACTGACTCGGCCCACGTGGAGACTTTGACTCTTTTCGTTAGTCATTCATCGTCAGATGAAAGTTGAAGGGGACCCTTTTTGTCCCGTTACGAGTAGTTCGCCGAAACTTCGTATAATTGCTGGGCCGCACGTCACTTCACAAAAGCACAAGCACCTTTCAGTCTGCAAGGCGGGGAACTGCACCATCGCTTGTTGAAATTTCGTTTTCCATTTCATTTCATTTCTGCCATCAGTTCGTCTTTTTATCCAAATTTGAAAAATCTATGAATAAAAAACCACAGGAACAGAGAACCAGCCCATTTCGGGGGTATCAACACTGGCTGGCTTGGTTTGCGCAAAAAAAGAGCCAACAGGCAGAGGCTCCAACCCACACCGAGCCGCAAATAAGCTCATCATAATGAGTGCTTTCATTTTCCCGCACTCCCATTCATGATTGCAAAGCAATTCATTTGTGAAACATTAGAGGTGTATGAGCCATGATACAAAAAAAAAATTCGGAGCAAAAAGAATCGCAAATCATAACTCGGAAAAAAAAAAGTAAAAAAATATATACAGCGCGAACAAAGGGCAGAAGAGAGAAAGGAAAGGTGTAAATCAGAAATCGCTAATTCCTCCCAATATTTTTTTAATTCGCCTTTTCCTTTACCGGCTATCCAGGCTCCCGGTCGTATTCGTATTGAGCCGAGCTTCTTTCAGTTCAAAGTCCATCTGTACGTAGATGCCGTCTTGGTCGTTGACACGCCTGCTGCCAGTGCTTGCCACGGCTTCGGGGCCGTATTTGCCCCCCTCGTTTCCGTCTTCCTGACTTCCCAATATGCTGTGCTGGCTGCCCGACTGGAACCTCAGCGTGCTGAGAGCAGTCCCTCGAGACCGAAAAGTGTTGGTCTTGCGGCCATAATGCGATGCACCGCTTGTCTGGCTATCGTCCTTCTTGAAGAATACCTTGTCAAAGAGTGGCTTGGCTCCCGGCACAGACAGAGCAATCAGCGTGGCTCCAATCTCAGACGCTTCCACGCCAAGCATGGGGTCGTATGACCAAGATTCGTCACTCTCCCACTGGCCTAGGATGACGAGGACAAGTCGAGTAATCGAAATGGCAATGACTCTGTGTAGCCAACGAGTCAGTAAACGCTATCGCTGATGGAAGGGAGAGCACCTACGCAACACCGGGCAAAAGAATTCCGGCCAACTGAATCTTTCGCTTCCGAGACATCTCCAACGTCCGTAGCATGGCAATTGGAATGCCAAACAGAAGCAGATCGCAGAGAAGCGAAACAGAAGAGTTGACGCTGTACACCACGCCCCACTGCAGGCAAGTATACCGCGGAGCAACGGGCTCCCAACCGTACGGCCAGTAGCCCGTGACCGGCTTGCAATGGAAGATGAGCAAAAAGATCTGGGGTAGAAACCCGGCAACCAGGATGCCCAACACAATCTTGATTGCGAGCTGGAAGTTGTTGTGCTGTCCACAGACTCTCTGGTAGAACGCGAGACCCGATACACGGCATAGGAGCAGGGCTGTCGTGTAGATGATGTGCGCGACGAAATCCAGCACCTGCGTCTGGAGAACCGTAGGGACGTCCATGATGTATTCGATAAAGGCAAAGTGCCTCCCAGATCCCAAGTTGATCAGTTCGATGCTCAACCCAACAAAGCATATCAGCAGAGCCTAGTAGAGCACAAATGAAGCAAGTCAGCAAGAGGAGCAGCACGAATGAAGAAGAATATGTTTTGGTGGCGTACCAATGACAATGTAGCTAGCCCATCATCAATGCCAATGCGTCGCACAATGCATGATCGTGATATCAATCGCGTGCAAACGACGACAAAGGTCAGTGCTGTGACGAAAACGATACCGATAATCGACGGGCCATCGCGAGATTCGCTCAGATATTCAGCGGTAATATCGTCCGGGACGGTGCCGTTGGCAATTGCCTGCTGAATGCGAGGGTCCACCATCGTCCCAAAGATGGACAGAGACGATTACTTCTGTTGTTGGTCGATGGCGAGGACGGGGGGCTGTGCTGTTGGACGTAGGAAACGTCGCCCGGGCCTCCCGTATGGCTTGTACGTGATACCACAAGGCAAAGCTCCTACATATAAACAATCATCCACAGTGGAGCGGCACCGCTGCCGAGAAAGAAAAGAAACTGTTGATATTTAAGAGATCGATCCAGCGAGTGGCGAGGGCCCTGCATGTACAAGTACTGTACGAGTATGTGAGCACTCAATCTATGGCTCGTGCCGGGAGGCTCCGTCCGTCCTGGCCGCCCACAAAATTCTCTGCGTCAAAGCATCTGCGCCGCCGCTAGAGCCGGGATCATGCTGGGAACAGAAGCTCGGCCAAGGAAGGGCTTGGTTCCAGAAAACCGATGGGGGTGGTGGTGTGGCTGCGACATGGGACGGCCATAGACATCCTTCACATCGGCTCAAACCCGCGGACGAGCTCAGCTTGCGACTAGCACATGGGAACAAGTGCTGAGAGGGAGGGAGAAAAACTCTGGTGCCCACCAAAACGAACACCAAAAGCTGGTCAAACACTGTGTATGTGCCTTTACTCGTTCCGGCACATCTCAACCTTGGTTCTTCGGTGGGGAGTTGTTGCAGACAGTGTGTCGTGTCCAACACGCACAAGGGGTGCTTGATTTACCAAACCCGGCCGGCTGGGACACGCCACCAAGAGAGCCGATAGGCTATGTAACGAGGGCCCCTCTCAAGTCTCGAGACGAATCAAGGTCAGCCAGCGGCGCCACTTAATCACAGGCGTTGCTTCGGACGCTTCAGCAGTCCCGTATCGACCACTTTTGTGGGCAGCTTTGTTGAAGATTTCTCAAGTTTTTTTAAAATGCGGAGTATCGGTTTGTCATGTCGAATGAGTTTGACCCCGAGGGCCAACCTAAGCGAGCTCGACAGTAACAAGAACAGTGCCTATTCATGGCTCTCCTCGCAGCCAATGAATATTTGTACGCGAGGCATGCAGCGGAAGGCCCCGAAACAGCCGCGTGCCCGGTGGGATAATACCAATATCAATACGAAGCACACTGCACTGTACTCGTACTTGTACGTTCGTCTAAAGCACGAGGTTGCTGGCAAGCGTTCCAGGCAATCTTGTCCCCGTCACGTCAAACAAGGATCGATGATTGAGGGGCCGCCAGGGACTGCATGTTATTGCTCGACAAGCATGTAGCCGAATATGGCATTGTGGATGGCTGATTGACGCGGAAAGGAGGCCGGTTTAGAACTTGACGCGGGTTGTCGAGCCGTCGATCGCGCCGTCACTTTTACTTCGTGGGCCCTGAGCATCATCAACGGCGGCTCGATTAGCTTGAGCCTTTTTCTCGTGCAGGTCGTATCTTGTTCAGTACTCGAATCACTCGCTTCTCGCTTGAATCTGATGCCTCAAACTCATGCTTGATCAATGCGGCAGAATGCTTGACACGCTTGGCCGGCTTGGATGCCGTCAAATTTCATCATGCCACCTGCAAGATAAAGGGCCCCCTTGTGACCTAGCGATAGGTCACAAAACCACTGACAAGAGAAAAACTACCGTTCATGCAGCCGTTAGCCTGGGACCCATCAGATTCCAAAGAAGCCCAGCGCACGCCACGCCTCGCCCTTTGCGCTTGTATGTACGAGCGAGTGCTTGCCACATGTAAGCTGCTTGATTGCCTCCCCTTTAGCACCGAGCAAAATCCGCGGCCGCGTCTCTGATCCGACCAGGGGAAGTGCAGAAGCTTCGAGCGCTATTCCAAGGCAGAGGCATGCTTGGTGCAGGCCCTGTTTATTGGGGAAATGATGACGGCTTCACAAGTGGCGACCTCAACACCCCTGGCAAAGCTGAATCATTGACAGAAGCACTATTGATTTGATCCCCTGAGGCCGCTTACTGTGTCGACCTGTATCGACAGCCAGCGTTGTTTGCCGATGGCACAGCCATGCACTGGAGGTGGCATCAGAATCCCCAGATGGTGGGTGACAGCCTGCCCCTGGACTATTCTCCGGCTGGACTGGCAGAGTCGCAGTGCTACTGCAAATGCAACCCCATCGCCCCAAGTGCCGTTTCCAGAAACTGCAGGTCCAGGGCCAAGATCACGCACGCACGAGCCAGCCATCGAGTCGAGTCGAGTCGAGAGTACGAGCATGAGCGCCCGTTACTACAGCCTGCGCTCAAACGCAATGGAGTACGAGCACAAACACTCGTTCAGGCCTCTCGGTATCCCATTTCCCTGCCGATGAGCATCGAATCCTCTGGACTAGCCGCAACACGAGTCAGTTTTGCCCTCAATTTGTGCAGGGCCGGGCCTCTGACAGACGGTCCATCCATCGGCATGATCAGCCCGTAAACGCGAAAATCAGGATGCCCAGAGTAGCCCCGATCCTGCCTAGTAGCGCCTCTTGCGACTCGAGCGCGTCCACTTTGCAACTTGGCAGTGGGTTTTGGGGCCAATTTTGCATTTGGCGTAGCGGCGACGCTTGAGAAAAGTTGGTCAAGTTTGCGAGTTTCTCGTCTCTCGTCTCTCGTCTCTCGTCTCTTGTTTGTGCTGTACGGAGTAGCAGCCGTAGAAACGCCGTCGGTACGTACCAGAGCGACTTAGTCATCGGTCGAAACAGAACAACTGGCGGAAAGCGCAACCGACCGATGGCACTCTGTAGATTGGCAGGCACGATTCCGCTCGCTGACACACTTGGGCCGATGCAAAGCACTCAGGTGGCCCTAGCCAGATTCGGTTGAGACGGTTCATGCAGTGGTACCTGGGCGTTGTACTGGAGTAAGAGGTACCAAGTACGTCCCATCCCAGCCAGCATCATCCAACTTTTGGTGCAGCATCGCCCACGACACCAAGATTTCGATGCTTCTTCTCTCCCCATACTCCGTACTCCATACTGTACAGTAACAGTAACATCATCCCCCATCCATCTCTATCGTGCAGCCACGTTTCACTGCGTTGCAACGTCCAGCCCCGGCAACCGAAACGAAGCCAAGGGCTAGAACCGGAGCTGGTGATAAGAGCTTGATGCCACGGTGGGCACGTTCTTCATCGGCAACCGAGCCAGATCCTTCGTTCCAAACCCAAGGGCCGGTGTCTATGGCGCTCGGATCAGCTTCATGCCAGAGCAATGCTGCTACTATTCGGTGACCCCTGTCTGTTGTGCTGCCAAATAAACGGTTGGCCGGGACCCTTGACTTATACGCTCCTACAAGCACCACGTGCAAGTTCGTGGAGAAATAACAGTCCTGCATGCATATGAAACCCATTCTCTCCACACATTCATCTCGACAGCTGATAAAGGACCCAGAATCTCATCCATGAGTCGAAAAGACGAGCATCATGTCCATCTTCCCCTTACGACTTGCATGAATTCTACAGTATAGTGCCCTTATGAATGACACTGTGGCGATGTTCCAGTCAGCCAAACGCTAGACGCCTTGAAATGTCAAATTAGCCGGAAATCGAACGTCGTGTCTAGCATCGCCATCCGCCTCTCTCCGTCTGACAAGCTAGCTCACGCCCTTGTGCAAAAAGGTCAAGGTATTGAACTGCGTAGCCAGGCACTAACTGACCATCCGGCGTCTTCTTAGCACTTCTCCTAGGTCAAGAAGGGGTAACTTCACGCCAGCAGAGCCACACGCTGATACGGCATCCAAAACACCAAAACCAGTCCGTTCAATATCCAATGTTGTTTATCGATTGCGTGCCGAGCTCATCAGTCGTGTCTACCGGCATCAATTCCGTGAAAGCTGTACTATTCATCTACTAGTACAATAACTCTACTCCGTAGCCGGGCAACTCAACATCAGCCGCTCTCATCTCCACCACTTCGGAGTCGCTCTCCGATGCACAAATCCTTCGGATAGCCCATCCCGGTCATGGGATATGATTCCAACGTCGCTGGGGTCAAATCTCCGACAGAAGCGACCGCTGTTGGCGACAAGGTGGCTGGCGTTTACCACATCCAGTATCTGTACAAGGGAGCAAACCTGCAGGCTAATGCCCATAACAGCCATGCCAAGAGAAGCTGCATCAATATGCTAAGCCATAAGTTTCCCTGGTGCAACGAGCTTCCGCGTGGCTTGCCTCACCAAATATCTGCGACAAAATCTTGTTATGCTCGGCTCCTTCGCCGCTTGCTAAGCATTTAGCCGCAGCATCGGCTGCAGGTTGTGCATGAACCCCTTTTTGACACGCAACTCGAAGCAAAAGTCCGACGCATGTTGGTTGGACATATTATTTGTTAAACTGATTGCTGAACGCTTAGAAAGGATTCCCCATGTATGTCCCTCCACAGATATCAACCAAATACTAGGTAGCACCCCCTGCCGTGCGAAATCCGCCGGAAGCTGCCATGCCGCGGCCCTCGCTCCCCGGCATTTGCTTTGGCATTTAATTTGAATCTCTCTTTGTGATGAAGCTTATTCTGAAACCCCGACCTATATGATACATAATACTTCAGCCATCCCACCTACCTCTGAATCCTGAGTGACACGACCATCCGGATCCTACGATGCCGAGTAAGGTCGCAACATATTATCTCTTCAACTTCTCTCGGGAACTCTCTTCTTTCCATATTAGCAGCTCCGTGCAAGGTTGCATCACCTATTCCGCATAAAGCCTAATCGTTGTTCATTTTACATGCTGTTACGCTAGACGGAAAACGAGTACGAGTAGTTCATCAATAGCTGCTTGGCCGGAGCAACAGAGCCGATACGAGCATCGTGGTAGATATGATAAATGCGGAGCACTAACGACTCGGATTATTCTAAAAAGCACTATGAAAAATCTACTTGTGAGAAAATAGAACCGACGCTCCCCGGATTGGTACCCGTACTACTGTGTAGCCGAGATGCAGCGCCTATACGAAAGAAAATTCAAAGATAACCAACTTCGGCTACTAAACACACAACGATAAAAAAGGAAACAGCCAATAGGAATTTAAAATACGGCCATTCAAGCCCATTC